TGCTCCAGCTAGGAAGAATGTATCTGTTTGAGGTTCAGACTTCAGACTGAATGGTAACAATCACCTGATATGTGTGAGAACATGGGGCCCTTCTGTTTCAATATGGCAGACACAACATGATCAAGTAGCCTGTAATGTGTTTGGGGGTGTGAGTGTGTTATGAATCAGTTTTAACGAGAGCTATTATTTGCTGATGTTAATCTATCATTACGGCGACAGTGTTATTATGTATAAAGTGTCGCCTGATCTGCCGTGCAGACATTTTGGAAGGGAAATTCATTTGCAAGGCTTCTGTGCGGATGACTTCCAGAGACAAAATGAAACTTTTACATGAGCAATTGAAAAATAAATGTAATGAACATTAAAAAAAAAAGCTCCAACTTTATTTTAGACATCTGTGCTGAGGGCTGATTTTTTTTTTTTTTTTTTTTGCCTGATTTTAAACATGTTTAGTATTGATACAGAAAAAGATTGTTAAAATAAAATGGCCTCAGTGATGTGAAACTGAGAGCTTTGACCAGATCTAGACTAAAACACAAGATGTAGTCTTAAACACAGGTGTCTGATCTTTCTCAGTGGCGGCACCCCAACTCTAGAATGATATTCTACTAGATCTTTGCCTCCATCCAAGGCATTTTAAAGCTGCAGTAGGAGATATTTTCTGACGCATTTTTTACCATGTGGCGTAACGATCTCCCCACAGCCGCTTAGCAAGCACTGAAATAGAAGGTGAAACTAAAATAAATGGTCCCCGCCACAGTGAGAAATCAATGAATAACCCCAACCAATCACAAAAGACGGTCGGATGTACACGATTGGTTCTTGACATGTCAATCATGGCCCCTTTTCCCTCCCCCCTGTGTGCGACACATGAATGAATCGACCCCCCCAATGTCCGTGCAGGACGCCATGGCTGGAAGCTAGCCACTGTTATGCTACATTCACACCTAGAGCAGCAAAAACAAGTCTGCTGCTTCATTTTTGATGCTTGTACAAGTTTAGTTCTGATGCATGGCTGAAGCATCTTTGCTGCTTTAGCTGCGCGGTGGAAAAAGTGGGTCTGATGCATGTTTGGCGGAGCTCCCCTATCCTTTCTTTGCCCATAACAATGGAAGCTATATTTGCTTTGATCAGTGGGTAAAAAGTAGTTTGAATCTATTCTGAAGTGAGAAAGTTCACCTGAAAACATTGTCGGTGCAGGCAGTTCATCCAGGTAATCATCCTGCCTTCAAATATTTTTTCTATCGCACCGCTCAAACCCCCGTTCCCCATCGATGCTCTGGGTTAACCATAATTCCAAGTCGTAGTGTAAAAAATAAAATACTCAAATACATTGTTCTTTTATGATCTTTATTGCAGTTTGAAACATATTGTGTATTTTTTACCAATCGTCTAATGAACTATACACAGTTATTGACATAGTAATTAAAAGTACCACTGTCTGCTTTGCTATTGGTGTCGTGTTAAAACGGCTCACCATCATGTTGAAATCTGCCATGTGTTGCGGTATAAATAAGGTCCGGTCAGTTGACCTAGGATCAGGTGGGTTTAAGAGGAATTTTTCACACCATTAAATCTGCAAAGAGACGTCCTAGTCCACAATAGCAAAGGGGGCCACTAGGTCTCAATGACAGGGCCCCTAAGAAGTCGAGGCCCCTAAGCAACTGTAGTCTCTGCTTACCGATAGTTACACCATTGACCGCAGGCACCAGGATAATAAAAGCAAACATGTTTTGCTGGCAGATTTTGGCATTTTACGTTAATTTAGGCATAAATAAACTGTTTCAGAGGAGAGATCATAGCTCTCTGCATAATCAGTGCTGTTCCTGTTTCCCTGCAAGCTCCGAGATCAGCGACGCGCTGCAGACAGCATGCGTGTTCATGTATTTTGAAGGCGTGGTTTCGAGGGGTGGTCTGGAGGGAGAGGCATGGTTGTGTATGTTCAAAAATATAGCTTGCTGGAACTGTTTTTCCAAGATCTACGGCACCTTTAAGTCTAAGCTTAAGACTTATGCTTCAAGAGAACTTTTAATACCATGTAGTGACATTTTCCTATTTCTTTTGTGTTTATTCTTTGTATGAGAATCTCATGTTTTTGTAGTATTATTTTATTGTAATTTTCATGGTAAAGGTGTTTGTTGTCAAGCGCTATATCATTCAATCAAAATACATTTTTTAACCTATATATTTTGTTGTAAAATGTTTGAATTGCCCTGCTACAGACTGGCAACCTGTCCAGGATTGTTGGAGAGAGGCTCTAAGGACAAGCGAAGGAGGATGTACGGATGGATGTTTGGATTCAAATGACAAACAATAAGTGTATTTTGGACCCAATTCTTGTTTTTTTTATTTTATTTTTTTTATTGTTAGTGTTGCTTGGTGCTTCATCAGCTCCCTTTTCAAATAAACTCAAATTCAAACAAATCCTTAAAAACTTACTTATCAAGACATTCATTCATGCCCTTATGCAAACTTTTGACCAAAACAATGATTACTGCTTTTTTCTTCTATTTTAATCCTTTTAAAACTAAAAGATAATAAATCACCAAAATACATAATTCCTCCCATCAGAAATAGCATCTCTCTCTGCAGTCCTGCTGTTGTCCTCTAGGTGCCAGTTAACTGTGGATCTATTTTTAGCTCAGCCTCAGCTGGAGGACTGGATATTTATAGCCAAGGATCTGTTCACTGCTGGGCTATTGAGGTTCAGCTTCACACACAAACATGCACCAACAGGATGTGCATCCTCCCACACAATCACACAGGAAGGCTCATTTTGCAGAAGCAGGACTAATTCATTAATACCATTTTACATGCAGTCATTTAAAGGCTATTAGCCTGTTGAAGGGGCTGGTTTTCATCAAATAACTGCTGATGTTTTAAGCCCTTTTGCACATCCTGCAACACATGCAGTATGTAAAGCAAATATGCTACCAAATTAAACATAAAAGTCGGATGTTCGGAAATGTAAATGCAGACCAATAAAATATCCATGCCTGCACACAAAAACACTTGTTCACGCACAATCCGTGCAGAAGGGGAGGCAGCTCTTGTTTTCTAAGTGCCCCCTTAAAAGCCACAGATCCAGCTCTCCAATTCACACTCCAGTGCCTGCTGAAGCCCGTTAATGCTCTCTTTGGAGCTGGTTGGTACACACATTTGTCTGCCCAGATTCCACAGTGAGCACCGGCCTTACAAACAAAACTGTCTGAATACACCACAGTCATAGGAAGCATGTAGAAGCTGTTTTTCTAGGAATGATACCAGTAAAAATGATCAAAAATGATCAATAGTCTCAACCAATAACTAAACAGCCTATAGAAACATGTCAGATATCAGCTGATGGGTTCCTGGAACCTTCTTTTGTTAGTTTGGGAGGAATTTTGCACTAAAGGGAGGTACCAGGGGTTTGAAAGTCAGTTTTATTTTTGTCTTTCACCCCATAAAAATGATCCGTCTTTAGTGTGGCTTCACTGGCTTTTCTTTAAATGTAATTTCCCCTCTATTTTGGATCAAAATCCTTTATTCCTTTTGTTTTAAGAGCACTATCTTAGTAATGTCATACAGGATTGCAGATTTTTTATTATTTAGCAACACATTAGATTAAATTCTGTTCCATCCCTCACGACTGAAAAAATACGTAAAGATCTTCTCATAACTACAGAAATTATGAGAAGAACTTTAATGGTTCAATAGAGGCATTCCATCAGGTCTAAGTGTTGATGTAGAAGGGTATATTGCACCACCTTGATTCAACGGAAATCACCTTTTGCTTTCTTAATTAGCTGGAGAAGGATGTCCTTATAGAATCTAAATCTGTTGCCGCTTTGCAACCTAATGTCTGACACTATGGCACCAAGACTGTGAAAATCAGGGCTGCCTGTCCTCCTGAGGATTTTCAAAAATGCCTGTTTATCTCTATTACTTTTTAACATAAAGGAACATTTCTGGCACAGATTAGCAGTAAAAATCAATGAGATGTGTTTTAGTTAGATTTATATTTTGAAAGCTTCCTGAGGCTTTAAGGAATTTTGATGTATTTTCAGGATAGGTAAGTGAATTGGACATTAGAAGTCACACCATCCTACTGCACTGAGAAAACCTTCAATGGTTGAACTTTTCTGTTCAGGTAGAAAACAATATTGCTTTATTTTCAGAGAAAAGAGATGGATGGGGTTAGAAAACTTTCAAATGTCTAGCAAATCTGACTCCTGGGTCTCATCAGATGAGTCTGGAGGTGTAAACGGTGTGATCCTCTTGATTGATCTGAAGGTTTGAGAAAGAAAACAAACCCAGCAACGTGTCCAGAGCGTTCTCATCTGATGCACTTTGACCCTTGGACATCATTCATTCCTGTCTTTCACCTTGTTTCCATGGCCAGATCATTCTTTCTGCCAGCTCAACCAGTTTACTCTGAATTTTACATCTAAATGCATTAAAATAGAGTCAATTTTATGAATAAAATCAACTCTGCTGTTACTAATTTCCGGAAACCCCAATGGGAGTCATTGTTAAGATTTTTAAGCTCAGGAAACAATGCAAGAAAAATTCATGTGATAGACAAACGGGATGGTCAGTGTTGAAGGGAAAGTTTCCTGATTGCAGTAAAATCCAATAAAACTGAGGTAATAAAGCAGGTTGACCAGCTCTTTTTCAATAAATCACAGAAGACGTGGAGACATCTGCTGGGCAAAGAGACCTCCTCACCCTGCAGACTCAGACATGTGATGATCTGTGTTTACTCTGCAAACATCTCCAGTCTGTAACCAACTGCTGTGACCCGTTTCTGACAGGGATGAAATATAATAGGAGGCAGACTGCAGGATTTGGGGTCTGTCATGTGGTGCATCGGGAAAAAAAGCGGAGAAAAAGAGAGATTGCAGTGTAACCCAAGATGACACAAAAACAAACCATGTTTCATCCTTATGGTTTCTGTTTTCATTGTCTGTTTAAGGTTTCAGATTTTGAACCTATGTGAAATGATTCAAGCAAACATAACATACTTTTAGCTCTGTTTTTATTGAAGCCTCACAACCAGATCACAGCTGCCCAGGCACAGAGACCCCCATCTGCTGTGCAAATACATGACAGCGATGGAGCTCAACATCATAACTCTGGAAATACCTCCAAAGGTTTGATGCTTCATCTCTGGGAGAGAGATGAAGCATAATTATCATTACACAGTTTAATACGTTTTTATTTAAATAAATTACACATATAAAAGACTCACAAAAAAGAAAGCATCATTACCAAAGAGTTAAACAATTATAAAAGCTTCAACAGCATTAAATTATTACAGAATCTGCTTTAATTGTGCTTTTAAGGTCGTGTCAGGATAAATACTGACAAAGGTAATGATGTTAATAGCAACAGCAAACAAACATGTTACACAGTAGAAACACATCCTCCCTCTAGTGGTGGAAGGATGAAATAACAAGTCTTTTCTGGGCAACAGTCCCTCAACATCCTTCAGGGTTGGTAGAATTCATCCAGTTTTTAGAAAGTGGTTCCAGATGTCTTTTTAAATTATCCTAAAATCCACCAAATACATTCAGATGCCTGCTTTGTTTGTAAAAGGTGACAAAATTAAATCTAAATTATGCTGCACATTTGCCACCTGCATGGTTTAAGGAGTTTTATCCGGTTAGAGGCCTTTTTGGAAAACTTCATCTTTCCTCCAGAGGTTAGACTAACCTTCAGGACATTTGCTACAGTGGCATTTTGGAAGTATCTCTGCAGTGTGTCTTTCCTGTGCCTCCTGCTGCTCTGCTCCGATCTGACATTCAAACCGACAGAGAGAGATGAGATCCAGCTGAGCAGCTCGGACTCAGAGCTACCGGAGCTCCCTCTGCTCCACTCCCACAGCAATAAACGCTACTTATCAGCTTTAAAGAACAAAAGCTGCTAAGTGTCTGAGCAAATTAAAAGGAAAAAATATATATTTTAGGAAATTATCAATGCATTGTTGTAGTTTTGGCGGCTTGAATGTTTTTTTCAGTTTTGTGCAGTGGGTACATGGGACATTCAGCAGTGAAGTTCAGTTATTATTCATAATGTCACTATTTCAAAATTACTATATTAATAAAATAAATCACCCTTTTTTGTTTTTTTATTTTTCTTTTAAAATAAAAGTATTTTAAGATTTTTTTTTCAGTATTAGGCACACTAAAGTTTCTTAAAATATTACATTATAGATCTTTATACCAAAAATTTGATTTTAACATCTTGTATTTCAAGAATCTGGACTAAATCCTCTTTGGCCTCAAAAAAACTAAAATTGGACAAACTCTGTATGACTTGAACCTGCTTGTCCCAACATTTCCACACATGAGAGGAGTAGAAAAAAACAACACTGATTAAACCGTATCCATGGCAACAAGCGTTATCAGGTGTGTTAGAAACACAGAAGTAGGTCACCTCTGTCTGTCTGCGCCGCTTTATATCCATTATATAACCTTGTTAAGTAAAATCTGTCTAAGAAACGACCTTCTTCGCTGCTGCTGGGACTGAGGGGATTAAAACAATGGCAACAAATCACCGCCTTCAACTTTCCCCGAGAATAAATCTATTTCTGCTCCTTTTCAGCTCCACCGTTTCTCCTGTCTCTTTTCCTGCTCAGCCCCTGAGATATTCTGCATTTACATCTTATTAGAAAGTCTGAGATGATGAGAGCGCTGTGTATCTGCCAGTCTGCATACACAGTCTGCTCCTGGATCCAGGTGAGGGGGAGGAGACTCTCACACGCAATCACCTGTCAGCCAGGTTTCTATTAGGACGCTCACACACTGTTTGCTCTCACTGCTGTAGCTCTCCTACTGACATGGAGAGTCTAACGAGAGCACGCCGTGTATCCTCATCTATTTCTGTTTCCTTCGTTTCTGCTGAGAATTATGGGAAATGAGTCAATGTTAAACCTAAGATTCCTTCTTCTTCAGGTGATACAGTGTGGGCCATCCAGGAATACCACAATCATTTGACAGGGTAACTTTCAGATTGTCCTTCATGCTACTTTCACAGTAAACCTTTACCCTTCCTAAGTTCCCATGAGTAAGGGATGAGAACCCAGTCAGAGTATAACAGAGTTGGGTAGCAGCAGCTTCCTTCATTTGTGTACAGTGTCACAACTAGAAAATCAAAAAAAGAAAAATAATAATAGGTCCACTTTAAAGTGGAGGCACTGGATCAGTGTTTTCTATTGCACACATTCAGGCTACTTGAACCTGGAAACATTCTTTGTTTGATATTTAGCTTCAACTTATGCGATTTAGAGTAATGTCATTTTTTTACGGAAACAAGAAATAAAAAAAATTTTAAGGATTAAAACTGAACTATTTCTATTCTGCAGTAATAAGCTGTTAAATGTGTTAAACAGGCAGCAGGACGTCTGATTTTTTGTTATAGAAAAACACACAAAAAAACTACATTTCTACGCCGAACAAAAAAAAAAAAAAAAAAAAAAACCCCAAACAGACTTAAATAATTTTGCACGTAAAGGTTTTGAAATCAGTTTTTCTGCTGATCTTTAAAAACTTCTTAGATAAACTATCGAGTTTATCTTTATGGAGATAAACCCTATTGGTCTTTCCATTAACCTAGTTTAACTGTTTTTTTTTGTTTGTTTGTTTTTTTTACTTATACTGTAGTTTAAAATTTCTTTTGACATATAAAGCATGTATTTTACATGTTTTAGAAGCAGCTGCAGGTTCAAAGCCAAATATAGTAGACAGTACATAACATGCTAGTGTTTTACTGCCTTCCTAGTGAAGGGATCACTGGTGTCCTGGTGAGGTAGTTGGAGGGCACATAGCCTCTCTGACCCCTGGCCTCCACCAGGCTCCACTCAGGGTTCCCTCGTTTATCGTGGGGCTCCAGGACGCGGACGGGCTCACCGGCATGGACAGATACTTCATGGTTTCCTCTGGCTGTGAAGTCGTAGGCAGCAATCACCTTAGGGAGCAGATGGGGAAATGATCAATTTCACGTCTGGTTCATGCTCAGAAACCAGGTCATCAGCTTGTGTGTCGCAGTGAACGCAGATATACCCCCGTCCCTTCTGCATACAACCTGGGGCACCTCTTCAAAATTGTAGGTGACCACAGACAGTGTCGCAGACAGGAGGCCTCTGATTGGTCAAATCTACATCCGCTCTACACTATGCATCATTGTGGAAAACGACTTGTGAAGAGTGAGATGCACAAGAACGATGGGACCCTTTTTTTCACCTGTATTCCCGCTCTTTTTTGCCCTCATGTGCCTCCGTTGTCGCCCAAACTTGCCTCTTGCATTTTTCCACTTCCTCACCGCTTCGGCCGTATCTAGACCCACAGCTTATTCGTGATTGTCCCTCTTGCGTTGTAGCAGCGTGGAGTAGATGACGCTTCAAAATTGGGCATAAATCTAAAATATCTCTGTCATACCTGCGATACACTGCTGCGAGAGCAAACACAACCCTGACATCCAACCTGGACGCTCATTTCTGGATTTATTTCTTATTTCATTATTAAACAGATAAACCTACAGAACAATTTTTGTCTACCTGTGTTAGACTCTTGCTAATCTTACTTAAAGCCCTGCAGTGAATGCTCTCGTGTCTTATAATGGTTGCTTTGTGTGATTTGGATGTAAGAGTCCGTCATTAAAAAGCTCCTGCTGTTACAATGGCCTTACTGACAATTACTGGGGCAACAAGTAAAAACCTGGTAATTGAAGCAGGATATTCTCCAAACAGAAGAAAAGAGATAAACAACCTTTTGACAGAAGTTCTGCAGATTTTTTCTTATTTTTCATGCCTTGCTTTTTAAATAATTTAGTGTTTAAAAATTAGTAACCTGTGACGTTCCTAATGTATAACCAAGCTGTGTCAAGAACAACCTTACAATGGTAGAGAATAAACGAACCACTTACTAACACAATTTTTCTTTTAACACTTCTGTTATCATTTATTTTTGCCATTTTTGCAAATTCTAACACATTTTCATGCAGCTGAGGGAAAAAAAGTCAGTAAGCAGGAGAAAAATGGCACAATCTCTTCGATTTGTCATTGTGATAATTCTTTGGAAAGGTTAAGCCCACCAGTTATGTCTGGACAAATCCCAGCTCATCGCCCCACGCTCTCACATCCACAGGCTGAGGACTTCCTAATGAGCCTCGCGTTGGTATGACAGAGCGCCCTACCAGCACTAACAGCAGAGTTTAGGTAGCCGATCCATGTCATTAACAAACCCTTCCCTGCAGCTCACCTCTCGGCTACTACATCAGTCCTGCCCTGACAGTCCACACCAATTAGCATTTAATTAGATTTTTTACAAGACAGCGAAAGGCAGGAGGGAAACGAAGTAAAGGGACCGTCTCTGTGGACTGAGGAGGGATCCGTGTGAAGGAGAGAGACTGAGATTTGGTTAAAAAGTAAAGAAGGTCGTAGTGCTGAATTCCTGTTATTTCTGGGAGAAAATGGTGAGATGAGTAACACATCATTGCTTGACAGAAGTCATTTGGTAACAAATCTGAAATGTTATAAATCTATGTTCATAAGATAGAAAGATTGTTATCTTGTCCTTTCAAAGCCAAATTTATCAAATCAAAAATGAGTTGATTGTGGCGTGCTCTTGAATCTCATCCAGATCACAGCATGCTTCTGAGATCTCTTAGCTTACCTCATCATCATACATCTTCTACTTACATTACTTGGTTTGGTTAATGAAACTGAATAAAAAAAAAGGGTAGGCATCTTCAAAAAGGGTGATCAGGCGTTATGGTCAGGTGTTTTAGATAAAAAGTGTTTCTATCATCTGCTTTACAAACTTTATACTTGTCTAATAATAGAATGTATTTGCGCAAATGAAAAATTGAGTTATGATAGAAGAAAAAGGGCCTTCAGTTTCTTATCTTTAAAAGGGCTGCATGCATGACACGTTAACACAAGTCTGAAAAGATTCTTGAAAAAAAAATTTCTGCTTGAAGATCTGCTGATGCATATGTGTGAAGAACAGCTTCCACTGCAGCATCTGCAACTAAGGGTTACATTTTCACAAACTCTAAACACCAAACCAGGAATTTAAATGTTTGCAGAGATACATTTTACTCCCTTCTAAGGTGTTGTTGTTGAGCTACATTAAAGCCATATAGTTTGCTAAAAAGAAAATTTCAACCTGAAAAAATAACAGTTGTATACTTTTCGCAGCAAAAACCAGGAGCTGCATTAAGCTGTCTAATAACAGCCAGGGTATAAAGCTGCAGTGAACATCAGAGTAGTCCTGTTTCTCTGAATGTGACTGATCGAATTTGCTCTCTTCATTCTTTGACATAGGGATTTCCTTATTTTTCAATGTCTGCTTCTGTCCCCTTGAACCCCACTCGGCCTCGGCAGATGGCCGCTCACATTGAGCCTTGTTCTGCTGGAGGTTTCTTCCTGTCAAAAGGGAGTTTTTCCTCTCCACTGTCGCTACAAGCATGCTTAGTGTCAGGGGTTGCCTTTGACTCAATGAGTCGATGCAATCAACTGGTTTTCCTTAGATAGAAAACTTTGAATCAATTTGACTGGATGATCTGGTTGAACTGTAAATTGCCTTGACATGACATGTGTCGTGAATTGACTCTATATAAATAACTTAAATTGAATTGAATTCATATTGTTGCTGCTGTTTCTAGTAGCTAACCTGTTGCCTAGGTTTTCAAACGTCATAGTATTAGAATGGGATGCTGACCCCTGACGTTTGGAGGGATAAAACTGTGATTGTCTAACATGGTCAGAGCAGTTAAAGATTTTTCTTTGGCAAAGGAAAACGCAGGAAGGAAAAATAAACATCAGCAACTTCCACTGGATCGACAGCACACAGTAAAGTATCTTTGCCAGATATGCATATCCTCCTGCATACACGCAAACACACACTAAGTTGAGTCGCCGATGTTCACACTTCCATAAATCATGCTAATCAAATCTAGTATCCTGACCCTCAATCATGTCGTCTCAAACATAAATCAGTCAAACAACATGCAGCGCACACATGAGAAGAAAGGTGCATTATCTCTGCCTGCAGCTCTACGGCGCATAAATTAACTGGCAACTGACATACAAGGTTAAACAGCTAATTTATGGACGCTTCCTTTCAGACACACACCCCTCCCTATGACATAATATCTGTTCAGCTCTACCTTAGCAGCCCTCTCTTGTGGAAAGTAACTAGAAGCAAATTACCAACACTGATAACATAATTTATAACTACAGTAACAAAGAGCAGTCAGTTACATAGAAAACTGATGATTTCATTGTAAAAAACTGTCAAAAGAGGACTGTTTCATTGAGAAAACTCTATGTTGTTGTTTTTTAATTTCACGCTAACAGGAGGTCTAGGCCATAAATGTCCAAGACTTTCCTTGTTTGGCAATTATCGAATATAACAAACTCAGTCCAGCTGTTTCCTTCCTGGTTGCTTTAAGATAATAGTAGATTTCAGTCAAATATCTGTATAAAAAAAAATAAATAAAAATTGAGCTATTATCTGTCAAACATAAATGTGTGTATTTCTGTCTAAGCCAAACCTGCTGTTCTTTAGCTTAACATAAACAACAATGTATGAGTTGCATCGTTAAGCTGAACCATTTACAGTTGAAGCAATAAAATATGAAAAGCAATCAGTTAAAGAGCATGTTTTAATTTATGTTGGGTGAATAAAATCTTTAAAGTACCAACATACATAATTAAACTCTTTTTCTCACAGAATATACTGAATGTAATTTAGTAAATCACTTTTCAGACACAATAAGGGAATTTACAGAAATGCTTTTCTACAAAAGCTTCTGCATTCCTGTATCATTTGGAATGAGGCTGTGTAACAGCAGGACATCATACCTACTCTTTTGTAGTTTATTATAACAGGAAAATAATTGTTTTGACTCTAAAAAGATCTCCCTATTGGTAAAAAAACAACAACCCCCCCCCAGAAAAGTAAAGTAACTGATTATACGATGGTACAAGTTATACGGTTAGACGGTTTACATAATAATAACTAAGAATTTAAAGCTGTTTGTTCTTTTTTAATTTTGTTCTTTTATTAGTATTTAAAACAAGTATTCCTAAAGTTCATCAAAAATATATACATCATACAAAAACTGACTAATTTTTAAAATCTGATGTCTTTAATTAAGTCAGTTTTATGAATTTGGACAATGGTGGCTCATTAGGTTGGGGTTCAACTTACAACCGAAGGGCTGGTTAGAACCCTGAAACTTAATTTTATTTTTTTTTTACTTCTTGATCAAATAAAGGTTTTGAGAGAAACTTTGCAGTATTTTCAAATGTTATTTTTTTCTACTTTTTTCTTTATTTTTAACTTAATTTCAAATTTCTATTTTTCAGACTGAGGTTTACAAATTTCATCGTTTCAAATTGTGTTTTACAAATCACAGTCTTCAGTTCAAGCCCACTATTAACTTTCTATGACAGCACATTGACCAGTGAAAATGCTGTTTCTAACAAGCAATAGAAATTAAACCTGCTCCCAGAAATGAAGAGAATGGGATCTGTAAAAAACTATTTAAAAATAATTACAGGATAAATTTGAAAAACCACATTCAGAAAGGCAGTTTAAAAAAATAAGAAAAACAAAATTGAAACAATTAAGTCAGTCAGTAATTTGGAAAAGTCAAATTTGAGAGATCAGCAACGTTCATCACAAAAGCTTTTTTTGGGTAAGAAATATTTGAAACTTTGATTTCTGTATTGCTTTTTTTTTATTTCCATTCACAAAACCTTTTCTTTGGTTAATCCTGGCAGCATTATGCTCCGTATGATTCAGTCTAGTAAATGAACCAATCACAGCGCGGGAGGCAGGACTTGCACGACTCTCAGCACTAGAATCCCCCATAATCCAACAGCGCTGTTCTGCTAACATAACAACAGACTTGTGACTGTAACGGAGCAATGTTGCAATAAAAATTAAGAATGTAATAGAGAGCAAACCTTATATTCTCAGATTGTTTTAGACCAAACCAGCAGAAATCAGCCACAGTTTATTCAACAGCTTGACAAGTTTCACGGAATACGAAATTACTAAAGCAGAGGGCGTTGCTTGGAGTTTTTGCTTCACATCTGTAGTTATCTGATTGGTTCTAACCTGATGAGGCCGACCCTGCTAGTCCCGCCTTTAGTCGTTTACCAGACTGATATGCCGTGTAAACGTAGAATCAGTCAGGCTGGCCAGGCTATCTTTGGTGTCAACATTGATGGAACGTAATATGCTCCACAGTGTTTAATCATGTTTGAACTCTAGACTTTCTACATGACTTGACCAATGTAATCTACGTGGACTCATCTGGTCGTCTTTGTGTGACCTTGCACATTTGAACTATTTTTTTTATCTATAATTCGACAGCATTATTTTTCCGACTGCCTTTTATATCTTTTAAACCCATTACAGTTCTTTTACATTTGCTTAAATCCAGCTGAAGTATGTCCACCTGAACGCAACCAGATGCTTTCATTTGTAAATATCCTGAAATATGCTTTCGAAAAAGATAATAAAACCCCTTTATCTAAACAAAAGGTAATGGGCAACGGGGAAAAAGAAATACAAAAGGTTAATATGTGGAAACAGAAAAAATACGTGAAGTAATGAATTACCTGGAATAAAGGTCGACTTGTCACCTGGATGAGTTGGGGGTCTGGGGTGCAGGAATGTCTCCTTAATCCGCTCATATCCGCTGGCATAGGAAGAAATGGAGAGGGGGGCGGGTCCTCCACTGCTTGGTGATAGCGAGCAAGCTTTGCGGACGCAACATAGCCTTTTTTTCCTGCACACACACACACAACTTGACACTTAACACATCAATTTACACAACAAATTATTACATAGAATGAGTTTTCCCAGTTTTCAATCGTTATGTAATTGTTTCTATAAAGAAACTTATATATTGTTTTACTTTATTAGAATCGTAAGAAATAATCATCTTGAAACAAAATATAATTTCATCGTTAACCTATATGTCTGTTTTTATTTATGATTATAATGGCTGACATCCTGAAATCAAGCAAATGCAGTATTTTATTCTCTAATAAAAATGATCTTTACGAGCTAAATTAATTTTAGGACAAGATTTCCCCTAAAATGTCCAAAGAAAAAGCTTGTAAAATTATAAAATCCTTTTTATTGGATGCTAATCTTTAATCATTTGGAGCATATGCCAACACCTGCTTTCTCTACAAAGGTAAAACTGAATATTTAACCAGAGAATTAGTATATATTTGAACTGTAACTATCTTGCAACTATGGAGGTTGGAACACACAGAAAAGTCCCTTTTTTATCTTTGCCTGTTTCTTATTTATGGTTTTTAATAGAATGAGGATGGATGGCTTAAGGTTTGGACTTATGAATCAAAGGATCCTGTAGATACCAAGCTCACAAGTTCCGCTTTGAAACAATAACACACAGGAAATGAGTTTCTGTAAGAATGTCAAAGCGTTTTCTCTATAGGTCTGTTTACATCTCTATCTAATAATCTACATCTATAACTAACCTGTTTAGTGGTTATTTTTCAAACACAGATTTTCACCTGCTAATTTGCATATTCAAATCTTAAAAGCCAACCTTATTGTTATAAGTGAAATTAACCAGTAGATGGCAGCATAATGGTATCTTTGAGAAAAGCTGCAACCTGAGAACATTTTTTTTTCCATGCATCCCTTTGAAAATTAATCACAGCAGAAAGAGATTTATGATCCACTCAATGAGCTCTTGATATATAGGCTCAGATTAACATTAATCACTAATACAATTTTAAAAAAGTCTGTTCAAGCCGAGATTTAACACTGAAAGGTAAACAAATCCAGAAAACATTTGCTAACTCTGTCCAGAACATTTCACAACAGGAACTGGTTTTCACCTCCTGCATCAACCAGCCATCTCCGTTTGTCTCCGCGGGTGTCGGTCTCGCTGATGAGGGCCACCAACTCTCCCTTAGTCAGGTTCAGGTCGAAGTCCCGGGTGGCCACCACCGTGCTTGTCACCTGGAAGATCTTTCCAGAGCCGTGTTTATCTGTCAGCTGCTTCAGACGGCGCTGAGAGGACGGGCTCAGAGGCTGAAACAAAAGAAAGGCAGAAAGTAGATGAAACTAGCAAGATCTAACCTAGAAATTACGTCACTTTGTACATTTTCCTTAAATCCTCAGCAGTGAGTCACATTCACACCTGAATGACCTAACGTTTCAAAGATGATTGTTTTCATGCCCTGTGACTTGACGTATCTTCAGGCAGAGCGTGTTGGACAGCGCAAATAGTTTTCTAAAGGTGAACTTTTAAAGTTCCAGCCAAACATGACGTGAGCGAGCATTCCACTGTCTTTCCAGTTATTTTTATGCACGTTGTTTGACAAGTTTAAATGATTATGATGATCAACTCGTACAACAGGAAATACAGGCAGCTGTGCCTTAATAAAGCAAGACCTTTTGTTTTGGCTTGTCACTTTAAATAAAGTGTGTAATTACCGTCTACATCAGGGAGTTGTGCTTTTTAGTCTGTGAGCTTCTTTTGGTGCCAGTTAAAAAGAATGTAGCAGCTATTCTTACTCCTGAGTTTATAATGAGATGTTCCAGTAGAAAGGGAATGACTGATTCCAGCTATGGCACAAAAGGAAGTACATCTGCTGTTAGAAGTTTACATATACTCATGCCATTTCTTTCAGGTTTTATATTTTCTTCTAAAAAGGTTTTCATGCTTGGAAAAATCATATAAGCGCGTAATTTTTTAACAAATGCTAACCTTAATGTTTCTGCAAACTTGAGTCTCTATTAAATTGAAGGTGGAACCTTGGTGCGTTTTGCTTTCAGGGGTACAGTAATGGTTTGATTTCATGCTTGTGGTAAGATTTTTCTTTTACATTCAAAAAATAAATAAGATTTTTTATGTTTTTCAAATTAAATATTCACATTTTTTAGAGATCCAGATTCACATTCTGAATCAAATCAAAGTGTTTTGAATTATTTTAAAATACTGCTCTCTACCACCTGCCTCTAAAAGTTTCCTGATCATCCAAAGTCCTTGCATTAAAAGGGGACAGTTTGGGCAAAATCCAATATTTGCAATAGTTTGACTTGTTCATCTTGGATCATGCAGTTTTTGAGAGGCACTGAAAGATTTTGAGAAAATGTAAATCTACGAGATCCATTCTTAAACCTTCACCGAAGTTTCTTTGACTTTCTGATTGTTCTAAATGTTGGTCAGAGCCTCACTTGGTAGAAAACTTAGGTGAATATAAAAAAAATAACTTATTTCTAGTTTATTGATCTTTATGCATTTGAGAAAGCTTGTTCAATTATTACATAGAAAACTTTGAATCTTCTAAATTTGCCCTTTATGTCCATTATTCTCATTATTGTTTTTTTTTTTATATATATATCTTTGAATGTTTCCCTTACATTTTTCTGCTCATACATTTCAATATTCTATTCCAGGGGTAACAAATTAAAAATTAGTGGGGTCTGAAAAAGGAAAATCATCAACCAGTAAAGGTCCGGAGACATTTTTAATTATAACCTGTTACTTTAAACAGAATTTAACACTGAAATAAAATTTGGTTTTTATGCATCCATGTTATACACTGAATTTTATAATAAAAAAACAAAAAACATGCTGTAATTTATTCATGTTTTAAAGGGGTCATAGAATGAAAAAGTTTCCATTGTCATAGATGAATAACGATAGTTCAGTGGGTGAAATGGACGTACAGGGAAGGTCAAACCCCATCGACACCTCCTTTCTCTGCAAATCTTACAATTCTAAACTTCCACCATAAAACGGGCGAATCCAAACGAAGCACCGAATTGCCGTCAATTCGGGGTTTTTGCCCTATTTGGTTGAAACTGACATCCAGACCAGCCCACTGGTTCGCTGGCACCAGAACATGAATAGAGATAGATGTAAGACACCAGTTTAGCTGTTTAGCCTACAGTTGGGTTTACTTCTACAAGAATTACAAAGCAGGCAGTTTCTCTATTGAAAATGAGCCAGAACCACAGGCGTAAATGCAGCGTTCCAGGAGAAAAGGGGACATTTTCACAGTCTTCCCAAGAATCCGAAGACTCGATGGTCAAGGATTATTTTTGTCTATCATAAGATCCCTGCAGTTTGATGCTGAGCTGTTCATTTGCTCTAAGCATTTTACCGAAGACAGCTTTCAAAATCTTTGACAGTTCAAAGCAGCATTTGCTAAACTTCTTTCACTGAAACGAGGGGCTGTTCTGACCTTAAGGCCATCACAACCGCAAGCTGCAAGTATGATTCTGTCGCTAAGCTGTTAATAGCAATGTTAGCATATCTATGGTGAATGCTTGTTGCTATGATGCGTCTTTGCTCAGCAGCTTTGCTCTTTTAAGCAAACCAATCAGCACACAGCTCATCTAAATATTAATGATCATTCCATAAAAGGAAGAAAACCTGTCGTTTCATTCTGAGGCTTATAACCAGGTTTGCATTAGGGCTCATAGAACAGCCAATAAGCCATTTTCACCCCAACCAATGTTACACACCCTATTCAGAGACCTTAAAGACCAACACCAAATACCCATTTATAGTCATTCTATGACCCCTTTAAATCATGTTGGGTCTGGATAAGCCAGCAGGGGGGTCCAGATCCAGACCACAGTCCGCTAATCCATGACCTCTGTTCTATTCTATTCATTATAGGAAGAATTTTAGTTTAAATAAAATAGTAAAAGCCTCCTTAAATGAATGTGTCCTTCGTGCCCATGAGGACTGGATGTCAATGGGATGTCAGCAGGAAACATCTGAATCCTGGCTCCCCTGTGCATCCTTCAGAGACTGCGTCTATCCACCTCCTCCTGGATATTATGTTGACAGGACACTCCGCTCCCTCTGCCTCCTCCCTTCATCTGAACCAACTTTGTGTGTGGCCAGTTGATGAACATTCATTACATCGTACTATTGAGGACAATGGCCGTGGAAGAGAGATTCATGCACTTACAGTGCACACACTAACATGCACACACTTTAAATAAATCCATTGCTTTCAGTCAGAAAACCAGTGACTAAAACACAATTGTTCCATTCCAACTCAACCTGGGCAGCTGGAGCATTGAGAGCTTCCTCCACACTTTGGCATAAAGTCTCCAACTGCCTCGCTCCTTCCAGCACTGCAGATTCCACCCACTCCTGGAATTCCTTAGGGTGCAGAGAGCTGTGAGGGAGCTGCAAGGGAAAAGATGCAGAGCCCATCATTACATGTAGCGTTACATAAAGTTTTATACATTTGTTTAATTGAGTGTTTTATTTTTTAAGATAGATATGGAAGCCTGTACCTGTTGAGCAAAGCTTTGAAAGACCTGCTCCATGTCTGCAGCCAGATCTCGATGCAAGCAGCTGAACGTTCCCAACATTCGCCAGATCATCTGCAGAGCTAGGCCATTAAAGCGAGGAAGCTCATTGAGGAGCAGCGTGTTAATTGTCCTGGAAGGGAAGAAAGAAATTTGCATTGAAAACTGGAAAATAGCAAAAACAAAACTTTAATATTAGCTTGACAGCACAGCAGAGGTATGATTACATTATGTAACTTCAAATATAAATAAAAACAGATGATAGAGACAAGATGGTGTAAAAAAAAAAAGTCTACTCAGTGAGGAAGAAGCTATTCCTCCAAAAGCAGCACAAAATCCCAGATTTCAGTTTGATACAATGAAATGTCCAGTGGTCTGTTATAGAGTGAGGTGTTGGAGAATAATGACCATCGCTGCATTTAGAAGAATGGAGGGGGAACTTGTGACCCTGTGAGCATTATCCCACCTGTTAAGTACCAGGGTGGGTGTATCGTGTAGTATTGGAGTGCTGCTGCAGGAGGGGCTGGTGCACTTCACAAAATAGATGACTTCATGAGCAAAGAACATTATGTGGAAATATTAAAGCTGCAACCCAAACCATCGACCCAGGGAGTTAAAGCTTAAGACACAAATGGATGATGATCTTCAACAGGCCATCAAATTATCAACAAGAATGGCTGAAAAACAACTGAATTAACATCTTAGATTGACCAACTCAAAGATCTAATCTCAGTTCAGTAGAACATTTGTGGGAAATCCAGTAAATTTCTCAGAAATGCTAATGGATGCACACTCAGATATGACAGCAAAAATAATATTTTTATCAAACAGACTGATTTGATCCTAAATCAGCTGAAACAGTAAAGGTTTGCGCTGATTCAATGTCAATCAGACAACATTAAAAAGGAACAGAAAAAAAAATGGTGGATTTTGTATTTGAAATATTCTAATAATGACATAGATGTTTTAGACTAAATCTAATATATTCTAATTTTATTTCCAAAATGTAGAAAAAAGGCATCTAGGTGCCATATTTCTGGAAAAAATGTTTATTTTATTTTTATTCTAAATTTGAGTGTTTCTTTTTTTATTAAGCCCATGTTATTTTTCTCCATTACTTGTATGCGTTTGCCACAGCCTGTTCGTCGTAGCTCAGTTTGGATTTGCCTTCGATCACTTCGTAGTCCAGCAGCTTGTGGAGTCTCTTTCTAATCAGGTTCTTGGGGCCGACCAGGAGGTCACGGAGGTCACAGAGGGGTTTGTAGATCAGAACCCTCATCCTTTTTTCCTGAAAGGCATTAGAAAACATGTTGTTTTATACATCACACAATTAAAACTTTCAGAAAAGATTGTTTATTTAATTCAGTTTTTACAAAACAAGTTCTATTTTGAAATGGTTCATATTTTAATGTTATTTCTTAGTTCAGCTAATTTACCTAAAGGACATCAACAGATATGACTTACAAACATTGGAAGGATCCACTGTCTGAGCGCGGTCTTGATCTCCTTATAGCAAATAGGGGTCTTTTCTCCATCCATGTCAAAGTCGAACTCTTCTGTCTTACATTCCAGGAACCTCTGCAGACCAACAAGCATTAAAAGGTAAACACTTGCTGTTTATTTCAGATGTTTAACACATTTGTTGGTTTATTTAAAACCCTGAATGTTTGTGTGGTTGCTGAAGCAACAGACAGCAACAGTCTCAGTGACAGAAATAGGAAGATAATAAATGGCTTAGTCTAAAAGTAAAATTTTTGGTCAAATGTATGCACAAGAGAGAAATAAAGACAAGAACAGAATAGCTAAAATAGTGGGGGTATGTTGTGAAAAAAAAAAGACTTAAAAGAGGAAAAAGAATTTTTGGGGGGAAAAGTACTTGGAGAATAATTTTAGACATGAACACAAAGAGTCCTGTGTTTGAGCTCAGATCAGCTCCTGGGTTTACCCAGTATGACTCAACTGCAGCAAAGAAATGTTAAATTATATTCTAGTTTTCCAGTCAACCATACAGGACTGGAAATTTCCAGTATGTGATTCAGCTGGTTCAGTTCGAGCTGTCACCTTTAAGTGAAACATATTCATCTATGAGAATTATATCTGTTGCCATCACATTACAGAAATAAAAGGGATGGAAATATATTAAGTTATGTTTGAGAATAAATGCCTGGAAAAACAATGTTTAAAAGCAAAGTAACCTGTGTAGTTTTTGATTTTTAAGAGGTATGAAATAAGAAATAAAACAGTCCAGAATTAGATAAGAAGATTATGTGCTAAGAATTTAAAGTCCCTGCAGAGAGACTTAAAAAAAGAGACGTGTTTTTAAATTAAATTTCTATCTGGCAGCTATATTTAGTGAAGGGAAAACAACATTCCTGACAGATAACAGACAGTGTATTACACCAAGGATCCATAGCAGGAATGCATTATTATCGATGTTCAAATAAGTGACGTAAGGTTACGTCTTTTAAAATAAAAATACCTGTAGGTGGAGCAGGTATGTTTCCACGTTCTCCAGAAGAACCAGGATCCCATCCTCCAGAATGTTAAAGAAACCTTCAAGGGCATCAAACTCTTCATCCACCAGCTAGAGGAAAACAGCCACATCACAAAAATGACAACCTTATTCTGTTCTTATGGAGGAGAACAAATAAAGTTACCCAGGGTGTAAAGACAAAAATCAGTGGTTTGAACCGTGAACAGCTACTAAACATCCTTATGTTTATTTACATTAGAAAGCATAAAAAGCATATTGCTAATAATGTGTGAAAAGATACTCAGTAATAAATCAATGTTTTTTGGTTCAATGCATGGATGTTAATTAAAGTGGAAAGCAATGAAGAAAATAATAGAGAAGATGATTGCATATTGATGCAGTGTGAAGAGGTCCCACATATCTGCTGGAGTTCCTATAGCAACAGGTGGAGGCGACAATGCTCTGAGCATAAGAAAATTTCCTCAATATGTGTGCGTGTATTGTACTATTGTGTAACATTATTACTTTGCTTTGGTAGAATAAATAAATATATATATATATATATATATATATATATATATATATATATATATATATATATATATATATATATATATATATATATATATATATATATATATATATATATATATATATATATATATATGTATATATTTATATATATATTTATATATATATATATATGAAGAATAAAACACTAATAAACAGAATACACCTAAGGTTAGCATCATTATGCAGCAGGAATGCCTTCAAAACACTGTTTCTGTTAAGTGTGCTAATTTTGTGAAACAGACTATTCTGAGTGCATGAAATATTCAGATTTGGTGTGAGGAAGGTGTGCCACAGAAATGGAGAGAAGAGACACTGCTCTCCTGAATCTCTATGAAGAAGATATAATCCTCTTCATGGAGCCAGCCCCCTGGGAACCGTGGAAAAGGAGTAAAACTGATCCTACTTTAAAACTTAGCAGTGGAAAGTTGAGGATTTGGCCTTTTGTTTTCATGAGAACCTTTAGTTATAGATCAGAGACGATGTTGTATTAGTGTTACACAACTTATAATAGGTCATTAAGACTTAAATTCATGCGTAAACATGCCACCCAGGTGCAATTTTTGTAACTCAGGTGAGTAAAGATCTTTCCCAACATAAGTTACCAACCACTGGATGTAGATAACTCCACAGTTATTATGTCTGTGCAAACATCAACTGAAACAAACAGGCAGGGATTTCCCTTCCCCTTTAAAGCTGCTCACTGAAGTGTGAAGAAGCTTTCACATTTCTGATGCAGGCCTATAGAGAATTACAATGCTGGTATTTAATTCTTAGAAGTCAACTTAGAGAAAAATATGCTGATATTCGGTTCCTCTTTTCTTTAAAAATCAACTGAATATCCAGAGATGTCCTCCTCAGTGAACTGTTTCAGAATCAGTGGCTCTGTGTCGAATACTTTTGACTGAAATCTGAGAACGTTTTTTTTTTTTTTGTAAGCCAATGCCCATTTCTAATTGGGCCCTGATCTGTGCTGCCGAGTTTAAATGGGCTGAATTATAAGCCGATACTTATTAAATGAAACAATGGTAAGAAATGTGACACAAGTCTCAATGAAAACAAAAAAGAAAAGCATATTAACCAATCAAACAAAACATTGGCAATGGATAGAAGATAAAGGAAATACATGAACTTCAACGGATCTCTGGGCAGGGCTCATAAAAAAAACACCCATGAATTAGCAGAAGCACGCATTAATCTGTTGATGCCAATAATACAAAAGAAACAAATATGTGCCAGTCAATACATGGATTTTTCTCTTCATTAGAAGCTAATTATCTAAATGTCTGCTGGGCTGTGCTATTTTTAAACTTTTTAAACTCCTATCGGAGTTTTTTTTCATCTTGCTATCTGTGTTATTTGTGCTATATACAAATGAAATCAATTTCCCACATTTGACTTGGACAGATTATGAAAAGGGATTTTTAAAAATTTTAAAATCCCCCGGCGTATTCTAAAAAGCAAAGCACCACTTAACGAGTCTGTGCAGCATCTCACCCGAACAGATAGAGAATGTTCATAAGCCTATATTAAAAACATAAAACACAGAAATAAACACTTTGGGACGGTTTATATGCTGACTGAGGCAGAGAGGTGATTCTCAGAGAAAGATCTGGGAAGTTTATCCAATTTTTCCTTTCTTTTTTTCATAGAATTGAGAGATATGCCGCGCTAACCTGATCTATCTAGGCCTAGTTATTTTGTTTTTTGTGAGGTTCAAAGAGGATGACTGTTTTACCCTTTTTTCCCTCCTCCTCCTGAAGTTTTTTTTCCCCAGTAGATTGATAAACTGTGGTTTCTGTCCCTTGTTTTTGCAAGGCTCAAAGAGGATCACTACTTTATCTTTTTCTGTCCTCCTGAATTCCAATCATGGGTTAAGTATTCTTATTTAATGTTTCATTCATTGGTTTTGCACGAGTCTGTCCCGCTTATTATTTACGCGATGTGGGAAAACTGACTCTTTCCCCGTGCTATTAACAGATTTTATTTAGTATTTTCCCCCCCAAGCGGATGTGTTTTACTTTGTAACTGCGTCTCTATTCCTGTCAGACCCATGGAATTGCCAATAAATTGCTGCGTAGTCCGACTCAAATAGAGCTAGAGTCTATCTCAGTCTGACCTATGCAGCCTGCTTGCCTAAAAATCTTATCCAACACAATTTTCTGTCAGATTGGAAGCAAAATCGGATTTGCTGTGTTCTGGCCTTTACTGACTATTTTTTTTATGTAAGTGAAGTGCCCTTTTTGTTTAGTAATCAGAATTTTTGATAAATGTTTGTCTTGAGCTTGAAGTTAAGATAAGGTGATCTGTGATACGCAGTTAGAAAAACTGATGCTGCAAAAAATTGAAAACATAAAATCTGTGAATGGCTTTTTGCGGAAACAAAATGTGAAGAAATAAAATCTGAAAAATAAATGAAAAAATATGTAAGTTGAGATCAATTCTTAGAAAATGGCAAAGTGACTCACAAAACTTTTGTTTTAAATGAAATTTTGACTGAAATTTAACAGTGTGCAAAAAGTGTTTTTTTGCTTGCAACAATGTTGGAACATAATTCACTCCATACCTGCAGAGCTGGAAGCTTCACAATGCGGAGGCTATTCCCCTCCTATTTGCACTGTTTTTATATATTTTTCTTTATGGTTTTTCTGCCTGAATTTGTTGTAAAGCATTTTTGGCCTTTGGCCATTGGAAGGTGTTATACAAATAAATTAAACTTTCTTTCTAAATGTCAAAGAAAAGAAAAAGATCCAATCCAGTAAATCAGGTTGTTAAATAGCAGGTCAGTTTTTATCTTTATCTTGTGGATCATTAACTACTGAGGTGCAGCTAGAGATAAGGTGTGCACTGATAGAAGGATTTTACTGCTCAGAGGCCATTTGTTCTGATAAGAAGGCTCTTGTGTTACTTATGGGTTTGGCTCCTCTCTATGCGTAATGTGGGGCTGTTACTGGTTAGGGTTGATTCCTACCTTTGGCACCATTCCAGTCTCGTGTTTGATGTGCTGACTGAACCTTGCTGTCTTCTTTGCGATGCTGTGTGTGTTAAGTCGGTTGATCTTGTCGATAATAGTCAGGTTTTCCGTCTTCTTGTATTTATCAGCTTCAAAACATTAGAAACAAGATTTCAACTTTAGACATAGGGAACTTTATCATTAGCGCTGCTTTTTTAAAATTAAATTTAAACATGATAATGGACTGTTATATTTACTTTGGTGTTTTCTCCAATTCACTATACATTATGGCAGCATCAAAACCACTTTTATTTATTTGCTTTTTTTCCCTTTGCAACCACAATTTAATGCATTTTATTGGGACTTTATGTTCTAGACCAGGGTAGTCCCCAAAAATAAAAAATAAGAACTGATTTATGACCCCTTAAAAGTACAAATAATCACACCACTTTGTATTTATTCATACATATAGAGTGAAGTAATTATAATTGTTTTAGTTAAAGTCTGGATTGATTAAATTACTTGGGTTTTCTCCAGGCAGGCTCTTTGTTCAAATCATAAAAAACCTCCAAGAAGGTGAATGTGTCCTCCTCCTGTATTTACATCTTCCTGGAAGGCTGCTAACATTGGACCACCTTGCTGTAACCTCCCCCGTCTCTATTCCACCAAATGAGACGATTCCACCAATCAGGGACTCACCTTCAGGGGGTTTGCTAGTGTTGCTGCTTGTTTAACTTTTGCCGATTCTGGGTCGGAAACTGGGAAACAACTAATAACTAACCATGACAAACCGCTAACATTGCTAATGTTGTTTCAAATTAACGTGCATAAACAAAAGTTAAATTATCACGCGTGCCCTTGCAACACGTTAGAAAAGGAGTAAAGTAAGTAAAAGTTTGTAAGTAAAATAGCTCATGAGACTTTTTTCTACTTTTTCAACTGCATTATTTCTTCACATTTACTCTATGTGACATATTCAGATGTCCTCTCCTCCATATGTTTTGGGTGTTATAACGAGAGATTGAGCCATTTTGCAAACATTTCTGTAACATTTCTTTTTTTGCAGTAATTTTCCTGAAAGCTGCAGTCCAATTGTTACCAGCGTCATTCATGTGTTTTAGGCTAAAGGCTGTCCTGGTTTAGCACAGCAGTCAACAGCTCCTTTCCTACCCTGGATAGTGTTCTTACTGTTTACCCCATAAAAGGTAAAGGAATAGGAGCTAGGAGCTACAATTTGAGGTATTCAGATCAAGTCTGAAAATTTAACATGTCTGAAAAAAGGGAATTAAAATAGCTGAATTACCTTCTCTTCACCTTAACATATTCTTCCGAGGACTGAGGATTCATTCTATTCTATTAAGAAACAGGGAAACATCTAAAACAAGCATGACATCGGCTAGTTTAGACACTAAACACCAGGGGTTTAGATCGAACCACATTCATCTGTTAGAACGGATCAGTTTTAGTCCAGACCTAAATACAACTTAGAAATAATATTTGCTACTTTGTGTCAGTCAATCACATAAAATAACAGTAAAATAAACAGAGGTTTTGGTTGTAAAGAGACAAAATGTCTGAATTTTAAAAGCAATGAATAACTTTGCATTCTAGACCACTGATCAGAAGCTCCAGTCCCTGAGGGTTCCTGTCCTGCAACTATTAGATGTGTCCCTTGCTCTTTACAGCAGGGTCCAATAGCTTATGTGTGTTACTAGGATGCAGAGCTCTGCTACTGAGATAATATTTGTTCTGTCCCATCTAAACACTTGTAGACCAGCGGCTCGGGACTGGAGTTAAAGATCACTGCTCGGAACGGATGATGCCTCACCGACTTCTCTGAAGCGTTTGTACTCGTTGATACGACAATTTAAGGCGACAGAAGTGTGAGCAGTCTGCTCCAGTAGGCCGTATGCTGGGTGAGAGGGGTCAGTGTGCTTCTGGATGGTCTGCAGGAGGAGAGGATAGCGGGCAATCCGCTGCACCGGCATCACCAAGAAGAAACTCAAAGAGGTGGCATTGACCTCAGGTCTGGGGTGGGTAAAAAAAAAAAAAAAAAAAACTTTATCTAAACTTTTAAAACAAGCAAACAATAACTAACACATGGTAGCTTTCAAGCTTATTTTCTTTTCAGTAATTGTGTCACAGTGGTAGACAAAATAAAATATTTGAAACTCACGCTGAGGTCTTGATGATTGTAACGATGTCATTCCAAAGTGCCTCCTTCTGTTTGTAGCTGTTCTCCACTAATGAGACATGATTATAGTGCCGCAAGTATTCTTTATAAGCTGCTTCAATATCTGAGGAGAGGCTGAGGAATGAGGTACCTGTTAGGAACAATAAAACAGATGCATAAATACAGGAACAACAGAGTGCAGGGAGACAAAGAAAATGCTTACCTACGGGGTAAAAACCATTTTTTTAAATTTACTAAATGAAACAATAGAGAAAAAAAAAGAAAAACCTCTTAACATCCACCTCATTCTGGGAAATTCTCACCTATTTTACACACCCAAATGGAAAAGCAAATAACTTAGGAACTGTAAGCCCAAATTACATGTGCAATACATTATTTGAAAGCGAACACCCTCTAGTTTCTGAATATATGAATTAAAATTGGGTGAGTACAACACAGACCAAGCAGCATCAGTTCAAACATGACTCAAAGTTGTTGTTTTTTATTCTCAGAAATGATAGGTCTTTTTTGACCAGCAGTGATAAAGACATGCTTGAGAAAAGGCAGGTTTCATTGTATAACATTTGTTCTACATCATGTCAACCACAAATGCAGAAAATTTCGGACCAGCATCTCCAAACTTCGCCAAATTGTGCCAAATGCTTTTACTGTGTTTTGCTTCACTATTTGACCCATAGAATATCACTGAAGCATTTTGGTGGCCACAAAACATTTATAAAGCAAATTTTCCACTTTTTTTTTTAAATCACTGTATATAACAAAATTTAGAATGTATACACCAATAATAGCATAGAAAATCTATAAAATATAGTAAAACTGAAGCTTTTCAAGTCATAATAAGGCGCAGTGCCTTTTTTTTCAGCCTTAGGTATTGTAATAAAACGAATCAGGATCAAAGCTTAACAAAAAAATAGGACCGCTCTGTCACTCAGCTTGGAGCTGCATGCATGGCTCCAGCCCCAGCTGTTTGTGTCTCCCTAACACAAGCCTGTTACACGGTATCACTTTAAATAACCTAGGCACAAGTAGGCTTGTTTAAAACCTTATTTCATTGGGTACAAAGCCCAACAGCCCATGTGGTCTTAACCAATAACAGCAGGACTCTATGAGGCGTAATATAGTGCGTCACTGGCTGACAGGAAGGAACCAGAAGTGAGATTTTGGGGACTATATCTGGTTCAAATCGCATCATAAAAATATGCAGACACTTGTGTCTTGTAGATAAGAAGATGATGTAAAGAACCATACCAAACATTGCAGACTAACAACCGAGGAAATAAGTATTGGGAAGTAAATATTAGCAAGATTCTGAGAATAAGCTATGACAAGTTAACTTTTCTGATGTCAACAACCGGATGTTATGGGTGATTTTCTCATCAAGGAATATTTTTATTACAAATTAGCTGGATGACTTTTAATCTGTGGACCCTTATGGACGAATAAAGTATAAACAATTGAAGATTGGATATATAAAACGGCTTCTGGATGCCTTCAAAGGTATGTAGCTGTGGCTGCTTTGTCATGTTTACATGTGCTATGGTGCTCGCTATGTCCATAAAATGAACTTGCTAGTTGAATTGTGGAGAATCTAGGCTTTCCAGTGATGTCTAACATGTCTATAGTAGTAAAAATTGTACCGGTGGAATTTTAGGGATACCCCACTTAACATCCACCAGGTCGCCGATGACCCAGTGGTTTTAAGAGTGTGTGATTATTAACAGCATCTAACTGTATGATCTGACCATGGGAACTTGTAATGAGGTTCTTTTTTTTGTGATTGTGTAGTGGATGATCAATAAAGACTGCGGTCTTTGCTAATGTTAAAGAGCCATTACAGTTTTTTTTATGATACTGCCACCTGTGGCCAAAACACAAAAGGAAGAATGCTACTTACACATTTGTATAGTGCTTATAGTCTACAAGCTTGTTTTTATTGTTTTACTTTTTTCACCCAACAAGGAGTTTCCATCAGCGTCTGAGTTGAGCTGAATGCCTGGATGTCGCTTTTGAAGTACAAAGCAATCAAAATATTGCTTTCATTATTTGCTAGGTTGGACCCACACTGAAAAATAATGCAACTCATTTTAGCATTTATTTAATCAAATTTAATTAGGCATTTAGCAGACGCTTATTCCCTAATTTTTTTCATGTTAGCATGAAACATAACTAAATATGATTAAGTAAATGCCAAAAAACGGTTGAATATTTTTTTACCGTGCATTTAGCATTAACGCGTTCAATGTCACATCGGGTGAACAGCACATGAACTTCTGACCCAAAGTAAATTGAGGAACATCGACTACAGACTTATAGATGCATCGCTGCTTGACTACTGAGGTGTCCGTTTGCTGATCTAACGATGTTTTAGTCGTAAAGGGTAAAAAAAAAATATCTATAGTTTAAAACTTACATAAAGTCTCTTTAAGGGAGACCAGTGGTTCCCCAAATCTCCTAATTTGGTTTCAAATGAGGAGATTGCATCAGAAATTGGCCATAGAAAAAAGAGAAGGTCCTAAGCCATGAAGTTGGAGGTAATTATGGTGATTATTGCAATAGTTAGGGATATGCAAACACAAAAGAAAGGTTTGGAAAGACAAACCACTTCCCGCCTCCTTTAAAGATCTGCTCTGTGGGGATGAAAATGTTTACACATTGGCCTTAAGAGTGGGGCCCGTAAAAAGCGATGTAAAAATATATTTTAAAACGCAGAAATACATGAACACTGTCTCAGAATTAACGCAATCTTTCTAATCCCAACAAGATTGAAAAAGTTTTGTTTTATTTCACAAGAACAAGATCATTTCACTTAAGTTCTTTATCTGATACTTATCTAAAAATAAAAAATTAAGAGTGTAAAAAGATTTATCTCCAGTCTAAAAGTAACCTCGACACAATTGATCTATAAATAAAACATTTCTAATACTTTACTCTAAATTAGTGGTCATAATCATAACTTGATGGAAGAATGCTAAACAAAGGATAATAAAGGCTTCGATGACTTACAGAGGGTTTCTAGGAAGTCTGGGTTTTCAGGGGTGAGCTGCTTTTGGTCCAACATGCTGAGAAGCCGACCTGATACATCCATCACCTCATCTATGTAGAGAAACACACTGTCCAGGTTGGGTGGAGGAGGCTGAGGGGGAAAATGAGATGAAAATACTCAACTTCTCTATACTGCAGAAATATAAAACACACTTGTAGATACAGTTCTATTGTTAAACATATTAAATATCAAAACCAAAAATTAGAGTTGTTGCAATAAAAAAAAATGTTGCATGCTCCACCGTTTTACAGCAACCATTAAAGATCTTTCCCAACATAAGTTACCAACCACTGGATGTAGATAACTCCACAGTTATTTTGTCTGTGCAAACATCAACTGAAACAAACAGGCAGGGATTTCCCTTCCCCTTTAAAGCTGCTCACTGAAGTGAGAATAGAGAATTACAATGCTGGTATTTAATTCTTAGAAGTCAACTTAGAGAAGAATACGCTGATATTCGGTTCCTCTTTTCTTTTAAATCAACTGAATATCCAGAGATGTCCTCCTCAGTGAACTGTTTCAGAATCAGTGGCTCTGTGTTGAATACTTTTGACTGAAATCTGAGAAAGTTTTTTTTTTGTAAGCCAATGCCCATTTCTAATTGGGCCCTGATCTGTGCTGCCGAGTTTAAATGGGCTGAATTTGAAGCCGATACTTATTAAATGAAACAATGGTAAGAAATGTGATACAAGTCTCAATGAAAACAAAAAAGAAAAGCATATTAACCAATCAAACAAAACATTGGCAATGGATAGAAGATAAAGGAAGCTGAAATGTATGAACTTTAACTGATCTCTGGGCAGGGCTCATAAAAACACCCATGAATTAACAGAAGCACGGATGAATCTGTTGATGCCAATAATACAAAAGAAACAAATATGTGCCAGTCAATACATGGATTTTTCTCTTCATTAGAAGCTAATTATTTAAATGTCTGCTGGGCTCTGCAGTCCAACCAAACTTCAGCTAAACAAAAACAGGTGATAAAACTGAAACAGACATTGTCTGATAAACGGTGTGATAAACGGTGAGCACCATGGATCCCTATGTTCTTTGGTCTTTACAGAGATTTACAGCAATACTTTACATTTGAGTTAACCCTTTAATAACAACATTCTGAAGCTGAGATGTATGGAAAAGTGAAAACGTAAAAGCATTAATGCCACAGCTGCCGTCTCCTCAGCAACTCAGGCCCTGCTGTCCTGTTTCTGCTGAAGTAAGCAGGTCTTGATGACACGATGCTTCCAGATGCATCCTGATGGGCATTTTGGTGAACAGGTTCAATTTGGGCTAGTGGCAAACTGCTTTGCTTCAACAAGGACTTTCTTGTTGAAGCTTCTACCAACCCAGACTGTGAGGTGATCTACTGATAATTTCCCTGACAACAGATTTCCCTATATGAGTCTTGGATCTCTGCATCTCAGAACTCAACAGGGTTAGCATACAACAGACTATTTCAAACTGTAGTCGATGGACTGAACATCGACATCGCTTAGGAGGATATTTTTCTGTATCCAAATCAAATTATTAAGCTTTTTCCATCTTCCTGCTGTGTCATTTGTTCTAGAACAGGGGTCCCAAACGTGGGGTCTGGGTCCCCTTTAGGTGAAGCATAAAGCGAGGAGTCGAGAAATGGTTTTCACCGTCATCATGATGTGATTGCTAAGGTATATGGAGTGTAAAAATACATCATAAAGTAAATAAATATGCTAAATAAGTAACATTTATTTATCTGATGTATGATTAAAATATTAAATATAAAATTTAATTATAATGAATTACATTTAATGAATGAAGTAACTAAATGTAAATAAAAAACATATATTTATTCAAAAATGAATATAATTAGCTGATATGTATTTTAAAGGATCTTTGGTTTGTATCCCTGATATTTTTGCGGTCACAAAAATAAATTCAGTTTTTACCCCAAGTGTTAAATGGACAGAGTTAATATATTCTCATCATACTGACCAGTCAAAGCACTTTACCCAGTTTCACTGAGAAACGCTCACAAATAAACACAAGGATGTAAAGATCAGTAGGCACATGATACAGGAGGAAGCAGGAATTAGGAAAATTGTTATTGTTAAAAATCCTTGTGAAGATTTTAAGTCATCCAGGTCATAGTTATCCCAAAAAAAAGAAAATTAATATCAATCCACTGGACTTTGTTTCCAAGTTTGAAGACATTTCATTTCCCATCCAGGAAGCTTTTTCAATTAAACATGTCAGGAATAGCGTTGAATTTGAGGCTTTATACAGTAGCCCAACAAAGCCTTGTTTTTGTTTCGAAAACTTAGAACGGACAAAGGGGTCTGTCCCTTTGGAATGGGGGTCGTTTGGCTTCTATTGTTAGCCTACAATGCCCCATACCCAACTAGGTGTCTGAAAGGGGGGTGGTTAAAGTGAGATTGTTGGCCTGGCTGAATAGGTGGTGTCCTGTACAGGGGCTGGGGCTGCAATGAAAGTGGGAAGGGATTATTGTTAAAGTGAAGCTAACTTCTAGCCTCTAGGGGCGCTATACCTGCAAACTCCCAAGTGTAACGCCTCTGAATATTGGCAGCACTGCACTGTTGCTAATTAAAACAGTCTCCTTGGCTGTTCTGGAATCAGACTACTTTGCAGTAGATTAAGAAGTGATGGAGTTCCTGGTAAAGGCAACATTCACCCCTCTAGATTCAATCTTACATTCCATATATCTGATCAAAAAGTGTCCTATCTTTTTTTTTGCCCAACAACAACTCTTAGCTTGTTTAACTCTTTATTTAAGGGGACCTTAAATTGCAGTAAAGAGGTGCTGTGGATCACATGACTCATTCAGTGACAGAATCCGACCCTCTGAAGTTACATAGGTAAGATTTTTAACTGACCAGAAAAATCATTCAATATAATCTCAGATTAAGCTAATAGTTTGGTGAAAAGTAAGTTGTTTTAAGTTATTTTATTCTCATAAAGAATGAATGCTCTTTTACTATGTGTACTAGCTGAAGTTAGTGGACTTAGGGGCGGATTATACTTCTGCATCCACACACATCAAATGTTGCTTGGGTCTGGTCTTGGACCAGTTTTGCTGGTATGCTTCTGCACCGTCGGTCTGGAATTTCTAGGTACGCACAGCAGTTTCCTGCCAAAGCACAAGGGGAAGCCTATTCGAGAACTTGCAACGCCTGAGGGAGTGTTTATTTTCCAAAACAACAATGGAGTGTCTGCAAGTTATCTCGGTCATGGAGATGGATCTAGAGTTGCTAGACATCGATGATATATTTATTTATATAATTTGTCTGAGGCATCGTACAAGTGGTTGCACTCCTGAACCTCCCCGATTAACCTTTCGTCGTAGTTGTCCATCGTTCCTGGGCTTTTAAAAAAAGGCGTGCCCCGGCACCAAATCGAGAAGGATGACCACATAGACAGACGGAAAGGCATACCAAGGACCAATCACAGCTGCTTTTTGTCTGCGCACTTCCGCTTGAGGTCTGTGCGGGTTTGTAACCATCCGACACATAGTCAGGATTTCTTTTTAAGGTGCGCGACGACAGTTGCAGAAACTCTGCACGGGGGGCGTGGTCACACACAGAGACAGATTTGACGGTTGCAGAGGCTATGCGTCGGAAGCATAAATTGGCCTCAAGACTGCTGATTGTGTTCAGTCTTCCCACTCAGGTACAGTCATACCATTACTCCCTAACAATGCTCTGTAAAAGTCAGCTTTATCTACACAGAGATGACGTAGAGAAATGCTTTTACTAATCAGTTGAATTTCATAGTTTCACTCCTATTTAAGGGATACCAGAGCAACTAGGGTTGATTAAAATACAAGTTGGGCTTTCTTTAGTTGAGAAAAGTTTGATAAACTATGAGACATGAACTGCTGCTTTCTTATAAATATCAAAAAGAGTCTAGAAAAAAAAAAAGAGGTTTGTTTGTTTTCACCTCATTTCTGACAGCGAATGATTAGCTGTTATCAAGAATAACCTGACAGCTAAAGTGTACCGTGAAGATGTGATAGAACAGCGTCATGGTTCACTGTACATGTTCAGACAGTTTTATGTCACAGTCCAATTCTGGTGAGCAGGATGACACACACGTTTTTCACTAACTGTGTGACGTCTTTCTTTACAGAGATTCAGGTTCACTTTACAGAAAAAAAAAAGCAATCTTTTCTCTATTTGACTGAGAAGACAAGCATGTCTCTATGGAGCTAAATTGGTCTCGATTTTCACAAATACTCGTGTGATTCATACATGGACAGGAAAAGCTCCTCACACACACAGCATTAACACAAGCAAAATAAAATGGCTTCAGATTGGGCCAGTAGGCTCAGTAGGTTGTTATCACTGAGTGAATCCTAATCCTAACCCTACAGTCATTCCTGTCCCCACGCAGAGTTTATGAATCTATTTATGTGTAATCTGAAAATAATTTCAGTAGTTCTTCATGGGCTGTAAAAATAAATAAATATAAAAGGATCTGCATGTCGCTCATATTAAACAAACTAAAAACAAATAAATCTCATATCCTGACAACTGGGTTTTAGAATCATCTCCCTCTAAACATTTTATTCTCTGTGAAAAAATGCGGATCATTCTTTAATAAGCAATTTTTGTTTTAAAGCTAATGTGGGTAACGGATCTAGTGAATGATTTTTCTTTTTCCATTGTTTTATGCAAAAACTGCGACAAAAACCTGACTAAATCACGAAATAAAACAGCTTGCTTGGATGTAAGGAGAGCAGAGTCAGAGGAAACTCTATGTAATGCGTATTGCTAAGGGTATGCTGCCCTGACGCGGTATGCTGAGCTGACAGAACATCAGACCGGGACGCAGCAAATAGTTATCCCACAAAGAGTACTTTCTTGTGATTGGCTTATACAAGGGAGCTCTGTGATTGGTTGCAAATCATCCCCTGTATAAAAAAATACATTTTTGTATCGAGGGACGTAAGGATAGTCTAAAAAAAATCACACACAAATCCAGCGAAGTTTAAAGACCACTGGTACTTTGTGTTTTTAATTTATAATTGTTTATAAACCAGACATACTTTGGCGAAACATGTGCTGTTTATGTGTGAATCTTGTATGCTTGCAGGAATGTGCTGTGTGTGTGTGTGAAGCTTTTCCTGTACATGTATAAATCACATATGCGTATTTGTGAAATTTGAAACCAATTTCGCTTCATATGTTTCTGCATCTTCCCCAGTTTTTCACACTGAGACTATGATGTTGCATTAAAGAAAATCATTTAATTTTAAAGATCTTTATCAACAATGCCAATAAACAGCTGACAGTGGTTAAAGATTTCTGCACATGCTTGTTGCATCTCTCAGTTTCATTCTAATGAGAACAGAGTGGGCACAAACACTGATGGTGAACAGAACAACATGCATATCTCTGGAGGAAACAATCAGGAGACTTATCTGTCATACAATGCCAGTATCTATGCAACAGTTCTCTGTTTTCTCTCTCCAGCTCCTGCTGCCTCTGCTCTGTTTCTCTCCATTTTTGTCCATTGTCATTAAAAATGCCTCTCATGAATTTCTCCAATGGTTTTGTTCCCATAACATAAATCCCCAAAATAATTTAATTTCCTATCACTGTACTAAAAGGATTGTTATCCATTTTTAACTGTGATTCTGCATAGAAAACGTAGAATCAAGCCATTTATAGATTACTATAGTTGCTAAGATAAAATTTTGTTTGTTGTTTTCCTTTTTTTTTTTTATAAATGTTGCATTATTTTATTGAAGTGCAATGATTGCAATAATACTGCTGGGGCCTTTTTAGGCTCCACTGACTGATTAAATCATTCAAACATATCAGGCGAATGGGAGGGACCTTCGTTGATAAAAAACAATCATAAAAAAGGATGGATTAATGCAGTGGTTCCTATTCTTTACTTACAAAAATATTATGCTCCTTGTTGCAACATGCGATGTGTTCTTACCTGGAGGTTCTGCAGGTTGTTCCTGATGTTTACAGTGCAAATCTGCAGCATTCTGAGGTAACTCTTCTCTGATTGGGCAAGCTCTTCTATAGCCATCATCTGTCTCTGAGATTGCCTCTCCTTCGCTGCTGCCTCCTCCTCCTCCTTCTTCTTTTTGGCTTCCTCTGCCAGCCGCTCCTCTGACACAAAGCTCTCCTCTGAGAAACTGTCCTGTGAAGGTAGTCTTATCAGTATTTGATGCGCAGCTACATCTACGACTTCCGAGGAATCAGTTGGTGGTTTTAGAAACACAGATTCCTCTACTGTCTCTTCCTCAGTGTCAAGTTTATTCTCTTCAAACTGATTGTCATTTTCTTCATTTCCATATTCCGGCAAATTTCCCCCCATTTGTTTTTTCTTGGAAACCTTCTTTATTGCTCCTGAATAGCGTAGAGGAGATGAAGCCGATTTACGGAGTTTGAAGTCGGAAGGCGGCGGTCTACTGGGCACCTCCATGGTGAAGATCACTGTCAAAGAAAAACACTTCTGTTTGGTTTTGATTAACTTAACATACATTTTACAAAGATAAAATCTGTAGAGCACCTTTCCACCTTTCTGCGTACTGTTAGACCTAGGAAGAAAACATATCAGGATTTTTATAATTGGTTGATTCTTCAGTGCATCAGCAGGCTTGCCTTGAGGAGAATGCAGTGCTGCTCCCTTCATTTGCTATCCACTGTTTATGTGTTTAGTTTTAGTTGATGATAAATATTACTTTTTTTGTTAAACTGAGAGAAAGCAACTGGTTTCTTTAAAGATTGGACCCAAAAATCTAGCAGCACACATCAAAAATCGTTCAGATTTATGTCAAAATATGAGGCAATGGCCTGAAAAAAAACCCAAACTGTATTAGCGGAGGTGTAATTATTTTCCTCATTAAACAGCACCCAAAAGAAAAGGTAAATAATAAGTAGGAGGGGAACATGAATGTCTACCATCATCCATAGCTGTGCAGTGTTTTATAGATGGACAGGTGAATAATAAAACATCCAAATGGTTAATTTGGTACAATTAAATAAAAATGACAAACTTTGAACTAAGGCTGAAACAATTTATCAGATTAATCATGATTAATCGCTTATTAAAATAATCAGCAACTAATTTAGTAACCAGGTAATCGTTAACTGGAGTGTAGGACAGTTAAACCTGCCTTTAGGTGAGAGAAAAACCCATTTAGAGCAGTAATTATATAGAAATTTGTAAAATATAGAAATATTTTGCATCTAAAATAAAAACGTTTTTGTCTGTCAAAAGGATAAATTAAAACAGCTTTTTTAAAAACCACCCACAGACCTCTTAAAAGCATTTCTCACTTCATCCTTTGTCAAAATTACTTTATTTATTACTTATTTTTAATTTTGATTAAAAAAAAGCTCCTCTACTTATTTACAACAGCTGAGATAAGGGCCTGTGTCACCAGCCTGAGTAGGTGTTTATGCAGTGGTTGTATATAAGCAATAAACACAGTATATAGGGTTAGTACATATATTCTATCAATAAAATAATTAGACAACTTTTATTTCTTTTTGTATTTTCAACTTAAATTTCGTTTTGTACAACTTTCACAACATTTCCATTCGAAGAACATTTCCATTCAAGCGGCCTACAGTCATATGAAAACGTTTGGGCACCCCTATTAGTCTTAATTATTTTCATTTGAACGATGCACAGTGACACCGTCTGCAGCAAGATGATGCTGCAGGTCCTTGGAGGTGGTCAGGGTTGTTCTTCACCATTCTCACCATTCTTCTTCTCTGCCTCTCTGATATTTTTCTTGGCCTGCCAATGCTGGGCTTAACAAGAACTGTTCCTGTGGTCTTCCATTTCCTTACTATGTTCCTCACAGTGGAAACTGACAGTTTAAATCTCTGAGACAATTTTTTTTATCCTTCCCGTGAATGACTATGTTGCACAATCTTTGTTTTCAGATCATTTGAGAGTTGTTTTTAGGTGCCCATGATGAATCTTCAGAGGAGATTCAAACAGGAGAACAACTTGCAACTTGCCACCTTAAATACATTTCTCATGATTGGATACACCTGGCAATGAAGTTAAAATCTTACCAAACCAATTTTCTGTTTCAGTAAGTCAGTGAAAAGTAGTCAAAGGTATTTAAATCAATAAAATGATTAGTGTACCCACATTTTTGCACCTGTCAAGTTTTGCTTTAATGCATGTTGCACATTTTCTGTTAGTCGAATAAACCACAATTCAGCACTGAAATATTACTGCGTCCATCAGTTATTATATATATATCAAGCTGAAATAACAGTTGAAAACACCCAAATATTTGGAAGTAAAAATAATTAAGATTAATAGGGATACCAAAACCTTTTCATATGACTCTATTTTGTGTAATTTTGAAGAAGTGTATGAGGCCGCTGCCGACAGGCCCCCCCATGATGTTAGCCAAATAATGATCTAACGCTAACTTTTAACTATTTGGCTTTTTAGTTTATTTCTGTTGACAGGAATTGTCTTCCACACGTACGCTTACACAGTCCTACTTGATATAGATTTTTTTTAAGGGTTGAAATAGTCTAAAAAAACATATGCATAGTTTTCTTTATAATCTTTGATTATTTGTTCATAAACAAAAATACAAACATTTTTTTTCTAAGCACATAATAAACTGCTACCAAACCAATATTACAGCCAAATTACAGCAAGTCACATCAAATAGGCTGCGTTAATCTAGATCGCCATCAAACTGCTCAGGAGGAATTCAGCTGAATTCATTAAAAACTCCAATAATTAGTTTGGGCTGAGATAAATCTCTATAAATAACTGTGAGATGATGCATTAGCTCCTGTTGTTGCAGCATATTAAGGCTTTCCTGCTAAAACTGAATTAATTGAATAAAGAGGCAATGCAGATCAGAAGATGCCGATGAAACATTGTTTTATTTAACTGAACTTTAAAGCCACTGAATTTTTAAAGTGGTTGGGAATCGGCTGTTCCAACCGTTGCATTTCTGAATTCTCCCAAGGGGTGCACGACTTTACACAAGCGAATAAAGTGAATGTGATTGGTCATTTTTCAAGAGGGCAGGATTGCTGTGGTGGAAGGTTCGCTAACAGATTTGGTTGTAGCCGGTGTCAAAAGCATCTTGTTAACCAGTTACCAACTTATGGCTAATAGGTCCCAATGGGAAATTCCATTGGAACCAAGTAGCACTAAATTGGTGACTTAGGCCCCGTCCACACGAAGTCAACAAACCAGCCTCTGATCCATACGAAGCCGGCGTTTCGGGGTCTGTAAACGATCTTTTTTTTATTAAGCCTTCAGAGTGGGAAGATTTTGAAACGCCGTTTTCGCGTTTCCATCTTTAAGCTCTAACCGCATTTTTTTTCTTACACGTATGCGTCATAGCGTCGCCTCTAAACACGCATGCGCGACACAGTATCACAACAACAATGGCGCCGTCCTGTCTTGAATGGTTGCTGCTAATGCTACTCACCCTGCTGTCGGGCTTACAACAGAATCTTCTTCTTCTGGAATATCTCCAGGAAGAACAGAGCAATATCGATGACATAGTTCAGCACCTGAATTTGACTGAACCACGAAAATGGACCCGCAGGGCAACCATGTATAAATATTAGTGCGCATGCCCAACATTTTGTCGCCTATTTTTGCTTTGGCACCACAGCGCCACTTACAGGCCTGGCATACATTTTGCAGCGTTTTCATGCATTCGTGTAGACCATCACATTTATTTTACGTCTCCGTCTTTACGACAAACGTTCTGGAAAATATTAGCGTTTCGTGTTCGTTTTGACTTCGTGTGGACGGGGCCTGAAACGACACTGTCAAGGAACGCTATGGACAGAGGAAACATGCAAGAGGAGGAGAGTTTAGTGTCAGAGGTCAAGGACGAGTCTCCTACATCATTTTTATGTATAGGAGGAAAGCGGGGATGAAGATGTCGTGGAAGAGGACGCCAGAAGCTTGGTTTGGTGTAGAAGGCTTACAGCCGTACATGTTTGAGCCCTTGCCTCGCAACGCTGCCAGTTCTGTTAGCTCTACACCTGTTGAAGACACAGACGTCCATCCCTGTGAACACTGGGACGGAACTCAATGGGAAAGAATATGATTCTTATTTCTTATTTCAATCGTTGCATATATTAGCTGTGACATATGAATCAAGATGCTATGACCGAAAAAATTTGATTGACAGATGACCGCTGATATATGATTGGCCGAATTTATGTGTAAAGGCTGACGTTTACTAACTAGATTCTAAGACAGAATTTTTTTTAATAGAAATTTTTGTCAATTCTAGGACAGTATGGTCTAATAAAGACTACATTTATATACATGTTCAAGCCAGAATGATTTGACATTTAAATATCTCCCCCAGACCTGCTCACAGATATTATTCTGTTTTCTATCCCCAGCCCTGTGCAGTCATTTCAAGAGCCAGTTCTGGAATATGTTTCCGAAACTTTAACAAACATCAACACCACTGACCTTCTTACTCCCACATCTGACTCATGCATCAGTTAGATGCATGTTACCGGTTTGAAAAGACATGATCCTTCTTATTAGTCATAAGACCATTGCTTAAAATATTGGTGAGTTAAAACTGGAGTGGCCGATGTCTGATATATTTAATTTTTAAAGGATGTTTCCTTTATCATCCATATGACCTCTTCAGCCATAAACATGGGTTAGATTTATCAGAAAAAACATTTTATGATTTAATAAACTTAACTTTTTTAAATATTCCTAGAGCATGGCGAAGCCACATGATTTTGGCTTTTAGAAGCCTGAATTAAAACGACGTTCTCACCAAAAAATAAAACACTTTTTTTTTTTTTCAAATACCTATCCTTTTTATTGAGGTTCCTGTTAGGGTCAATAAAACATATTTCAATTAAATTCAACATTTCTGTCAATAAGAGTCAGAAAATTATCAAACAAAAAGAGTGGATTTATATTTTATAATGGATTTATATTTTATTTATATCCATATTTTTCTGTTTCACCAGAAGTCCTAACTAGTTATTTAAATTGAACCTTTAAATATCGATTCCAACTCCCTAACAGCCTAACTGTCTGGTTATTTATCAGGAAAAGACAGTAGAGCACCTGATAAAAAACTAGGCTCAGATTATGTCAGCGTTTTTTTCTGTGTTTTCACAGCTGTGTCGTCTCAATAGTTTGTAGCAAAAGCCGCCCAAAAAAGATATGAAACAGCTGTATGCAGAGTCTTCAGACTTTATGGAGACTGGAAATATATATTATAAAGCTGGGATGGAAAGACTGACTGTTCTGTTGACTTCTTTCTACAACATCTGTTTTACCCCAACTAAAAATGACACTAAGGCATATGTTCATCCTTTAACAACCAGTTTATATGTATGACAACATTATAAGAAAATGATGGCATCTCAATAGGATAAAACTGCTTCTGTAGCGTATCTGCAGGATTACGATCGTCCAACATACCGACATCTGCCTGAATGTAACTATTAATTCTAACTTAATAAAACAGCAGACGGCAGCAGGTCCTTGTTTACTGCTTAAAAACAGAGTTGCCATTGTCATGGATACCCTGAGCTTAAGCACCACTTGTTGTGCCACCAGGAGGCTGACGAGCTGTCATTAGCATTACCGCATAGCTGTTACATGGTTCAACTGGATGATCTGTGGTGCTATGGCTTAAACTAAACAGATAATTTAGTCTCTATGATGAAATGATCATGTTAGAGACAGAAGAAGCTAAGTTAAACATAGCTAAATATAACTTAGTGGCTTACAACAACCAGTGTTGATGCATTTCTTTGATAAAGGGAAGGAATGACTCACTGAAGGTGTCATTTGAAATGTCGGTGCAAATGATTATGTTTTTTTGCCATGATGTCACAGATTTATATACCTCAACTTACTTTATGGTAAGATGAAACTCCTTTCTAAAGAAAAATGTAATTTTAACATTATTTAATATAATATGTTAATATTATATTATAATTAATATGTTGGTTTTGGAGGCTGATGTGCTCCAAAATGAACTACTTTATTAATGTTACTTGAATTTTCTTTCAACAGAGTTTGAAAAGCAGAGAAAGATCCTGTAAGGCTCATCGGCTTTTAGGTTCATTATTTTGCTTGTGTGAAATGGAGGTGCAAGAGTCAAACTACGCTCAGCTGTTAAAAAGCAAACTGATGATTCAATCATAAATATACAATGAAAGGTTTATGTGTTCACATATTAAATAAAACAAAAAAGCAGAACTTGAGGAGGTGATTGACGAGAGAGAAGTCTGGGAGTCTGCTGAGACTGCTGCCCCTTGTGACCCGGTTCAGGATAAAGCAAAGACGACGACATTAAATTAAAATCAGTCTGATTATCTAACTTTACTGATCACTTGTTTTCATTTATTCCTGTTATATTTATAATGAACTGAATGACACATTGTTACATTTTTAGCCACTAGGAACGATAGATGTGTTAACTTCCACATTTAGCGCCCCCTGAAGGCAACTGGCAGCATTAAACTGTTGCAAAATTGAACAGCCTCCGATTAATAATAATAGTAGCCAAATTTTGACCAGCAGATTGAGAAGTTAAAGAGTTCCTGATAAATTCAAGGGAACATTCACCTCTCGAGATTAAATACTGCATCGGAGAAACAAAAAAAAATAAGTCTGATCAGGTAGATTAATGTCTGTTTTGCTGGCTCACAACTTATAGCTTAGCTATCTCTCGTGTTTGAGCACCTCAGACTGACGTCAAGCTGCACTCTGGGTCACATGACTATTCAGCGACATATCTGAATGACACTTTAAAGTTACACAGAAGGGATTTTGAGAGAGGCAGCCTACATGGAGCATTGATGCGCACCAGGTGGTGAACAGTGACCTGAAATATCCTTTAGAATAACACAAGTTGAAGTAATACTTGCGTCGAAAGTGACACACTGTAGCTTTACATTAATTTAAGTCGCAATCTTTGCATCATAAACTCAGTTTAGCCACACATGCAACATAGAGGCAGAGGGAGGATGCACTGCTGAACAACCAAAGTCTATGTTGATTCTATACAATAAACAGTCTAGAATAAAACATGTTAGAATAGAAAAAGAAAACACTTTCAAAACATGCATCTACAGGTGCTGGTCATAAAATTAGAATATCATGAAAAAGTAGATTGATTTCAGTAATTCCATTTAAAAAGTGAAACTTGTATATTATATTCATACATTACATACAAACTCATATATTTCAGATGTTTATTTTGTTTAATTTTGATGATTACAAATGACAACAAATGAAAATCTCAAATTCATCATATCAGAAAATTAGAATATTACTGAAGACCAATAAAAACAAAGGATTTATAGAAATGTTGGCCAACTGAAAAGTATGAACATGAAAAGTATGAGCATGTACAGCACTCAGTATTTAGTTGGGCCTCCTTTGGCCCGTATTACTGCAGCAATGCGGCGTGGCATGGAGTCGATCAGTCTGTGGCACTGCTCAGGTGTTATGATAGCCCAGGTTGCTCTAATAGTGGCTTTTAGCTCTTCTGAATTGTTGGGTCTGGTGTATTGCATCTTCTTCTTCACAATACCCCATAGATTTTCTATGGGGTTAAGGTCAGGAGAGTTTGCTGGCCAATTAAGAACAGGGATACCATGGTCCTTCAACCAGGCACTGGTAGCTTTGGCACTGTGTGCAGGTGCCAAGTCCTGTTGGAAAATGAAATCTGCATCTCCAAAAAGTTGGTCAGCTGCAGGAAGCATGAAGTGCTCTAAAACTTCCTGGTATGTGGCTGCGTTGACCCTGGACCTCAGAAAACACAATGGACCAACACCAGCAGATGACATGGCACCCCAAACCATCACTGACTGTGGAAACTTTACACTGGACTTCAAGCAACATGGATGGAGTGCCTCTCTTCTTTTCCTCCAGACTCTGGGATCTTGATTTCCAAAGGAAATGCAAAATTTACTTTCATCAGAGAACATGACTTTGGACCACTCACCAGCAGTCCAGTCCTGTTTCTCTTTAGACGCTTCTGACGCTGTCTGTGGTTCAAGAGTGGCTTGACACAAGGAATGCGACAGCAGAAACCCATGTCTTTCATACGTCTGTGTGTGGTGGTTCTTGAAGCACTCACTCCAGCTGCAGTCCACTCTTTGTGAATCTCCCCCACATTTTTGAAGGGGTTTTGTTTCACAATCCTCTCCAGGGTGCGGTTATCTCTCTTGCTTGTACACTTTTTTCGACCACATCTTTTCCTTCCCTTCGCCTCTCTATTAATGTGCTTGGACACTGAGCTCTGTGAACAGCCAGCCTCTTTAGCGATGACCTTTTGTGTCTTGCCCTCCTTGTGCAAGGTGTCGATGGTCGTCTTTTGGACAACTGTCAAGTCAGCAGTCTTCCCCATGATTGTGTAGCCTATAGAACTAGACTGAAAGACCATTTAAAGGCTTTTGCAGGTGGTTTGAGTTAATTAGCTGATTAGAGTGTGGCACCAGGGGCCATCAATTTTGAACCTTTTCACAATATTCTAATTTTCTGATATGATGAATTTGAGATTTTCATTTGTTGTCATTTGTAATCATCAAAATTAAACAAAATAAACATCTGAAATATATGAGTTTGTATGTAATGTATGAATATAATATACAAGTTTCACTTTTTAAATGGAATTACTGAAATCAATCTACTTTTTCATGATATTCTAATTTTATGACCAGCACCTGTAATTTAAATATTAGGAATCTGAGCAGGTGGAACAGAGTATTTCAATAGATATGCATATAGCTCACCAGAATAAAACAGTAACAAATGTTTAAACTTAAGAGATCTCACAGTTAAAAAATCCACAGTTTAAAGTTGGCCCAAAACTCATAGACAGACGGCATGCTATTGTCAGAATGATGGTGAATGTCTAACAGACACCATCACAACCTCTGAGGGGTGAGGAAGACATCTTTACCTTCAGCGAAATCCTGGTTCAGCTGCAGTAAACCGAGATCTTCCTTCCTTATCCTGTCGTTCGGGGAACGCCGAGCTGCAGAGGAAAGACGCTGCTGCATGCAAAACACAAACACAGCAGTGTAACTTTCTGCAGTGACTCAGACACAGCGGGCTGCTGCCCGGCCTCATGTGGCAGGAGTGTGTGTTAAAAAGAGTGTGGGTTAGGGGGAAAAAGTGTGCAAAGAGAGGGGGATGGGAGTGGAAAGAGGGTGGGATGGGTATTTAGTAGAGGAAATAGAGGGGAGGGGAGAAAACAGGGTGGCCACACACACACAAATACACACCAACGCACACACAGACACTTGTGCTGCTGAATAAGCTGACTGACTGCAGCAGCTGTTGAGAGGAGGAAGCTGCACTTACCAAGACTGATAACAATTGGCAGATCAGTCCTCACACAGGTCTGAAGGACCAATCAGGCGACACCATGAAAAGACTTCATAGAAAACTAAAAGGAGCCAATCAAGACGGGGCGCTAAAGTTCTCTTCTCACAGGAGACAAAAGCACGGTGGGACTTCCCATCCTCTTCCAACTGTAGAGGGACTGTCTGATGGGTGGAAACAAAAGATTTAAAGTCACTCCTCATTTTTCATCAGTTAAAAAGAAATGATTCTAGATACCCCCCCTATTTCTGAAGTAAATAAAAAAACACTTCACTTCCGAGTTATGCAAAACGTATATAAAAATAAAATCACTTTATCTGCAACTGCTGCTCATTTCTTCAGTGCTTTTTTGGATAAAATACTGATTCAGTATGGCATCTATAATAAAGATATGCATTTCTGGATTATTTGCACATTGATAGAAAAATACTGTAGATAACCTTAAAATGTGGGAGTTTTAAGGGCAGATTAGTCTTCTGCATCCGCACACATCAAATGTCGCTTGGGTCTGGTCGCGAACCAGTTTTGCTGGTATGCTTCTGCATGGGTCTGGAATTTCTAGGGATGCAGAGCAGTTTCCTGCCAAAGCGCTAGGGGGAGCCTATTCGAGAACTCGCGAGAACTTCATCAGATGGTCACGAGAACTTCGTTTCGGCAAAGACCTTGGCATCTTTATATAATTTGTCTGAGGCATCCTACAAGTGGTTGTACTTCCAAACCTCATCGATTAACCTTTCGTCGTAGTCGTCCATTGTTCCTCGGTTTTTAAAAATGGCGCGCCCCGGCAGCGAATTGAGAAGGACGACTACACAGACAGCCGGAAAGGCATACCAAGGACCAATCACAGCTGCTTTTTGTCAGTGCACCTCAGCTGAGGTCTGCGCAGGTTTGTGACCACCCCACGCATAGTCAGGATTTTTTTGAGGTGTGCAATGACGATTGCAGAACCTCTGTGTGGGGGGCGTGGTCGCCAGAGACACAGTTTTGATGGTTGCAGACGCTACGCGTCAGAAGCATAAATTGGCCTTTAACCTAGTAGGTTAGAGCAGTGCACTTGTGTTCTGAGAAGCTCGCAATGTTGATTGATTTAATGAATTGATCTCACAGTCGAGAAATGTACTTGTTACATCAGCTCAAATAGTTAAAGGATAAGAAGAATGTGCCAAAGGAAGAAAAAGATCCATGGGATATATACAGTATATACAGTGCATCCACATATGAAAGCTTTTTAAATAGCAGGGTTATTATACAAGGTTATTGCACAGTGTGTCCGCATGGGTATTTATGTAGATGGATAATTATATTTATAAATATATTTATTTTACTGGCTGTCAAATTTAGAGAAATAGGTAATTGCACAGGGTGTCAACTAACAATTGCTCATTATACATTGCACAAGTTATTGCACAAGTAAATGGTTGTGATTCTGCTTAGAAAAAACATGTTAGGCAGTGAGATAGAAAATGCTTAGTTTTCAAGTTTTTTGCCTTTAATTATTTGGTATTATTCCCAATAGTAGTTTGACAAACATAAAATCAACATTTTATATTCGTTATTTATTCATGTCATCTATTGGTTGAGGATTATTTAAAAGTAGAGTGGTATACATTAGAAGTACCCCCCAAAAATGAAGCTTCAGCCTTAAAAGTTGCAATTCAGGTTTTGCTTCATTCTTCAATAGGTTCAAATAGTTATATTCATATCCTAGTATCTTTAAAAATTTTCTGGGACATTTGAATAGCAGAAATCTTTGCTGTGCTTTAGCAAATAACTGGAACGTGAAAGCATGAGCAAAGCCAGACATAACCAAAGGCATTCACTGCAATCAGGCTGGAAAGATAAAGAATGAGGAAAGAAGGCAGCTGATCTTATTCAACGGATCGGCATGCCAGGTAGGAATGCTGCTATACCGTCTCCTCTTGCTCCTCTGAGAGCAGCTCAAGGTGTAGGTCAAACAAAAAACCGGTTTGGAAGCTAGAAAACCTTCAACATTGAATTCATAGAACCAAATATCCTCCAGACGCAAAAACCTGCTTTTCTAAGAGGAAAACTGAAGGATTCCCAGAAAACACTCAGCAGATGAAAACCAGCTGATCAAGTCTTTATAATTGCTGTGCTTTTAAAAAGCTTAATCAATCCCTGCATCAGTCTTTCACTAAATGCAAAGTAAATCTTAGAATTGCAAAGCGGACGAAATGAGCTTCCTCTTCAGGGTGGCTGAGGAGCCTGAGATAGGGTGAGGAGCTCGGTCATTCGGGAGAGACTCGGAATAGAGCAGCTACTCCTCCACATCGAGAGGAGCCAGCTGAGGTGGCTCAGACTCTTTTCAGATGTCTTGATCCACCTGGGGGAACACAGGGGACGACCCAGGACATGCTGGAGGGATCTCGACTGGCCTGGAAGCGCCTTGGGGTTCCCCCAGCTTTACTAGAGGAGGAGTCTGTGAAAAAAAATGTTTGGGAGTCTCTGTTGTCAGTGCTGTCCCCTCGACCCAGTCCCAGATAAAGCAGAGGAGGACGAGGTTCGCTAGTCACCATTTAGCTCAAACCACAAGCGACAAATACCCTGACTGAATAGGAAGGATAATTACAGTAATAATGAGAGGTTGAATGTCTGTAATCATTCTGTGTCAGAGGTGAGCAACATTTACTGGATACAGATCAAAAACAAGTGATGAGCCAATATCACTGGAGGAATATAAGTCTAATTGAATGGGAATGCTTAGTTAGGGTAACCAGACGCCCTGTTTTTCCCGCACATGTCCTTCTTTTCATACCTAAAAAATGTCCAGGGGAATTTCAAAATCGTCCAGGATTTTGGCCAACTACAGTGCAACAGAACCGAGCCGTCAGAACCGCTGTGAAGTTGGATATTGGATATCCAAGCTCTGCAGAGTTAGCGGAGTCTAGCAAGCGGTTGATCCGACTGAGGGGCTCCGATGTCGGCCAGCGTCTCTCAGCTGCTCCCACACGCAGTGGTGCAATTAGGGACCGTCAACAAATCTTTGAACCAAGCACTCCTGAGAAACAAAAATCAATAAATTCCTTATCTTATGACCAGCTAAGACAAAACTAATATAGAATCATGCCAATAGATAACATATGTCTTGACTTGCAATTTTAAGCTATTTTCAGTTTTTAAGATATATTTAAAGACAAAAGTTGGGACTTTTCTTCTGAAGCTTCCAGGTCATGTGACCTACTGTGTCAGATTCTTTGTGAAATCGTTTTACTACTTTAGCCAGATGGGGCACACTCATTTTTATTCCATTTCAAGCCTTGATATATTTTAGGCGGGGGGAAGCATACTGTCACCCGTTCAGCTAAACTGGCTCAGCTTGTTGAGCTCAGCAGAAAATAATACCAGTCATAATTGCTGCCTCCTTATTCAGCTTAAATATGTTCCTACAACTGGAACAACTTCATTAAAACATGTCACAAAGCATTTTGTCTTATAACTAACTTCAGCAGAATTGTGTTTCATTTAGATCCTTCAGTTCCTCTTTAGATGCCGACTCAGAGATATGTGGTTTCCTCTGCTGCTTTAGCTTTGCACCACAAACCATATTAAAACTGCACTGAGCGAAACCCCTTGAAAGAACGATACCAAGATATTGCAGCTCACTGGGTTCACATGGAGGACATTTCTTTTTAGAACCAGAACATAATATGCATAATAATATATTTTATGCATTTTCTCTCAGTCAGGATTGGCATTATGGAGCCTAGCAGCTTTATTATTGAGACTAGCAGCTTTATTGATGCTGTCTTTGTGTTTTTGAAAGATCTGGTAATCTGATATTGTTTCTTTTCTGCGATCAAGAAATGAAACTTTGCAAAACTTTCTAATCAAAAAAGGTGTTTTTGGAGTAACTTTGCTGCTTTCTTACATTTTACATTTTTTACTTCTTTTTTTTTTAATTGAGATCTAACATTTTATAATGTAACTTTTTTAAATTTCTCTTTTAAAAAAAAATATTATGAATTCCAATGTGTTCAAATATATATATATATATATATATATATATATATATATATATATATATATATATATATATATATAGTCAAAAAAAACCCAGCAAAGTTACTCTCAAAACTATTTTATTAAGATAGTTTAAGCTTTTCTTTTCAAATTCAATTTCACAAAACATTTTCTTTACTTGCAACAATATGGAAAAAAAAATCTCCATACGGATGCAGCCTTAAGTGAAAACTAAGGACCCACACTGTTAACTGGTTATAAAATCTTAAAGTCGTAGGGAAGACATATTTAAATTTCAAATCATTCTTGCCTAAACATGTATATAAATTTACTAGATATATAGATCTACTCTTTATCAGACCATATTGTGCCAAAAGTTTTATGCAGGCCAGTTAGTTATACGTCAGCCTGAACACCTAAATTCGGCCAATCATATATCAAAGGTCATCTGTCAATCAAATTTTTTCGGTCATAGCATCTTGATTCATATGTTGCAGCTAATATAAGCAACGATTAAAATAAGAAATAGGAATCATTTCCTTTCTGATTGAGTTCCGTCCCAGTGTTCACGGGGATGGACGTCTGTGTCTTCAGCAGGCGTAGAGCTAACAGAACTGGCAGCGTTGCGAGGCAAGGGCTCAAACATGTACGGCTGTAAGCCTTCTACACCAAACCAAGCTTCTGCCGCCCTGGCGTCCTCTTCCACAACATCTTCATCCCCACTTTCCTCCTCTAAATAAAAAATGTTCCTCCTCTTGCATGTTTCCGCTGTCCACAGCGTTCCTTGACAGTGTCGTTGCTAAATGCTACTTGGTCCCAATGTAATTTCCCATTGGGAACCTACTAGCACTAAGTTGCTAACTGGTTAGCAAGATGCTTCTGAGACACCGGCCACAGTCAATCCCATCCACTTGATAAACGACCAATCACATTCACTTTATTTACTCGTGTAAAGTCGTGCACCCCTTGGGAGAATTCGGAAACGCAACGGTTGGAACGGCCGCTTCCCTTTGACTTTAAAATTATTATGATTGCGTCTTTTTAATGTTTTTTTTATTTCTCCTCATGGTTTTGTTACTTGTAATAATAAAATGTAGACAGAATGTGGGATTTTTCTTGTCTGAATACTTGTAAAGATCATCCGTGAAGCACTCAATTTAAAAATAATTGAGAGCTAGAAGCACTATGCTGAGTCGGTGCTTTGAAGAACCACCATTCACTTCATTTGTCATCTTTACCATCTTTGAACATGGAGAAACAGAAATCATTTCTAATTCCTCTTTTCAGAATAAACATAACTCGTTATAGTCGGACGGAGCACATTTGTCATTTTTCAAAGTCCTGCCATAAATTCCTGGATGACTAAGAATCTTCACCAGCACTTGCCATAAATTCTTATTTGAAGTGAACACTGACTGAGCCAGTCTAAAACATCCTTATCTAAACATTTATTCATACATTCCCTCCCATTTAAAAAAAAAAACAAAACGACTATTCTGATTCATCCTTTTACACTTCTGGCTAGTTAAGGGTTCATGTGCTCCTGAAAGGTGTACCTCCTTTATCCCTCAGCATTATGCTGCCACCACTATGCTTCAGCATTGGATAGTGATGCCTGGGCAATTTTTTAAAATAACTGATTGTACTGGATCTTTTAAAAACGTGGATGAATACAAATTGTGCACTTCTTAAAATGCCAACAAAATACATTAAAGATTGTTGTCAAGGTTTATTGGAAGGCGACAGGATCCACTGTACTAATGCTCATTAGTTACAATTACACATTTGTTTTATGGGTTTTTTTTCCTGTCCTTTCCACTTAACCCTGACACCAGGAGCAATGGAAAGAAAGGAGTGAAACTTGCATTTTAAGGAACTGAAGAAGAAAAAAAGAAACTAAAGATTCAGAGAATGTTCGCCTCCAATAATATCAACACACACAATAAATACTGTTCTTCTAACATTATAAATTTAATATATCCTTTGAAAACAATCTTGAAGTCGACATATATTGTTAATAAGCCATAATGTCAAAAAGAAACATTTGAATTATTATCTTTCAACCACCTTTTAGTTGCCTTTTCATATTTATTGACACGTTGCTTTCAAACAGTTCTTATGTGCCAATTTCACACTTCAGTCATATCCTGATTCATTCCGACAGAGAAAATAAATAAGCAGAAACCACCTAGTATGGCAATTGGTTGGTTTTTCTTATGATAAATATGGATTTCTTCGACGGAACAACGACTTTTTAATAAACAACCTAATAAAAATCCCCATTACAACCTTTAAGGCAGCTGAGAAAAGCTCGAGAAATAAAATAAAGGCTTCGTTTCGCCATGGCCCGCGTGCCGACACGTTAACCAATAAATGAAAGCTTTTAATAAAAGACAAATGCGATAAAAAGATTTTTATTTTACCATGTTGTTATTCTCCTGTCATCGCGTATTTACTCCTCCTCTGACGTCCATAGCTGAGGCTCTCCACACCTGTTGTTAAAGAGAGCAAAGCACACAACTTGATACTACTTCCTGTTTGCTTACAAAATAAGAGCACGAGTAGCCCTTCATAGTCCAAACATCTTTTCAAAATAAGGTTATTTGTGAAGCAAAGCAAGAAAGAAACAATTAATTGTTTCTAAAAGAATCGTTGAGAACAGGATTAGGGCCACTGGAAAAAAAAAAGTTTACTGATTTTTACAGTTTATTTCAGTAGAATATGAGAAAAAAGTCAGAATTCTGACTTTAATCTTAGAATTCAGATTTTTTTTCCTCAAAATTCTGACCTTAATCTTAGAATTCTGACCTTCTGATATTAATATAGATGGTCACCATGAAAGAAGAGAAAGGGGGCCGTCAGCTTCACTGACAAAGATGTGAGTTGTTTGGGAGGGCCAGTAACACATTGGTGGAAAAATGACTTTTTACGTGCCCAAGGGGTATTTCATTATTGGAAGAGCAGAAGGTGATTAAAACAAGAGAGTTTAGTCCAAGGGCATAGGTTTGATTTCAAATTTGGTAGGAACACTATTGGTCTAATGTCATTGGTCCTATGCAAAAATATGCATGCTCATTTTTTTATGCTTGACGGGAAAATCAGGGTGTATTTCGTTTAAGAGAAAAGCAGCATTTCTTGCTACATTTATACAAATTTTATAAGCACTACACACACTATATTCTGTTTATCAATGACTGAAGCTTAACTGGCTCTGATGGATGAGGAATTAGGACTTTTTTCCACTTTGAGAAGATTTGCATTTGAAATTACCAGCGACTAAGACAGTAGGTAAATCTGTGCCTATTTAACAGAATATAGTCTAAATATGTCTGTTATATGTGGATTTATACTTTTGTTTTATTTTGAAGATATAGAATTGTGCAGGGTTAAATAGAGGTAAAACCCACTCTTTTAAATGTTCTCTTTGTATCATGAAATAAGGCGAAATAATAGATTCAAAGGACGGCAAATAAATGTGTTGTATTTACATGTGCCCTGGAACTAGAAGAGGAACTCACACTGAACATTTAATATGTCAACCTCACTCTACAAGTTGTACATCTAGGCTGTAGATACTCTGTTTAACCCATTTCATGTATTTTATTTAGGGCTTAAACAATTCATCAGATTAATCAATTATTGAAATAATGTCAACAAATTTAGTAATCAATTAATCGTTAACTGGAGTATAGAGACTCTAAAACATGTCTTTAGCTCACAGAGCGACCCACTTAGAGCAGGAATTATACCAAAAGTGTAAAAAAAATAAATAAAAATTTTGCATTTTAGATCAAATATGTTTTTGTCTGTCAATATTCTCCATCCAGAACTCCTCTACTGCTACAACAATGCTGTGTTGTAAATTATAAACATGTTATTCACATGTAATTGTTGGTAGGGACAAGTAGGTTGGTCCAAAATTTTGGTAGGGACATGTCCCTATGGTCCCTATGCAAACCTACGCTAATGGTTTAGTCTTTAAAACAGACATGGCTACGGCTTGATGCTAACATGTTTGTTAGCTGTCAAAATTCAGAGAAAAAAGTCAGAATTCTGAGATTAAAGTTAGAATTCTGACTTTTTTCTCATATTATACTGAAATATATAATATTTAAAAGGCAGTTAACTTTTTCAGTGGCCCTAATGCTCTTCCACAGAATCAAAATAAAATTATTTAAAATATAGATTTTTTTATCCCTTCTTTGTCTTTTTGTATATTTCTTAAGTATATCTTAAATATTTATGTGGGTGATTTTTTTAACTACAGGAACTATTGGCTTTGCAAAGTTGAAGAGAAAAAATATAATAAAATATAAACTCTCACAATGTAATAGGTTAGCATAAGTAGTCTAGTTATGCTAGACTAGATTTTTTTTTAAGACAATTTGGTGTTTTTTTTTAACAGATTGCCCAACTCGGCTAGCACAAATGTAATTTCCATCACATGTTGATTTCCAGTTAGGTTTGTACATAGATTTTCTGATTCTTCTTTTTTTTTTTTTTTGCACTGATGCACTTATATATATGAAACTTTTTCATCTGTAACATATTAATTCATATTATTCTCATAGCATTGGTTCATAAAAATGAAAAAGAATATAAAACATGGGTTGATTTAGGGGATCATGGCTCATTATATGGAAAAAAAGAAAAATAGACCAGTACCTATTGCTAAGTATATAAAAGATTTTTTTTATATACAGTATTTTTTTTCTTTTATGAAACTTTATTTTCTGCATGTCTCCTTTATCGGATATATTTAAATAAAAGTCAAATTAAACCCGCAGTACTATAAATGAAACAATAGCCTTTTCCCCCCCTAAAACATGCATTTAATTTGCTGCTGTTTACGCTAAGATTATTTCACTATCCTTTTATTTTTACAGCAAGGGATTGTTTTAAGTGATGCTTGAGTGAGTTTTGGTTAAAAATATTGTTGCAAAACATTTATTTTTAATTTCAAAAGAAAAAAAAACTATGATGTAGTGTTACTCCAAGTCAATAGGGGGCAACAGCAGCAATAGCGTCATCAAAACGAACCGGAAGTAAAGGGGAGAGAGTTGGACAGAACCACATGTTTGTTGTTGTGGTGCAAATGCTGGATTAACTGCAAAGCTTTCCTCCTCAACATACATTTTATGGTGAGATAAAACATTTTTGGGGTTTTTACTGTGCTAAAACTCTTAAGTTTAGCCTAGCTGGGTTATATTTAACTGCTAAACGTTAAGCTAACTCCCAGAACAAGTGTCGTTTTTAGCCCTGGTAGATCTTGCCACTTTGATTGCCTTGTGAATATTTTTATTTCTTTCCACTTTAGTAACATGTACGAAACCTGTCGACATCGCTCAGAGACTCAGCAGCTAAAACGGTTTAGCTTTAAGTTGCAAAGTAAATATGCTGCAAAACAAAAAGAAATTGCTGTAATGTATTTTATGAAACTTGAAACGTTTTCCTTGTTACTCCATAACCTGCCGTTAAAAACAGGATTTCAGCTTCCGGTTTATATTCTGACAGATGGGAAAACATGATTAAATTTTCTTTGTTTTTGAAGTTGATCAGTTTTTGGGGGGTTTCTGTTTCTCCAGCTGCTTCTTGAAACATGATTAAAGATTCACAGTGGAGCTCGAATCTAGGAAATATTTTGATCTTTCAGGTTTTCTACGAAAAATACTCCTTAAACTCACTCAAATGGAAACTGAACTCAATTTTGGGCTGTTAATGATGTTTCTTCTTTTATCAATCCTCCATTCTTGGAAGCTTGAAGCTTTACTGAATGGGGATCATCATCAGAGATCACAGCTTTGCTCCAGTCTATGTGCTTTAATCTTGCCCTTTTTGCTTGATTGTAAAGATTTTGATGTTTTATTTTATTCTGGGGTGAAAACACCTCCTCAGCTGCTCTTCCTCTCACAAGGGATTAGTCCAAACTCCTTTGTCTTACTTAGCTTCTCACATCTACAAACCTCCTCAAGGACACAGCTGTTAATTGGAGAAAATAAAGTTCAGAGGCCAACATCACAGGAGGAGAGGCTGTTTTGGTCCCTGAATGTCATAAAGTCAATGGAAAACATGGCCGCCTCACTAAAACATGAGGAACAAACTTTTCTGTTTATGCTGTTGGTTTTTAACTAAATGATAAATGAACTATTTCTAACACAGCAAGGTAATCATTTGATTATTTAGACTATTGAATTGATCTCAGAGCTCTTTTTTATTTTCAAAGATAAAACGTAATGAGAGTGGATTAAATTGTTGAAGACTGGAATGTGGGCTTTTCTAGCTACGCTTCTTTCTATCTGTGCAGTTCTGACAAAAAGGTTGTTGGTTTATATTGCAAGAAAGTAAAGACAAACTTGGTTATGAAAATCTTGCTCATGTGTAGCTGACAAAATTACAAACTAGTGAGCTACAACAATAAAAACAAACTGATAGGCTGCAATAATGACAAAATAAAAAGAAAATTAAGACTAAAACATTAAAAAAAATAACTATGATAAAATATATATAAATATATGTATAAAAATCTAATAGCATGCTGTAAAAAACAAAACAAAAAAAACAATAGCTGACAGTAGTAAAAAAAAAAGGTTGAAAAGAAACTAGTTGGCTATAATTATGAAAATACAACACAATAAAAAACTAATAGGCTACAAAAATGCAAATAATTAAACTAAAAGTGTACAAAAAAGACCAATAAGCTACAACAATAAACAATATAAATTCGATATGTTAATAAAAAACTAGGTTAAAAAAACAACTAAAAGGATATAAAGGAAACAAAAACCCAACAAAGCCTAGTGGGTTACAATGGACTAAATTAACGCAATTATTAATATTAATTCTTTAGTGTTGCAGAATGCAGTGTTTAACATGTCGCTCTGACCTGGTTTCAGATTCTCTTTGGCCTTCAGGACTTCTAGAGGTGAAATGAGGAATCTGAAGCTGCTGAAGAGCCTTCAGAGCTCAGAGCTGCAGGGTGTCGGCTCCCCGCAGTGTTTCTCTGTGAGGTCCGACACCGGCTCACTGCTCATCGCCTCTCAGTTCTCAGTCGTAGAATATAACCCTCAATCTGGCGAGGTACAGTACTCCTCATCTCTTTGTATCAAAAATGCCCGGGTCTCTTTGATCAGACTGAATGGTTTCTTTGTTTTTGTTCTTCCTTTAGGTTGTCAGCGAAGCTTCGTTAACGGCAGACGGTTACCTTCCAGAAGACGGCAGCGGGTTGGTGGTGGGACTGCAGGACCTCGCTGAGCTTCAGTCTGCATGTTTGGCCACAGCAGGCGGTGATGTGGTTCTCTTCAACCTCAACACCAGCCAGGTGGGTAAAAAACTGTCCAACTTTTTTCAACTTCATGTGTTTTAGGATTATAGCTAAAAAGGAATTCTGATTAAAAAAATTTCTTTTTTTTTTGTTTTTTACAGTTGGAGTGTGTTGGCAGTGTGGACAGTGGTCTGACATCTATGAGCTGGAGTCCTGATGAAGAGCTCGTCATCCTGACCACTGGTCAGTAAAATGTCAAACAGGAGTCTTTGCAAACAAGAAACGTTTCTTCTGGGGTTATGAGAAAAAATCAATTGCCTCAAATATCAAAATATTTCATTAGACAATATAAGTATTGCTTTAGAGTACGGCAGAATGGATCATAAATGTAGAAATATTTACAGGCAAATTTCTGCTTCTTTGTCTGCTTTTATATTACTCTTAAACCTCCAGCCACTAGTTGGCAGCACACGCCATTCAGCAGAGCATTAACAAGATATTGTGAGGTTTCCAAGAGCGATGTTATTCTAAGAATCTATCGTCTTTGTTAAAGTATGGGGTTAAAATGGTATCGTGATGTGTATCGTATCACCCAATTCGCCCCTTAGTTTCTTCTCAGTTTGGAAAAGAAAAAATAGATCTAAGAATTTGGAAGTCTGCTAAAGTATGAGAGCAATGTTTGGATTTTTATAATTGATTTCTTACACCCCAGATAAAAACTCCAGAAATCCTCACTGGTTCCATGATTATCTTTGTTTACAGGACAGGAAACTGTTATTATGATGACCAAAGAGTTTGAGCCTGTTACTGAGGTTGGGATCCACCAGGAGGATTTTGGGGAAGGTACCCTCACTTCAGATCAGAACTTCTCTTAGAAAGCAGTTTGTTTAATATTGAAATATATGTTTGCTTTGAAATCTTCTAGTGAAAAACTGCTATTTTCTAAACGCTCTGTTTTTGTAGGGAAATTCATCACAGTGGGTTGGGGGAAGAAGGAGACCCAGTTTCACGGCTCAGAGGGGAAACAGGCAGCGCAGAGGAAGATCCAGGTTAGTGATGGTTGGTCTCAGACTTCAGGCCTGCTTCATAAACGGGATTTAATGAAACAAATGTAAACCATTTCTGTCTGGTTTGAATGTTTATCCACAGGATGTTCAGCCAGCCGTCGCCTGGGACGACCGCAAACCCAGAGTAACGTGGCGGGGAGACGGTCAGCTGTTTGCCGTCAGCGCCATCTGTCCCCAGACTGGAGCGAGGAAGGTCCGAGTCTGGAACAGAGAGGGCGTTCTGCAGGCCACCAGTGAGCCCATCAACGGCCTGGAGCAGGCACTCTGCTGGAAGTAAGAGCCTGGATAAAAAAAAAAGCTGCTTCTACATTTCATTCCCATCCGTACCGGAAGCGTAACGCCTTGTTTTCGTGTCAGACCTTCCGGTAGCCTGATTGCCAGCTCTCAGCGCCATCCTAACAAACACAGCGTGGTGTTCATGGAGAAGAACGGCCTGCTGCACGGAGACTTCACTCTGCCGTTCACTAAAGACCAGGTTAAGGCATGTTGAAGCTCCAGTTATTTACTCCCTTTAAAGCAAAATAGTTCAGCATTTTTATTAACATGTTGTGGTCTTAGATCATCACTGTGGTGCGTTTGTGTGTGTTTTTAGGTAAAGGAGCTCCTGTGGAACATCGACTCCTCTGTTTTGGCTGTTTGGTTGGAGGACTTGGCTGCTGGAGGGGATGGAAAGCTCAGGAGTTACAGTAAGCTCAGATTGCACACCTTAAAAACCAGACGTTAGAAAGAGGACATTTTCATAGAATAGAAAGGATACATCGTTGAGTTTTAGAGGAGCTGAGCACAAGTTTCTGGGTTTTATTGGAGAAGTTTGTCCAATAAGGTGACAAGTGGAAATGACACCAGTGTTGTTCATGTACATCCATTAGAAAAGAGAAAAAATGCACAGGTCTTTTTTTGTCACCTGAGGGAAGAAATTATAAATATTGAAATACTTTTGAACAGAGCATCTTAGATTTTTAACAAAGAGATGATTGAGATCACATCGTATTGACCTGCAGATCAGACTCCAGGTTAACAATTTATGTCACACTAGACATACATTTTGTTTTATTTTTCTTCAGTGGAGTCTGTGATGTGGTTTTAGGTGAACTTGGCTGTTCTTTTTGTGATCTACCTTGATAAACCTTTGCCCCATTTTTCTCACAGCAGTTAGGATCTACAGAGCAGCTTTGGATAGAATTTTGTTCCATTATTATTAAAAGTAAAGAAACCATTTTCTAAATGGCAATTGGAAAAAAAAATGCAATCCTGAATTGAAACTGTAAAAAACTTTCTAATAAAAGAAAGTCACTGACAGTACCTTTGCTGTTTCTTTAGATATTTTTTTTTCAAATATATTTTTGTTTTTTATTTATTTTTTTTCAGATTTAGATTTTTTTTCACATTTTATTTTACCTAACATTCTGACTCATTTGAAAATAAAACTTGAAAATATGAAATCTGTGAAAAAGAAAAAAGAAAATAATACATAAAATATATTAAATTTTTTTTTGTTGAAAAAATCAGAACAAATCAGAACAAAAAGCAAAGTTACTCCAAAATCCCGTTTTTGATTGAAATTCAATCCGTAAGCAGGTGAGCCAGAACACGCCGTGTATCCCGCCGCCACTCGCCCTCAGAGGCGACTGTGGTAAATAAAGTCACACTCATTTGATATGTACAGCAATTGTAAGGCAAGTATGGGGGGAAAAAATGACCTTTTTAAATTTAAAGCTTCACTATCGACTGAGGGGAATTAACAGATTGAGTTTAACTGATGTCATCCTGGCCTGGATTCAACAATCAAATATGGAATATTTAATATTAGTTGATATGTTTCATTCTTAATTACTTAAATGGACTAAATATCTGATGTAGATTTTTGTTAGATGTGGAACACGTAAGCCACGGCACTAATTTGCCATATGATTTTATAGATTGGATTTTTATGTTGAATGGTTATTAAAAGATAATAAAGCAAATTAGATCTGTTAGAATTTGATATTTAAGCTCATTAACAGGCTTAAACTGGCTAAAGGATAGCAGCAATGTGAAAAAATAATGCTATTTCAGCAATTTAACAAAATGAAATAGAATTTGTGATCAATTCAATAAAAAAAAATCCAAAAAAGGGAAGATGTGTAAAAAAATAACAGTAGAGAGCGAACAAGTAAAGAGCAATATACTGGCAAACTAAGGCAGCCAATAGGAAGTCAGTGTTGTTGCTAGGAGCTGCATTATATCGTTGTTGCTTCTAACCGACGTGGATGAAGTCTTTGTTCAAAGCAACTTTTAGCCTTTGTTTTTAGAAAGAGATTCTAGTGTCGGGTCACCGTCATTAAACCAACAGATCTGCCCACCACTGCCTCACTTCTCTCTGTGTGAGCAACCATTGCATGCTGAACATCCGCCCACATTACGTCCCCTCAGCCAATCAGAGTTAGGTATGCCTCTACCTCAGCTCCCTTCCGCCATTGTTTCTTTTTTTTTCAATCTTCTGACTGATACCTTAGAGATTGGCGTCTTGCAAACCTCTATAACCTCCTTGCAAATTGCTTCAGATAAACCAGTTGTGTTAGATTAGTTGGAATTGGGGAAAAGAAAACTGCTAAAGATCGAATCAGCTGATTATTATCCTCAGTTTATTGATATTTTTTCCCCTTTGTCTCTGTGTTTACATTCTTTTTTTCTCGCTGCAGTCCAGCTGTGGACGGTGAAAAACTACCACTGGTACCTGAAACAGAGTCTCGACTTTGACAGAGACCCTCTGAAAGCTCCGGTTTGCATCTGCTGGGACCCTGAACATCCCCTACGGCTGCATGTCGTGACCCACAATTGGACGAGCTTCACTTACGACTGGGGGTGGACGACAGAGCGAAGCCCTGGACTGGACGTCACGGACGACGCCGGCGTGGCTGTGATTGATGGAGGTGAACACAAAGAAGAGACTTTATTCCATAACTTCACTGTTTGACATAAATGTATTAATTTATTTACTTTGGTCAGATAAACTCCTGGTGACAACCTTCAGGCAGTCTGTGGTTCCTCCTCCCATGTGTTCCTTCGAGCTACGGTTGAAGTCGCCAGTCAACCAGGTGACCTTCCTTTGTGAGGCGACAAGGACCAATAAGATAGCAGCTTTCACCTCCGATGGACAGATCTCCATATTTGGAAAAGGTAAGAGCGACAAACTCCTGATTGCTTTTTAATTATTGCTCTCCAGTGGATGAAGTTTAGAAGGGATGATGGCGTAAAATGCACCATCCCAGCCTGTCTGCAGCTCTATAGAACTACCATCCAGGATTGACCAGCCTGAGACTGAGTTACATAAGAAACATGGATATTAAAATAAATGACAGGTACATAATAAAACATGCATAGTAAAACAATTACAGATCATTGAGGCTGCCTCAAATTCTTTAACTAAAAGCATTAAAGATAAAAACTCAGTAAATCAAGTCATTAAAAGGATAAATAAATAAATAACAGTCCTACTTAAATTCCTCAGGCCAATATCTCTGAATAAGGAAACAGTTTTCTGTTTAATAAAAAGTGAGAAACGGATCCAGTTAGAACAAGAAAATTCTTATTTTTTTACTTTTTGTATCTGTTTATAAAATGGAGGCCTCTGTCTTGTCTGTACTGAACTATAACATGCTTTGTTCACTTATTAAGAATAGAACTTTATTGATCTCACTCTGGAGAAATTTAACTCTGCATTTAACCCATCCCCTTGGGAAGCAGTGGGCTGCCATTGTGTGGCGCCCGGGGAGCAGTGTGGGGTTAAGAGTTCTGCTCAGGGATCGAACCGCGTATTTGCAACCTTCTTAGAGCACAAGGGCACTGGTCTAACCACTAGACCAACACTTCCCCATTCCTTAATTTATTCTGTTTATTTACATGTTTTCATTCAGATGCAGTTTCAAAAGAAGGTTTGGACAGAACTCCAGACGGCTTCAGAGTTTTGTCCGCTCCTGTTATCCTCCAGAAAACCTTCAGGTGGCTAAAGAACCTTTGCTATCCATGATCTGCCCTGTTTTCTAAAGAGAAAATAAGTGACTTTTCCTTGTAACTTTACGTGTCGAGCAGAGTGACGGCCCCTCAGGACGACCCTCTTGCCGTGCGGCAGCTGCTGTGGCTGCAGGATGAGCTGTTCTTCGCTGTAACCTCCGGGGTTCTGCCCAACACGTCCAGCCTGATGATGCTTCATCCTGTTCCGGATGCTGCGGACTCGCTGGCTGTGAGGTCTGCACAGCCTGCTTTCTGCTTTACCTACAAAGCTGTTAGAAAACCCATTTATAATGTTTTTTTTTCTGGCTCAGGTCTCAGATTGAGGTTGAAGGTGTTGTGATCAGTGTGGTCTACTCCTCCCAGACCAGAACAATGGCTCTGCAGCTGGAGGACGGACAAATAAAGAAGCTCCTCTGGGGTGAGGAAACATAACCTGCTGCTTCTAATGTTGATGGTTCTTTCCCAGTGATAATTTAAGGTGTCTGTATTTATTCCTGCTCTGTTACTGTGGATATTTATGATGCACCTGGTTTTATATCAACGGCCATCTTTTGTTTCATGATGTGCAGATTGTCCTGAGCTGTCGGTGGAAGACTGGTTGGACTCCAGCGGCTGCATCATCAACTTTCCTGTTCCCTGCATCCAGACGGCTCTCTGCTGCATCGGTGGAACGGTAGGAAGATAACGTTGGAAAACACAGGAAAACTGCGTTTGGGATTCTTTCTTTTTAAGAATTCAGTTGGTTAGATGATAAATATCACAGATCACTTCAGTAACACTGAAGCTCCTTAATAATACCTGGGAAATATTCAGTTTAACTGTATCCAATAACAAAGATGCTGCTATTTCCATACTTTTTTGGAGGGAGGGGTTATCCTATCTTAGATAACTCGCATCTTTCTGTCCGTCTGTCACTTCTTTCCTCCATCACTCAGCAGTTTTGTCCATCATGTGGCAGAGGTGTCAAAAGTGCTGACATTCTTGATGATATTTCTCTCCGGGATGGTGTCACAGCCAAAATAGGAACAGTGAGGTGAAGCTACTATGAGAAAAAGCAGAAAGAAAATAACATTAGAGATTGAACCAACAGATTCTGCCGAGTGGGAGAATAGAGATAGAATGAAGCAGAGTGACGAAAAAGCGGTCCCTATGTCCTCCAGCAGTCTAAGCCTATAACAGCATAACTATAGAGATAACTCAGGATAACCTGAGCCACTCTAACTATAAGCTTTATCAAAAAGGAAAGTTTTAAGCCTAGCCTTAAAAGTAGACAGGGTGTCTGCCTCACGGACTAAAACTGGTAGTTGGTTCCACAGGAGAGGAGCCTGATAGCTAAAAGATCTGCCTCCCATTCTACTTTAGAAATTCTAGGAACCACTAGTAAACCTGCAGATTGAGAGCGAAGTGCTCTGTTAGGAACATAAGGAACAATCAGATCTTTGATATCAGATGGAGCTTGGCTATTTAAGGCTTTATATGTGAGAAGGAGGATTTTAAATTCTATTCTTGATTTAACAGGAAGCCAATGAAGAGAAGCCAGGATAGGAGAGATATGATCTCTCTTTTTAATCTTCATCAGAACTCTGGCTGCAGCATTTTGGATCAGCTGAAGGCTTTTAACTACAGCTTGTGGACTTCCTGATAGTAAAGAATTACAATAGTCCAACCTTGAAGTAACAAATGCATGGACTAGTTTCTCAGCATCACCCCTGGACAGGAGATTTCTAATTTTTGCAATGTTCCTCAGATGAAAGAAGGAAATTCTAGAAACCTCTTTGATATGGCATTTAAATGACAGGTCCTGATCAAAAATAACACCAAGATTTTTGACTTTATTATCTGAAATCAGTTTAATCCCATCCAAATGAAGTGACTGACTAATCAGCTTGTTTTTCAGAGACTCTGGTCCAAAGACTATAACTTCTGTTTTGTCTGCATTCAGAAGCAGAAAGTTAAGAGTCATCCAGGTTTTTATGTCTTCAAGACATGCCTGTAATCTATGTAATGGGTTAGCTTCATCTGGATTTATAGACAGATATAACTGAGTATCATCAGCATAACAGTGAAAATTCTAAAAGAGAAACGAGTCTGTTTGGAGAAAATAAGGAGTAGAAAATACAGATATTTGTGTTCAAATATAGTGAGTAAAAGTCTTCTGGAAAAATAAATAGTCAAAGTACAGATACAGAAAAAACTTCACTTCAGTAAAGGATTTAAGTATTAATAGTTATTTACTGGACACCTCTGTGAGATGGTACAGACTGGATGACCTGATGGCCTCCATCCTTAACATTTCTGCCATGAGTTCACCACAAAGCTTTTATTTATACTTCAAACATTGGCTGAGAACAACAGGAAGTCTAATCCCGGAGGTTTTGCTCTGAAAGCTGTGATGGTCTCAGTGTTTCACCTTTGTTTGCAGGAACACCTGCTGGGCCTCACAGAGAGATCCCACCTGTACGCTGGAGACACAGAGGTGCAAAGCCTTTGCCATTTATTTGCCTTTAGACGCCTATAGTTGTTGTTTTTGCATTGGTGTTTTTTAAATCATCTTCTCTCCTCAGCTTGCATCCAATGTTAGCTCCTTTGCTGTTTGCGATGACTTCCTGCTCATCACCACCCACTCTCACATCTGCCGCTGCCTCCAGCTGAGCACACTCACACTCAGAGGTGAGGCAAACGGACGCTGGGAGGCACCAGAAGGTGTTTCCACCCTGCATTTGGTGGTCGTTTGACCTCACGAGATTGGAAGTAAAAACTGTCTCACTGCAGGTCTGCAGGTGGCTCTGTCCTCTGATGGCGGTCAGAACGATGAGACGCTCCGTCGAGTGGAGAGGGGATCCAGGATCGTCACCGTGGTTCCTCAGGACACCAGAGTGATTCTACAGGTCCCCCCACTGTGACTGTTTTCATGTGAAAACAAAAATCTAAACCTTTGATCTATAAAGGTTACATTCAGTCTGATTGGTTGATTTATGGTGATTATGTGTTTAGATGCCTCGGGGAAATCTGGAGACGGTGCACCACAGAGCGCTGGTTCTGGCTCAATTAAGGAAGTGGTTGGACGGGTGAGTTTGATATCCTTCCTGTTAGGTTTGATGCTCATCGCTTTAGCTTAGTAAATGAACCCAACAACACTTCTATCACGGTTTCCAGTTCAGGAACCATTTCAAGGAAGAGGACCAGGTTTATTGGGCTGTCAGAGTTTATAGTGTTTGATCAGGAGTGTGTGATGTAAAGACAAACAAATAAAATACAAAGTTTTCACATTTTCTTAATTTTTTTGTACATAAGCAGCTGAAAAATGTTTATTTTGATTTTAGCCCCTCTGAGCTTCTGTTTTATTCGCACATCTTCAGACTTATGTCTTGTTAATTCTAATTTACAAAATAGGTAAAGATTAGATTAGATGGAGAGTCCAGTCTGCCCACATTTTCCCACTATCGCTGTGTCTGAACATCCGCCCTAACCTCTATATCCGTCAATCACTATATTGAGCAGGGATACTATGGTGGACTTTATAGTGAACTCAGTTAACTGACCATTCAGACAGATGATCACAAATTTTCTCTGGTAAAGAAATTACTGTAAACTCTTCTTTGACATGCAGAGGCTAAAAGATGTTGGAAACAAAAGAAATGTTTTCACTTGAGCCTGTTGTGTGATGTTGTAGCTTGTTGGCTAGCTACAACATCACACAACAGGTGTGTGTGTGGGGGGGGGTCAGTTAGTTATACGTCAGCCTGAACACCTAAATTCGGCCAATTATATAGCTATTTTTTTCGTTTATAGCATCTTGATTCATCTGTAGCAGGATGGATGTCTGTGTCTTCAGCAGGCGTAGAGCTAACAGAACTGGCAGCGTTGCGAGGCAAGGGCTCAAACATGTACGGCTGTAAGCCTTCTACACCAAACCAAGCTTCTGCCGCCCTGGCGTTCTCTCCCACAGCATCTTCATCCCCACTTTCCTCCTCTAAATAAAAAATGTATGACGGAGGAGACTCATCCACGACCTCCGACACAAAACTCTCCTCCTCTTGCATGTTTCCTCTGTCCATAGCGTTCCTTGACAGTGTAGTTTCTAAGTTATCAATTTAGAGCTACTTGGTTCCAATGGAATTTTCCATTGGGAACTTACTAGCACTAAGTTGCCAACTGGTTAGCAAGACACTTCCGTCAAACCGACAACAATCAAACTTGCTTGCTTCCGCCACAACAATTTGGCCCTCTTGATAAACGACCAATCACATTCACTTTATTCACTCGTGTCAAATCGGGCACCACTCAGGAGACTTCGGAAATGTAACGGTTGCGACAGCCGTTTCCCTACGACTTTAATGCTAACAGTTGGCAGTCGGAAGAAACATAACAAGCGCTGCATGTTCCAAGCCTGTCACATCATCGTTGACCCCTCACACCCCCACCATGGTCTGTTCTGCCTGCTGCCCTCTGGGAAGAGGCTTCACAGCATTCCATGCAGAACCAGCAGGTTCTGCAACAGCTTTTCCCCCGCTGCGATAAGAATGTTGAATCTCATATTTGCTCTACACGGTGAATCTTCGAAATAGAGTTCAGTCAGTGTTTCTACTGCACTTTGCACCATACATATTTATTTTTTGCACTGCTCTGCCCCCCCACTGTTTAAATTTTGATCACTGCTGCACTTTATAGATTGAAATGTTAATTTTTAACTGCTAGGCTGCTGCTGTTGAAAAGCTGTATGTATTGATATTTAAAAAACAAAACCTGAATGTGTAAAACTGTTCAAGTTACCGCAAAACTTTTCTTTATACAAACCAATTTGGGGAAAATTTAATTCAGCTGCAGGAACTGCTTGGAATACCCAGTGCCTGCCTACAAATTAATACGTAAAGTAGTATAACTACCTGGAAAGCTTTCCTCTGCATATCAAATTAAAATGACACTGCTGTCAGGCCGTCACAGAGACACTGTAAATTTTGTAAACCTTATTTTTTTATGAACTTCATTCATTTTGTTTTAAAATGTTAGACTAATGAGAGTAAAACATTGAAACAGAAATACCTTAAATTACCTAGAAACATTTTCAGACCAGTTAATATGTACAATCCAGCTTTATAACTCACGTTTATGGTTCTGCTTGTTTTCTGTAGTGTTTGATTTATGAGTTTAATACTTTCATACAGTTAATTCTGTATGGATTAGTCTGTACCCTGTTCATTGCAGCAAGTATTAATTTATCAGCAAAAAGTACTTTAAACTCAGTTGATCAAAACATAAAGGTTTGAGTTTTTATGTAAAAAATATTCCCTTTACATCCAAAGCAGGGCGTTAAATTTGTGTAGTTTATTAATGTGGTTGTTTTACATCCTCTGTATGTTTTTGTTCTTACAGCTTGAGATTCAGAGAGGCCTTTGAGTGTATGAGGAAATTACGGATCAACCTGAACCTGATTTATGATCACAACCCAAAGGTATGTGTGGATTTTTGAGAATAATAAACTGAACCTGACTGCATGTTTTTATATTTAGGATTTAATTTGAATGCATATTAGTGACTTAAATCTGTCTCTGTGATCAAATAACATTAGATAATGTTTTTATAAAGTATAAATTGGGTATTGTTTTTATTTTTAGTGAGGTGTTTTGAGAAGAAATTAGTAAAATCAGCAGCATATGAAATAATCTTTATTAGATTTAAAACTCAAACTTTTATGTTGTGAGAGTTTCATTTAATTTTCACTACAAATAAATGTTCAAAAAACATCCTTAACAATCTCAAAGCAGTTAGAAAGTAAAGGAAATGAATATCAATTTAAAGCTTCTGGTAGCTTTTTGTCTAAGGAGCAAACTGAATATTTTTTTGTGAATAATTAATAAAAATTATTTCCTCCAGGTTTTCCTGGAAAACATCCAGACCTTCATCACACAGCTTAACTCCATTAATCACATCAACCTCTTCCTCACTGAGTTAAAGTAAGACCTTGTCAGGTTTAAACAGAGTGGCTTCACCCTTGGAAGAAAGCAGCCACTGTGTTATAACAGAGGGTTTTGCTTTGCCTTTGTGCGCAGAGAGGAGGATACGACCTGCACCATGTATCCGCGCCCTGAGGGCAGCCCATCGCAGACTCAGCCAGCCTCCGGCCAGAAGAAGGTTGATGTTGTTTGTGATGCTTTACGGACGGCAATGGAATCTATGGATCCAAACAAGTCAGTGTTGTGTTGCTAATCAGGACAGATAATGGAAAAAAAAAAAAGTTTATTAATTGGTATTCATTTAAATTCTAAACACATTTTTCTGATATTTTTTTACCGTAAATTGCTAAAATGTTCATACTGGCTTCAAAATCACTAAAGGTATTTTTAAAGAGATTAAGGGAAATCTGCAGGTTTTCTGACCTCTTTTATTTTTCTTTCTTTTTGAAGGTTCTGTCTGTCCATACTGACGGCTCACGTGAAGAAGACGGTTCCAGAGCTCGAGATCGCTCTGCAGAAAGTGCATGAGCTGCGGGGTACGCCATGTTTACCGCTGCAGGAGATAAACCATGTGCATGTTTGCATTATCAAGAAAGTAAACCAAACCCCTTATGTTGTTATTTTACCATTAAAGCCGTGTGTGTATTTGCATATAGAAAACCCTCCTGAAACTGCGGGAGCTGTAAGCGCCGAAGAGGCTCTGAAATACCTCCTCTTCCTCGTCAATGTCAACGATCTATACGAACACTCACTTGGGACCTACGATTTCGACCTTGTTCTCATGGTAGCTGAAAAATCCCAGAAGGTACGAGACGTTACAGCAGATATGAGCTCTTTGATAATTAGAGATCCATCCCCATATTAATCACAACTGTTTTTCTCACTTCATTCATAATAAAAAAAACTAAGTGCTCAGTCCTTTACTATGAGTCACTCTTTTTAAGCAGAAGCTTTCCTATTAAATGATGGCCCCTAGCTTATTATACTTTATTTCTTTGTGTTGCACTTTACTTTCACTCAGTTTGTTGATAAACATAAGCTTTTTGAGTGTTTTCTATACAAGACTACATGTCTGAAAAGAGTCTATGCTTCTTTTTAGACTCTCAAGGGACTAAATAACCTCTTATCACGATAAACGGGTGGTTTATATAGCTTTATTTAACAGGAACATATGGTTTTTGGTAAAGGCATTGTTATTGTGGAGGATTTTTTAAAAGACCCACCCTCTTCACTTAAAAAAATAAAAATATGTGTGCAAGTGCATGCACGAGCCCATTTCTCCTCGTGCACACCCTGTTTAAAATGTGCTGTTCTCATAGCTCATACAAGCTTACTGCATCCACATACAGCGGGGACTATATAGTGGAATTAATAGTGAACTCAGTTCACTGAGCGTTCGGACGGATGATCACTGCTTTTTGCTCCCTGTTGGTCACGTAACTCCTCCTCCACTGCATGGTGCCTGCCCCATCTTTGTTATAAGTTGTCGCTGTCAGGTGGTGACAGCCTCTGGTGACTTTTCTTCTCGTACACTTCGTAAACACTTTTTCTCTTACGACCCTCGGCCATTTTCAAAGAACCGCGGTGGGAAAGGTGAGCTTTAATGACTGTCTGAAACCGTAGCTCACCACAGATATACGCCTTAAAGGAATAGTACACCCAAAACATGATTAGCCTTCATTTTCTACTCACCCCCATGCTGAACAACACTCTGGAGTACTTTTTTGATATCTCAAATGCATCTGGAGATCTGGGAGGCTTCTTGCTGTCTGCTGACATTCAAATAATGGAGGTCTATGGCGCCCGAGGCAGAAAGGTCCATAAAAGTCCACAAAAAACGTGTCAATATTCCTCCATACTGCTCGTCCAATGTATTCCAAGTGTCCTGAGTGGGTAGCATCCAGAATTTACTCGAAACAAAGTCATTTAGAATGTTTTTAGAGCATAAACAGTAGTGTATAGGATTTCCTGAAAGCTCGCGCCCGCACGTTCACGACTCTACGGAAACCGCGGCAGACAAAACCAGATGAAAGTGCGCATTCAGCTCGGCAAAGAACTCATGCTCTTCCTCAACACTGAAGTCCTCAGACATTTTTCTTTCGTTGTTTCTTTCTTTGCACAGGTAAACAGCACATTTCTTCTTCTACGCTTGCATTATTGGCAGAGCAGACGCTGAATGCGCACTTTCATCTGGTTTGGTCTGCCGGCTTCCGTAGCGTCGTGAACGCGCAGGCGCGCGCTTTCAGACATGATATATACATTTAATTTCTCTTTATTTAAAGTCAGCTAAAAATCTGTTTCATGCTCTTACTATTAGTTTTAAATGAGTAATTAGAGATTAACGGATGCAGGATTTTTATAAATGCCAATATAGATTTTGTTAATTAAACCGATTCTAGATTTAAACTGCCAATATTTTTAGGAAGATTCCTAGAGCTAATTGCTTTTCTCTTCTCCAAGTGCATGACAAACATTGCACAGTGATGATAAATGTTACACAAGTCTCTATTGAAACAACAAAATATGTATTAATAAGCAAAACATTAATAATAAATAGACTGCTAAATGCATTAATAAATGAGGGAATGCATGCGAGCATCCGCTGACTCTGATACAAGAAAAGATTGACATCGGCCAAAAATGTTAGCTGATATTTTGGTCTACCTATAATAGTGATACTATGACAAATCAGTTTGCTTTCCCTCTAGTCTGATCTTCTCCATCCATTTAGGATCCGAAGGAATATCTTCCTTTCCTGAACATGCTGAAGACTCTGGAGCCAAACTACCAACGCTACACCATCGACAAACACCTCAAACGCTACAGAAAGGCCTTGGTGCATCTCAGCAAGTCTGGTCAGTTAAGCTGAATGAAAACGGTCTGTTTCAGTTTGGAAACATACCCATATGAGTGATATGTAACTAAACCCAATGCTTGGAAGTTGCTCTTCAATCTGTGGTCTGAATACAGTTTTTTTTTTTCTTAGGAGAGGAACATTTCATTGAAGTTCTGCAGCTAGTTAAGGAGCAGAAACTCTTCAGTGAAGCGTTGAGGCTCTATGCAGCAGATAGTTCTCAGTATAAGGTGAGCTGCTCTGGTTTTAGAATTCAGTTTCCATCACAACATCAATCATCATGTCTGTGAAAAGAGAGTCAATCCGTCCTGAATGAACTTTGAGTTTTTTCCTTTAGCATCTGAGCTGCGCATATGCTGAGCACCTGGTGGAGCAGCAGCAGGCCGAGCAGGCCGGCTTGTTGCTGTGGCGATGTGGCGAGCCAGCCAGGGCGCTGCAGGCTTTCACCAGCTGCTCCAGTTGGAGGAACGCCATTTGTGTGGCCCAACAGATACCGCTACCGCCGGACCAGCTAGCCCTACTGGCCAGAGACTTGGCAGGTAACCATGACAACAGATAGAGAACCAGTCAGAAGCAGGTGCTTGTTTATCCTAAGAACTAGTGCTGTATCATCTTGAGCTTTAAATGTGTCTTTTAAGCTAAACTTTAGAACTGCATTCAGATTTGAGTTAGATTTGAGTTTATTTTGGAACAGAAATGATATAATTTATATAAAATTGGTTGTTTTCCTGTACAGCTGCATGCTAATAGGACAATGCAGCATTTTAATATGATCAGAGTGTTGGGATACCGATTTCATTTCCCATTAAACCAACATTTTTATAAGTTTTATTCCTATTTTTCAGTCTTCACTGAGGACTCTATGATCTCGATCTTTAAGACTTACATCAGGTGTTAGATTTAGAGAACAATGAAAGTCTGTCCCGAGCTTTTAAATCATGGATCCTAAAATATTTTAACCAACCACATTCTGCATCCTGGAAGTACTTAGTAATTGTTATATTGCAGTCATTGATATTGTTATGCAGATTGCCATTTGACACACTGTGTATCTCTAGTGTGACTCAGACCTTCCAAAGGATGATTTTTTTCGTTTGACATCTGTTCCAAAAGCAGCTGTTAGGTGTGTTTATATTTAGCCGTTTCTTTTGTTAAAAACTTGGTTTCCTTGTTGGGTCTTAAGTTTCTATAATTTTACCCAAACTGACTTCCAGAGTGAAAAAAAATTTGGTTTTTAATGGTCAACAGCTGAGGAACCAGCAGAGTTCAATAAGCTCACTGGAAGAGGAAACCAGTGTCACTGCACATTATAAAGCATGTAAAACAAATAATAAATCTAGAATAACTCCACAATTATGGGCAGTCGTGGGTGAGCGGGGCAGTCGTGGGTGAGCGGTTAGGGTGTCAGACTTGGATCCCAAAGGTTACCGGTTCGACTCCCGACCCGCCAGGTTGGTGGGGGGAGTAATTAACCAGCGCTCTCCCCCATCCTCCTCCATGACTGAGGTACCCTGAGCATGGTACCGTCCCGCCACACTGCTCCCTTGGGGCGCCATTGAGGGCTGCCCCCTTGCACGGGTGAGGCATAAATGCAATTTCACAGTGTGCAGTGTTCACTTGGGTGTGCTGTGTCACAATGACAATGGGAGTTGGAGGAGTTTCCCAAAGGGCTTTCACACTTTCACTTTCACATCTACATGCAACCTTTTAATACCAGTGTAAAGAGACACTCACAGCTATTACTGTATCTAATTTATTTGCATTTATTTAAAGAAGAAAAGCAAACTGTTCTTTTTTTTTAGCCTTGCCTTAGTATTTAAATTAACATCGTAAGAGTTATTTTGAAAATCTCTGATCCTATTTAGCAATATCTTAAGTATAATTGCAACAAATTAGGAACAAAGCTGTTGAGGAACATCTGATCCACAGTTCTTTTAGTGGACAACTAATTTATGCACAACGCTAAAATTGTGACAAATGTCGTCTAAAAGTGCATCTGGTTAAAAAAAACAGCTAATTTCCACTGTAGGACCTATAAGATGACATTTACTCTGTATATCATCAACTGTGTTCAAAACACTAATGTTTTAAAAGTGACTATTACTGTATAACCGCCATTATGCATGAAAATTGCAACATATAATGTCAGAAAAAGATGTACAACAGGTTAATGGAAAGGCACGACTAGTCGTGTCAACATATGTGTCCTGTAACATTTATAAGAGTCTGCCATGTTTGATAAAGCCTTAAATTGCTTCTTCTATGTTTGAAGTTCTGTATACCATAATATTAAACGTATTCAAAACAATTATTTTAAATGGTTAAAGTCAAGGTGGACTGAGATGACGCTGAACAAGAGAAAAATGTCTGAAAATGAAATTTTTCCATCCAGATTTTTGTGCTCAAAAAGCCTTGAAAATGTGTTGTCTGAACTCACCCTGTGGCGGTTCTGGTTAATGAAATTCTGATGTTTTTCTTTCTTCCTTCCCTCACAGAGAAGCTGACCGAGCAGAGGCGGGTACTCAGAGGCAGCTCTGCTTTTGGACCAGTACGCCAAAGTAAGATTTCATTTTACAGAAAAAGACCAAATGTCTCCTTTTGTGTCACGCAGTTAAGTTTAGATATTTAGCATCATATTTGAAAAAGGTCGAAGTTTAAATCCGATTACCATGACATCCAGGAACAGGTTCCCTCCAGTTTGAAGCTACTATACTTATAGACATCTATATTTTCATTTCAAACAGGACTGCGAAGAAGCCATCTTGGCTCTAATCACTGGTGCAGTCTGGGAGGAGGCACTCAGACTGGTCTGTAAACCTTTTTTCTTTACAGTAAACATGTCTTCATGTCTTTGTGTTGTATGTTACTAAATTATGTTTATTTTATGCTGAAGATTTACATGCACAACAGACAGGATATCACTGAAACCAACCTGAAACCTGCTCTGTTGGAAGGTGAGATGAAGACCAAAAAAGTCCTCTAGTTATTTAAAAATGTTCAGAGATAAGCTGTTTTTGGAGCTAAGTTTAATGTTTTTATTTTTCTATAGCTGTGAACACCCAAAAAGGGTTCCTGGAGACTCAGGTCGCAACATTCATCCGACACCGGAGCCGTTTGGCGGTGGTTCGAGAGCAGAAAGAAAAGGTCAGACTGGATATGCTTGGTAAGGATTCTATGTGATTTATCCATCCGGTCAATTCCTCGTCTCATATCATCAGTGTGTGTTTTACTATTAAACCTGTTCTGATCCGTGTCAGATGAAGAAGGTCCAGATTGTGGGGATGCTGAGCTTTACTCTGAAGCTAGCAGTGTGATGAGCGGTTCTAAATACTCACAGAGTAACTCACGGATATCCTCGTAAGAGAAGCAAACATCAAACAACACAGGAGAGGGTTTTCTTGTTCTGGCTTTGGTTTCATGGATTTCCTCTTGCAGACGATCATCAAAAAACCGACGGAAAGCAGAGAGAAAAAAGCTGAGTCTGAAAGAAGGAAGTCCGATGGAGGACAGAGCCTTGATGCACGCCATGAGTGAAATCATCACTGCTGTGGACAAGATGAGAGGTTACAAACTCTGCAGTGATTCTTTTTTATTACCTGCTGTCTTGCTTTAATTGCTTTTATTTAGCCTGCAGAGTTTATGAGTTTTCTTAGGAATTTCTAAGTAATGTAAAAACTGGGTTTTCTTATGCTGGCTGAAAAACATCCGCATTGATCAGGCTCTACTGGCTGAAACCAGCTTCCGGTTTTCTTTAAAGTCCGACCTGCACATTCTGATTCCTGGTCTGTGGAGAAAAAAAAACATGTTGAAATTTCATAAACATTCTCAAAAAAAAAAAAAAAAAAAACGGTGCTGCTGCAGTTTTTGTTTCATTGGAAACAAAAGTTCTGTATCCAACATTAAAATAAATGACACATCAATGGATTTGTTCCAAACAGTTTTCTGACAAAACCCAAAACAAAATACATCAAAATTAAATTAAAATGTTTTGGGCTCAGATAGACTGGTAAAAAAGAGTGAATATTCTGTTTTTATGCATTTAATGAATAGCAAAAATAAATGTTTTTACTTTAGTAGTTGAGCTGCTGGCCAAACTTGATTCAGTGATCTATGTTTATCTGTTTACCGTTTTATGTTTGCCCTAGAAGATGGATGAAAACGTATATATTCTCAGTCATTCCAAAAAAGTTGAAAAATTATCCAGGGGACTTTGTTTCCAAGTTTGAAGGCATTTCGCTTCCTATCCAGGAAGCTTTTTTCAATTCAAAATGTCAGAAATGGCGTCGAGTTTAAAGATTTATAGAGTGGACCAAAGCAAATCCTTGTTTTGGCTTAGAAAACATGCAAATTGAACCTGACGAATGGCTCCGCCCCTTAGGAATGGGGTTGCTTCTTTGTTAGCCTGTAATACCCAAAACATTTTTATGTCTCTGAAACGGGGGGTTATAACAGGGAATTGTTGGCCTGGCTGAAAAGGTGAGAAGCTTTGAATTGAAAAAGCTTCCAGGATGGGAAGAAAATGTCTTCCAACTTGGAATAAAGGTCCAGTGGATTGCTTTTAAACTTTTTTGGAAGAGTCTTTTCACGCTTCTATTAAAGATGTTTTGCTTCCCTTCCGTGTTTTAAGATTTAATCATTTTATTCTGACACTGGTATTATTCCGTTAATAAAACCCAGATGTGTCCCTCCTCACTCCACAGAGGAGATCCACGGCCTCCTTAAGGCCTTGGTTCTGTTCCAGTTTGATAAACAGGCTGAGAAGCTGCAGCTGGCCTATGAAGATGCCCTGCAGATGATGGAGGGAGCCGTTCCTGAGGTGTGGCCTGAAGGCCTGATGAGCACCAGCGCTCCGGTAAATCTTTGTTTCATAAATTGCTTCTAGAAGCTGTCCAAGCTTTCAATAAAGCAAACCAGCTGCTTTTTTGGCAATAAGTAAATGTTTAGTTGTTTTCTGGAAAATGAGAATTTTCTAAAACCTTCAGATTATTACGTCTTAAACTGCCCCTCACCTAGCAACGCAGGCAAAGAAAAACTAACATAAAAAAACCCAAATACATTTCCTGCATCATACATTTACATTATATTATTGGACCAAATCACAAACAAAAATCAACAATGGCTTTAATACATGCAGAACAAATGTGTGTGTTATTCACTTAATGGTGCAGTAGGAGATCTTGGAAAAATGGTTCCAGCAAGCTATATTTTTGAACATACACAACCTTTGGACCACTCCACGAAACCGCGCCTTCAAAACACATGAACGTGCACGCTGTCTGCGGCGCGTGTAGAGCAGCTGAAGCAGCATGTCGAACGGAGCTGGCAGGGAAACAGGCAGCACCGATGATGCACAGTGCTATGATCACTCCTCTGAAACGGCTTATTAACGCCTAAATTAACTTAAAATGTTGAAACCTGCCGGCAAAACATGTTCGCTTTTATTATCCTGGTGCCTGCAGTTTTGATTACTTACATGAAAACTGCCTTCCAGCCGCCGTGGCAAACCGCGAGGAGGCGACCGGGCCATAGGCTGCTGTTGAATGGGATTCCTAGTGACAGCGCACCGCCAGTGTACGCTGGTCTGAGCGACTCCGACAGAAATAATATTAGAAGGCAGGATGGTAATCTGGATGAACTGACTGCACTGATGATGTTTTCAGGTGAACTTTCTCACTTCAAAATAGATTCAAAATAATTTTTACCCACTGATCACAGCAAATATAGCTGCCATTGTTACAGGCAAAGAAAGGATAGGGTAGCTCCGCACAGCGCGCATCAGACCCACTCTTTCACCGTGCAGCTAGAGCAGCAAAGATGCTTCAGCTGCGCGTCAGAACTAAACCAGTAAAAGCATCAAAATGAAGCAGCACCTGTGTTTTGCTGCTTTAGGTGTGAATAGGGTGACCAGCCGTCCTCTTTTACCCGTACATGTCCTACTTTTAATACCTAAAAAAAATGTCTGGGGGGAATTTCAAAATCATGCGGGATTTTGGTCGACTACAGTGCAGCAGAACGGAGCCGTGAGCTCTGAGGGCTGGGGACAGAGTGACCGAACCCAAACCGGTGACGGTAGCCTTGACACCGGCGTTCCCTCTGCTTCTTTTCTGAGACCCAAATCTGGTTACCATAGGTGTGAACGTAGCATAACTGTGGCTAGCTTCCAGCCATGGCGTCCTGCACAAACACTGGGGGGTCGATTCGTTCATGTGTCATGGCACAGGGGGGAGGGACATGATTGACGTGTCAGGAACCAATCGAGTACAAGGGACGTCTTTTGTGATTGGTTGGGTTTAATCATAGATTTCTCACTGTAGCAGGGACCATTTATCTTAGTTTCACGTCCAGACCTTCTGTTTCACTGCTTGCTAAGCGGCTGTGGGGAGATCATTAAGCCACATGGTAAAAAAATGCGTCAAAAAAGATCTCCCACTGCCCCTTTAAGGCTGGTTCATACAGCCAGACTTCTTTACTTTATTTAACACTTAGATGGGGGATGAAACGGTTTTGGCCGTACAGCGTGTTCTCTCAGACCACACGGCAGATTTTGAGGCACGTAGAGCAAAGTTTTTAGACACCAGATGCAGTCCAGAGAACGGCTTTGCTTGATTCGCTGAGATGACCAGGGAAAAAAGAAGTTAGGTATTTGGAGGTGTTTTTATAATAAAAAAAGGTGTTTTACAATAAAATTATCTTGTTGCATTGGCAAAGTGTCTCACTTACCTCCTCAGTTCAAGAAAAAAAAATGCACTTATTTTAAGAAAAAATGACTTATTGAGATTTTAATTTTTTTGTAGTGTAGGTGGTTCTGCAGGATCCTGCAGTTTCTGGGTCAAAAATGTACTGTTGAACCATTGTGCATCTGTCTGCAGCCAGTTGTCTATAAAGTGCAAGTGTAAACATTAAGTGGGTGGCTCGGTAACAGCTTATATGCCTTTAAGTAATAGAGCCATAAAACAGCTTTATGCTTGAACTGTGCTGATGAGATGAAATGATTCTTAATCTGAGAAACTAATCTAACATGTTTTGTTTAGAATAGAGTTATGCTAAATGTTTAAAAAGTAGTATAACTGGTCTTCTTTAAAGCTTAAACCTCTGGGAATAAATCCTCACAGCATTTCATACTGTCGAAGATGTATAGATGAGAGGAATTGTTTAAATTACATATGTATACATCTTCAATGTTATTGTTTTGTTTGTTTTTTTCCACCCTGAAGGTAACGGGTCCAAACTCCACAGCAAACAGCATCATGGCTTCTTTTCAGCAGCAGCAGCAAAAACCTGCAGCTTTACAGCAAGGTTGGTAAAGCTTCCAGTGTGAAATAAGTGCTTTTATTTCCATCTTTAACTCCTTTGATTAAAATCAAACTTCAGACTAAATGTTTTAATCTTTTCCCCATACTTGTCAAAAGACATGGTTTCTATGTATGATGTTTGGCATTTGACATCAGCACTAGTTGATATTTAAATGTTTACCTTTACCTACCTGACTTTATATGCTAATTTCTTTTAACCAACAGGAAAACAAACATACAAAAAAAAATGTTAAACTTTTTTCATTTCTAGATATTTTTCTATCTGGATTATAAGCTGCATCCAGAAGAATGAATCTGGTTTGATTTAGAAGCCAAAACAAATATTGTAGATTTGGAAAAAAGTTTGATAATAATGATCATGGATTAAATGCAGACCCTTTAAATCGGGTTAAAATTTCAGTTCCCTAGACACAGGATCTTGCAACTTTTAAATGTTTTCTTTGGTCCAACACACCTGAATGACGTTATTAGATTAATAAGAAGACTCTAGAGAAAGTGACTGGATACTGAGGAGGTAATTCAGCCCTTTGATTCAGTTGTTGAACAAAGGATGAATCTAAAAGATGCAGAATTCAGACCTTTAGTCTGAATTGCCCTTGCTTAAAATCATCTAAAGGGTCTGCATGATGATTCAGTCAAGACTTTTTGAAAGGTATAGATGCAGAATTTAAAACATTTTGAAAAAGATCTTTACCTCTGAATAGGAATATATATCAAAATAAACACAGATAATTAATATTAATATTTACATGTTTGTAAAGTTGCAAAGAAAAGAACTTCCAGAGGAATCTTTCGACAGATTGAAAGGCTAGAAATGTGAGATTTGGCCTTTTTGGAAGTCTTTTTTGATCTGTTTTATTTGAACAAACATTCAGAAGCTCTTCTTTAGAAAAGAGTCAGTTTGGTGTGGCCTTTTTTCCTTTACTAATTTTTATTTTTCTCTTTTTTTTCCAGATCCTGAGATCCCAACAGCGCCGAAGATGAGAAATGTCAAGTGGAAGCTCACTATTCTAAAATAAACAAAAAACTAAGTAGTATTGTTGGAATTGTTTTTTTTTTAATCTGTAATGTAAAATTTCAGTTGTATAATAAAGTTTCATTTAATATCTTCTGATACTGAATATTTTCCTTTTATATATAAATAAAACAAATATTAGTGATTGATCTCCATTCCTAGAGTCATATGTTGCTGCTCCCCAGCAGAGGTACTCGCCTGCTCTGCCCTGATAAATACACTTTCAAATAAGAAAAAAAGCTAAATCCAGAATGTTTTGGTGTGTCTGAACCAAGTCCTGCTTCGTTCTCACACCCGTCTTGCCGCTGCACGGCGTTGGTTGATGGCCTTGGTGGTGACCCGCAGTTTACGTATGCGTAGCTGCCGCAGTCTCTGCTGCGCATCTTTGGGACGTTTCCCCTCCTTTCCCAAAATGTCCTTCACTTTCCGTCTGGGAATCTTTGTGAGGTAGAAGTCGCAGATTGTGGGAAAGTGGTCGTACATGACGTCACATGTGCGGGAGGAGGGGAGGTAACCCTCTGCGCTGACCGTCACTCGGTACTCGCCTGGATTCAGCAGGCGCCAATAGTCACCATCACCCACTGCAGCAGGGAAGACCAGACATAAATAGAAAGATTTAACGACAGATTAAAGTTAACGGACGTTAAACATAAGCTGTTCTGAGAAAATAGTTTAAAGCTGATTTTTTTTTTGGTGGGTATAATATAGTCAAACAATTTAGAAAATCCATCATCTTTAGAGAAGAAAAGAATATTTGAAGGTGTTCAAAGTGTTTGAGGAACATTTTATATTTAACTACTTAACTAATTCATACAATGTAACTAATCCGTTTTCTCTTAAACCTTTTTAGTAAACCAGGTGTGTTCTATTTGCCTGAACACATTCACAGTCAGAGCAAACGGAGGAGGTGTCAGACCATCACAAACCTGAATGTGCAGTTTGCTAAAATATGAAGAATTAAATTTTGTCAGATAAGATTAGGACTGACTTTTTAACAGCAAGTACTTGAGTTAGATATGGCTTTAAAAAGATAAAGAGCAGCTGGATGGATCGTGCTGCTGGATTTTTCTCTCCTCCAAAGTCTATAGGAACCTTGTTGAGTTACAAGGAATTACAAACTACAATATCCAGAAATCTCTTGTTAAACTCTGAATGATTTTAAACCAAGTGGTCTCCTTTAATCATCTCTGCTGAAATAATGTAATGAAGTTGAATGATTGTGTCTTATGTTATTTTATGATCAACATTTCTGACATAAATGTTTCCTCTTTTCCTATTAAATAATCTCTGTCCCTAGGATTACTAATGTACATATGCACATTGAAGTGAAACTTTCATTTTTATTTAAAAGCACTACCTCATGGGCAGTAAAAACAAATATTTTTTTACTCACGTCTATTTTCTAAAGCAATTCGTTTTGAGGAAATGTTGGAATATCAGGTGTTTACATGGATGACAGAGAGCAGCTTAGGTAAGGTGGGTCCGTCTCTAGGCAACCGGGAAAGCAGCTGATGCAAAGCTGAGGAGGTCCTGCATAGAATGCAGCAGAAGAAATGAGTTGGCTTTTTATTCATTTATTTATTTTGTTAGATTTAGTGTTGATGTGAATTTTACAGACAGGTGTCGGACATTTATGGAAATTCGGGACAAAATGCATCCTGTATTATTTCAATATGGGACACAAGGTTTAACGGCAGAATAAAGGACAAATCATGTTTTAAAGGGGGAATGAAGGCCCTAATATGGTTGTCGAGAGCGAGTGTTTGTACTGGTCACGGGGCTGCAACTAACAATTGTTTTGCAAATTGATTAATCTAATAATTATTTTTTCCATTGATTTTCCATTGACATAATCGGATAGCCAAAGGTTCCTTAAAGAAGATATTTTACGAAATTAAACCAGCTAAAACTAAAACAATTCCACCGGTGGAGTATGTTTATACACACACACACACACATATATATATATATATATATATCACACACATATAATATATATATATATATATATATATATATTATTTTTAAATGTCACAAAAAATACATATGAGTTTGCTGCTTGTATTGTAGTTTTCATACAGCAGTTGTTTGGAAGAGAGGGACAATATTACAAACCTTAGTTGGTTGTTCCATGTGGTTGATCCTACTGAATCTCATGAAGTAAGTTGTGTGTATATGACAGTTTATAATTTATTGATTGTTTACTGTATGACTTTATATTGCAGCAATGTCTTACAATAAATTGTCCACCGCCAGTAAAGGATTTTAAGCTTTATTAGGACAAGGTGTTTTCTTGATTAAAAAATACAAAGAAACAGTGCCACTGTGTGCAGTGCTACGGTTACCATGCAGTAAGAAGATCCTGGTGTTTTTCTGCATGGACTATGACCTGGATTACTGAAAACCTTCAGCATATTCTCTGCATGAGTTTGCATGTTCCCTCCGGGTACTCCTGCTTCCTCCCACAGTCTAAAAACATGGCTGATTGGCATTTCTAACATGCTTTCAGATATCTCTGTTGTGTGATGGACTGACGACACGTTCACGGTGTCCCTGCCTTTCGCCCATAGACTGCTGGAGACAGGCGCCAGCCCCCAGTGACCCCGACAGATTAGTGAAAAAAGATGGATGGATGACTTTCTTCATCACCCCTTCACCAAAAACAACAGCATAAAATAAAGACCAAAGATTCAGGCCATTTTATTTATGAGAGCAACCCTATCTAGAAAGCTCATGGAAAAGAATCACATCCCTCGCTCTGTATGTTCCAACCTGCTGACAGAAGGGGGCTGTATAAGGTGTCATGAATGCACCACTTCTGGAGGGTTCTGAATATAAAATGAAATGAAACCTGATCTGATGTGATGATCGATGTCTTCCACTTTAATGATGGCATCTGCTATTCCCTCTTTGGTGTCTTTGTCCCGGATCACACCTTTAATCCCACGATGGACCTGAACATTCATATTGAGAGACTTTCAGTTTTCTGTCAGTTCCAAATCCTAAAATGACACACTGTTGAACAGATTGTCTTTCAAAATATAAAGTAAATATCTTCTTTTCTATACTTCAGATCAGACTATGGCAAGATCAGAGCAGGTATCTAGATACACCTCCCTTTCTGCTGCCTATAGTCCTATAATGTCCTTTGTCCATAAGGTGTAGGTGTACTGCGGAGTCTTGTCCAGACAAGCCTCTGGACAAGACTCCGCAGTACACCTACACCTTATGGACAAAGGACATTCTTTTGAGGACCAGAATGTCCATATTCTGGATAAAGAAAATAGGTGGTTTGAGAGGGGCGTGAAGGAAGCCATCTATGTTAAGAGAGAAAAACCAACTTTAAACAGAGGTGGTGGACTCAGATTCCAGCTTCCAAAAACATACAATTCAATCATAGACATGATCCCTTCCAGATATCACCAAACCCCCCACCCCATCACAGAGGAACGAGGGACTCACCCGCCCCAGCCGGTGAACAATACCTCCTTAACGACCAACCCTTAACAATCATAGACAGGTTTCAGGTATTACAGGAGACTATCCCCCCCTTAATGGCAATCCCCCCTTTAACGACCGACCCCTAGAATCATAGACAGGTTCAGATATTACAGGCTAACGATGGAACTAACGACCCATTCATCGGTTACCATTGCATGTTTCCAAGCGATACAAGGCGTTGTCTATATAAGACTCAAACTCACTGCGGATCCAGACATTTGAATTGAGAAAGCTTCCTGGAGAGGTGGCGAAACGTCTTCAAATCTTGAAAACCAAGTCCAGTGGATATTTTTTGAATTTTTACGGAATGACTATGACCTGGATGACTGAGAACCTTCATCAGCATATTTCTACATTTATGTAATTATTGTTTTTTTTTAAATAGTTTTTCGGATGACTGTACTTCCAATTTGGCTGTCAATCGCATGGTGATATCTGAGCTGAAGGCTGTCCTGATTCAGCACAGCTATCTAGGGCTCCCCTTTCCTGCCCTGGATAGTGTTCTAACTATCAACCCTACAAAAGGTGAAGGGATAGAAGCTAGGAGCTACAATCTGAGATATTCTGATTGCACTTATACTAAGGTAACAAAGCAGCCTATTAGACACTCAGTACTATTGCTCTGGAGGCCATGTAATGAGCACCATTTTGAAAACACACCCAAAATGATTGCTGCGTGTCATTTCTGACCTGTTCCATAAAGACCAGCAGAGACTCTTTGTTGTTTTCCCACTCCACCGGAAGTTCGCTGGCATGAGGAAACTTATCGCAAGACAACTCCACAGTCACCTCGAAGCAGTTGGTGTGCAGGTAGCTGAAATCATTCATACCTGCAAGTACAAAAAAAGACGACGGCTAAGCAGAAATACTTTCCGATTTGAAGCTTTTCGTTTCTCTCAGACAGTCTAAAGAACTTTATTGCAAACTGTTACAACCCATTCACTGCCCATTGGTTGGCTGGTGTTGTGGGAAAAAAGTATTCAACCATTCACTCCAGTTGAATAGACAGAGATCGATGGATTTCAGTCAGTCAGCTCTTTATTTTATCTTTGCAAAGAGAGAACAGTCCATCATATGGCCCTTATTGCATGGTAATCAGCCCTGTTCTGCTCCTAGCACAGTTTGTTCCCCCTTATTTACAATAATGGAAAATAGTCAGCGGCAAAACAAAGTACAGACACTTTGGTTAAACAGTATCATGTTATGAATAAACCTTGATAGAGAATCTGGCTTGTTATGGGAATAAGTACGTCTTCTCTACAAACACACCTCACTCAGGCATTGTGGGGCCTTGCAGATGAAACAGACTGAGTGAAAAACTTTCTTCAGTGAGTAAATAGTAGAAATCAATATATGAAATAAGAAAGAAGTGATTGGCTGCATTGTTAAATAGAGATGGGCAATCACAAATCTTCTTTTTATGTTTGTGTGACATTAAAGGGATTGTGAATATCAAGGTACGGTCACAGATGAACGGCTGTCCTTCAGCCTAATGTTGACACTGTTTAAAAACCCAAACAGCATCAGTAAACACACTTTGTAATTTCTTAAACAGCGGCCACTGAAAGTGTTCCTCTATTTAATACGGTTTCTAGGTTTTGGAAAATGCTGGTGAAGATTCTCAATCATCCAGGTCATAGTCATTCCCAAAGAGTTAAAAGTCGCTTCTCATCCAGGAGGCTTAATCAATTCAAAATGTCTTTTTAATTTTGATTTTAAAAAGCTTCCTGGATGTGAGGCAAACATTTTCAAACTTGGAAACAAAGTCCAGTGGATTGTCTTTTTTTTTTTTTTACTTTTTTTTTTATTGGTTTTGGAAACATTCTCACTAAAGATAGAAGTATCCTCCAGATCTACACACATGCTTTGAAGACACTAGGGACTGAGATTTATGAGTATCCAGCACATCCTCTGCAATCCTTCTATAAGCTGTTTCCATCTGCTAGAAGACGGATGGTTCCACTAGCAAAAACACAGCTGTTTTAAATCTCAACAAAGGATACCTTAAATAGACACACATTGTTGTTTATGTTTTTTTATTACTTTATGATTAAACTTATTTTATGATTTAACGTTCTGAAGATATCAATCTACTTATATCTATATTTGTTTTCGTTTTTTGCTAGATTTCAGAGACATATCTCCATCCTGTGATCTCACTTGTATAAAAACAGCTGTTTTCTTTTTTCTTCGACATTTCAGACCTTTCGGTTCATCCAGTTATTAATGTTTCATCTTAATTTGCGATTAAAACTCCTTCCTCCATACATCTGACCCACATATCAGATTCACTGCTGTGCCAATATTATTTTCAGATATTAAGAAAGCTTCAGGTTTTGATGTGGAGGTGATATGAATCAAGATTTAACAAATGTTTTATTTGATCCAAGTTTAATTTATTCTACTTTAGTTTTTTGGTTCAGTTTTTTTTTTTTTTTTATATTAATACATGGTTATGGAAATTCTGTGTTTACACCTTGAAGCTTTCTCTCTCTTCTTGTTTCTTTTCTTGGGAAGAGATCCCTGGAGATAAACTCTTCAAATAACACTTTATAACGTATATGTATTAAATAACCATGAGACATGACAACAGATTTAGACAGAAATCATAATCTTACTCAGTTGGGAGACGTTTCTTAGAGGATGCGCTTACCAACTGGGCTCACGTCTCGTGAAGTGGCCCAGATTCACAGTTAAGGAAAAATCTTATACATCTCCAGTCTCCTCAAATGAGGAGACATCCATGTGTTCTTAGATCAAGGACACTGCTCTAATTCCATTACCAAATCTTTGCCATATGCATAATAAAGACAGGGCTGCTAACTTTTCACCAAACCTTGGAGTGAGATTTTAAAATAGTTTGGCTATGCCACCCTTGTCAGGGTTAGATTGAAAGGCTATGAGGAAAAGTGCAGCTATCAGTGCAATGAAATCCAGTGCAAACAACTCTGAGTATGAATATTTGGTAATAGGCTGAGGATTAAAAAAATCTTAACTAATTATCTTATTAGTTTTTTTTTTTTACAATTGACAAAACAGCTAAACAATTCAGACCTTCTAGGAGGCTGTAGATGGCTGCAACAAAGATTATTTTGCAAATAGACTAACCTGTCAATTATTTTTTTCAATTAATTGATTAATAATTGGATATCCAAAGGTTCCTTAAAAAAAAAAAAAAAAAAAAAATATATATATATATATATATATATATATATATATATATATATATATATATATATATTTTTTTTTTTTTATTTTACGAAATTAATCCAGGTGAAGCTAAATCTTTTCCACTTGGGGAGTATAGAGCATAATGAAAGATGGCTTTTTTTCATTTTAAATATAAAATGTTTACATATTTGTTTTACAATTATGGTATAATTGCTGCTCAAGATCCTGTCAGTTTTAGACAGGTTTTAAAGTCTCTATATTCCAGTTAAGGATGAATTGATTACTAAATTAATGGATTTTTATCAGCATTATATGTTTTATAGATAAATAAGTTGAATGGAGTTGAGTTTTAATGTCCGTCATTTTTTAGAGTGAAAATTTGCGAATACAGAGTGAGAGCGTGTGAAGACACTGAAATGTGCGAGTCTCACACACTGCAAAAATGATCTCAAAATGAGTAAAAATGTCTTAAATTGAGGGTATTTACCCTTAATTTGAGCAGGTAAATAAGATGATTTGCCAATGGAATTAGTATTTTTACTCTTAAAATAAGGTATCTAGATAAAATGCACTTATGTTAAGAAGAAATGACTTATTTAGATTTCATTTTTTTGCAGTGCACCCAATGGGTGAGAGTTGACAGCCCTGTAAAGATGACTTTTTATCCTGACAGAGGAACTGTCCTAATTTGATAAACTATTTGGGAAAACATTAGTTCTGACGGGCAGCAGGTAGATATATTAAGAGGGTGTAACAGACTCAAACATCATAATCCTAACAACATGGAAACCAGAAAACAATGTTACAAATGTTCAAACCAAATCTCATTATGAACATTTGGTGTATACCATCAAGTTATTACTTTTACTGTGTTGATTTTTAATTTTGAAAAACAAAATGTAGTTCTAATTTAGTTCTCTATCTGCTGTGGTATTTGGTTAAATAAATGAACAACTCTTCAATTAAATACATCTGCTTTGTGAGCACCACCATCATTGATTCTGCCATCTCCTCGTTCAACGCAATCTTGTACGCTGCCGCCACCACCAGGGACAAGAGTATGCTGCAGTGTATTGTTCCCTCTACAGAGAGCGAGGGATTGGTTGCAATCTTCTCTCATGGGGACCTACAGGAAAGATTGCAGCTGACCCCTCCCACCCTGAACACAAACCATTTCAGACTCTCCCATTTGGTAGGAGGCTGCTGTCCATTTGGACAACAACCCCCTGCCACAAATAGAAGTTTCTTCCGGTCTGCATCTAGCTTCATTAACAAGCTCCAGGTTCCCCACTGATACTTTCCTGTTGCAAATATCTGTACATATTAGCGCTTTTTCAAGTCAGAAGACCAAAGCGCTTTACACTACATTCAGTCATTCGCTTATTCAAGCACACACTCTCACACTGATGGTGGCAAAGCACATAATGTTGCATAATTTGAATAGTTGCCATGGTGTTGATCTTATCCAAAAAGCTGTACTAGTTTCTCTTTTTTCATAACTTTACTATAAAACTTGCAATTTTTATCACACAACCCATGCATGGAGGCCTTAGTCCTTGATGCAGCCGACCTAGGTTCGAATCCAGCCTGTGGTCCTTTCCCGCATGTCTCTCGCCCTCTCTCACACCCTCTTTCCTGTCAACCTACTGTCCATAAAAGCGAGCCACTAGTGCCGCAAAAACTTAAAAAAAAAAAAAGAGTATGTTTATTCTTTTTTGATTTAGTAAACAGAAAATGTTGCAACTAGCAGTACCTACTGGTTTTAGGGTCCATATATTGCCCTTTCAGTGTCGCGAGGGGGCCGATGACAGTATCCATTGGAGACTGTGTGAGAAGGCAGATCAACAGTCTTTCACTGGGCAATATTTTGTAATAACGTCTTTGATAATAAGTTATTTTTTTATTATCGAAAAACCTTATCTTGACAGTCAGATGCTGTAGTAAAAATACCCTGCACCTAAGTAACCCAAACCTGTAGTACATCTAAATAATTTTTTGGATCACTACTACCTTCCTCTGTTACACCATGATGATGGATTTTGTTCTTGGATGCAACTAAAACATGGTTCTTACTTCCAGGTACGTTGTGCCAGTCGGCCCCATTGATGATGTTGTTGTATCTGAGGAAGTCCTTGTTGTGGCACGGCCTCCGGTCATAGTTGGACATGACCTGATTAGATCAGATAATAGAAATATTTACTACACTCTTTCACTTCCAGGTGGATGTTGAACTTAGCATTAAGACGTAAAGTTGACCTTATTGGTGCTGGCATACGCTGCAGCGAGCCAACGAAAGAAGCTTTCATCTGGGGTGGGAGTGTGTTCGCGAGGCGCCCAGTCCCGGGTCATGTCATATGGGTAGGTGACAACAAGCTCTCCCCCGTGGAGGTTTGCACCCAGAACAAAGGGGATTGTCTGCATCCAGCTGATCACAGCCCGGGTCTCAGGTGCAACCTGAAATTAAAGTTCATAGCTATGGATTTTTTTTGTCAAAACTGATGCATCCACCAAACATGTTAACCACAAACAGGCTAAATTGGAAGTCACCCAGTTTTCACTTTTCTGATCATATTGGGACACTTATTCAGGAGTCTTTGTCAATTCTGTTTGCTCACAGCAGAGAAATCTGTTGTTGGGGCATTAATGTATTTAAGCAACATAAAGGTCAAATGCAAATTAAATATTCATCCCTTGTTCTTCTAAAGTGTTGTTGGAGTCTTTAGTTTTGCATGGGATCCAGATGTCAACATTTCTTCAAAAAAACTGAGTGAAAGTCTAGTAGCCTTTTAATTTAAGCCAGTTTGTGGTTGCCATGACCCGGATGACTAAGATTTTACACAGACACACAGAACATGTTGAGTGACCAAGGATGAAATTAATAATTTCACCAAAAAAAAAAACAATAGTTTTATAAATTGTGATGGTCCAAAATATATGAATATTAACTTCTGATTTCAATGCCAACATTGACCTAAAAGGATTCTACACTAATAGGAATAACAGGTTGAAGTCACGTGAGCTCCAGCATTGCCAGATCCTGGTTGCTCCATTACAGAGCTGGTGAAATGTCTTCATTTCTTTCTTACATTTATCTAATTTAAAGTCGTAGGGAAACGGCCGTTCCAAACATTGCATTTCTGAATTCTCCTGAGTGGTGCACAACTTTACATGAGTGAATAAAGTGAATGTGATTGGTCGTTTATCAAGAGGGCGGGATTTTGTGGCAGAAGGTGCGCAAGCACTTTGGTTGTGGCCGGTGTCTCGGAAGCATCTTCCTAACCAGTGCTAACTTAGTGCTAGTAGGTTCCTAATAGGAAATTACTTTGGGACCAAGTAGCACTGTCAAGGAACGCTATGGACAGCGGAAACATGCAAGAGGAGGAGAGTTTTGTGTCGGAGGTCGTGGAGGAGTCTCCTCTGTCATACTTTTTTTATTTAGAGGAGGAAAGTGGGGATGTAGTTGTTGTGGAAGAGGAGGCCAGGGCGGCAGAAGCTTGGTTTGGTGTACAGCCGTACATCTTTGAGCCCTTGCCTCACAACGCTGCCAGTTCTATTAGCTCTACGCCTGCAGAAGACACAGACGTCCATCCCCGTGAACACTGGGACGGAACACAATGGTAAAGTAAATGATTCTTGTTTCAACTGTTGCGTATATTAGCTGCGACATATGAATCAAGATGCTATGACTGAAAAAATTTGATTGACAGATGACCATTGATATATGATTGGCCGAATTTAGGTGTTCAGGCTGACGTAGAAATAACTGGCCTGCACAAGATAACAGAAAAAGAAACACAGATTTTAAGACAGATTTTCTTTTTTTTTTATTTTCTAAATTTTGGGACAATATTGTCTGATAGAGTACATTTATATACATGTTTAAGCCACAATAATTTGACATTTAAATATGATTACCCTACGACTTTAAGCCCAATAAACAAACAAATAGAAGCAAAAAGAGGAAGAACATCAGTCAAAGGGGTTCAAAAGGCCCACAGAGGTTACCGCTTTCTTTCTGGAGTAAGATAAGTGTTAATTTTAACCAAAATTTAGCATCAGCACAAGCGGACCTGAAAACTAACTAGCAAACATGGCGGCATAAGAGTGGGCGAGACAAACTGAGCCACTAGCTGTGCTTCCATCCAAATTGGATGCAATTCTGAGTAAACCTTTAAAAAGTTCAATAAAACAAAAAGCCAATTAGATGTGTTTCTATTGACATTGTTCTTGGCTGTTAAAAACAGGAAGAAGAGTTAGCAAGGTAGTGCAGACCACAGATCCGTGATGGACGGAGGTTTTAATCGATGTCCTGCAATAAGAAAAGTTACTATTTATTTTTTACTGTAGTACTTATAGCGCTGCCTTTATCATGTCAGCTAGTATTAGTGATAGTTTATGCCATCTGGAGAAATCAAGATTAATGCTATATTCAGGATCCCAGCAGCAGTGGGAGCAGGAATCAGTCAATTGAGGTAACTTTTTTCTGTCAGGACTCATTTTAAAAATATGTTTTCATTACCTCTTTAGCGCATTTACGCTTTTTCGAAAAAGTGAAAAAATAATACCTCAAACCAGCGTCAAAACTTTTCCAGCGAAATTTAAGCTGACTCATATTATGCTGTTTCCATCAAGTTCTTCTGATGCAATACTTCAAAATGCACAAAAAAGGTTGATGGAAGCCTTTTCTACTTACTGCCTGGAATGATTAAACTACTTATGTCCCACAGGATGACTGTATGCTCGGTATACTGTGCACCTCAAAGTAATGTGTCTAATAAAATTTTATTTTAGAACTGCTAATGACAAATATTTTGTTAAAAAACAAACAAAAACAAATCAAGATTTTAAATTCCAAGCTAAAATTAAAAGAAGTCCTAAAAAAGGGGACAAGTGTTTTAGTAGTTCAAACAAAAACACAGCCAAAAGGGATCACTTCACCAATCAATGGGCCTGTAGGAGGTTATGATCATTAACTCTTAACCAATGAGCCTTTTATATGGGCTCAAATTTTACCATACAGACTATATGTGTTTGCAAGTTTGTTTAGGCCTTTCTTGCATACTGATCACTACAATGTAGAGCTGTGTAAAAGTGTTTTTTTTCCTATACATATGCCTTCAACTTTGGGCACTTGTGCATATAGTCCAATCTAATGGAAGCTATTGCATCACCCCATCCAGAGAAATCTCATTTGTTGATCATTGCAAAGAGAAAAAAAAAGTCAGTGAAACCAAGGTGGCTGACACACAGGAAAAAAGAGCAAACGCCTCGACTACTGCGGTTTCTTTCCAACAGTGTACCACATTACAACCGTAAAACTAAATTACAACTATAGCTATGCAACTACTTTGTTGGTATATACATTTTATGACAGTATAAAATGAAGAAAGTACACTTGATTGTATTGAAAAATTTCCTAAAGGTGTCAAAAAGCACTTATTAAAAAATCCTGACAGAGTTTATCATAATTCATGCATGAGAGGGTTAAGGTTGTGGGTTGAAATTCTGCAAATGTTCTTTTTTTTTAAACCACTCGTTTGTGTGCCTTACAAATGCCTCCTCAGAAGTGTACTGCTCAGGGATGGGGAAGTAGTGGTTGATGAGTTTGGACCGGTCTGTTTCCAGCTCGATAGCGGTCCACATCACTGAGTTGAGATCAGCAAAGTTGTGGTTCATGTCAATGCCTTCGTAGCTGTAGCGTCCCAGAGCCCAGCCTGCCAGCTCAGAGCCCTGAAGATGAAAAGAAAATGGTTTGTTTCAGTATGAGCCGAAGGATGTTAGAGTCTAACAGAGTTTTCTGGAACCTTCTTAAAGGCCATCTCATATCCATCGGGGTTCATTGAGGGCAGGAGGTGGATGCGTGTCTCTTTGACCAGATGAATGATCCGTTGGTTCCCTAGTTTGTACTCCTGGCAGATGTACTGCATCAAATTGAGCAGAAGCTCTTTTCCCAGGACCTCATTCCCATGCATCCCTGCAACGTAGCGGAACTCTGGTTCTCCTGCAGGGAACACCAGAACATACATGCCAACTTTGATTTTTTACGAGACATTTTAAAACAAGGAAAAACATGCTTGTTTTCTAAGCCATTAAAAAGGCTTTTGGTAGTGCCACTCTAAAAGCCTGGAACTTAAACCCTACTCCTGACATTTTGAATTGAGAGCTTCCTATATGGGCTGGCAGACTGTCATCTCTGTTAATCTGCACATGTGGACGACCTTATTGATACTCTGAGTTTAATTACAAAAAAAACCCAACTGAAACAGAAATAACGAATCAGGTGACTAAGGTGTTATTTAATTTAATTTCACCTTTATTTAACAGGGACATTGCAAGCAATCAGTGACAAAACAAAGCAAGTCACTTAGGTGCTGCATATAAAATTTATATCTGAAGCTAATTTTCAACTCCTGTCCCTGGTTGGGATTTTATATACAATGGAAAGAAAAAGAACAGCCAGACATGACTTTTCAACCATGCTTCAACAGAGTGATTTAAAAAAACTAAACTCATCAAACAGGCCTAGAAAAAAATATTGTACCCCTAGAAATGACCAAAAAAAAAAAAAAAAAAAAAAAAAAAAAAAAAAAAAAAAAAAAACTAAAAGGAGATAGATATTAAATTAAATTGCACTAATAAGCATCATAGGTGCCTTCAATCCCGTAATCTGTCAGTTGGCCTATATATAGGGCTACAAGTAGTACCTGTGCTGTTTGATGAAATGCTGTCTACCAGAGTAAACATGGACCATACGACTCCAAGGAAAGCATTGTCTCAGGACGTTAAAATTATAGAGAAACATGTTAAAGGAAAAAGGTTTTAAAACCATCTCCAAGCAGCTTGATGTTCCTCCTTTTTTTCAGAAATGTAAGATCCATGCGACTGTAGCCAACTTTCCTGGATTTGGCTACAGTAGGAAAGTTTATGACAATTCAGAGGGATAATATAATTGGTTACATAAGAGCCTAGAAAAACTTCAAGCTCAAGGAGCATCCGTGTCAGATTGCACCAGCCATCATTGTTGAGCCAAAGTGGACATAATGGAAGACAATCATGAAAGACATAATTGTTTAAAACAAATTCTTAAAAAAGTGAGATTGGAATTTGCCAAACTACATGTGAACAAAAGCAAAAGCTTCAGGAAGAATGTCCTGAGACAGAAAGTGAACTTTTTGCCAAGACACATCAGCTCTATGTTCACCGACGGAAAAATGAAACATATCAGGAAAAGAACACTGTCCCTATTGTGAAGCATGGAGGTGGGTCTGTTAGGCTCTGGGGCTGCTTTCTTGATCTGCTGCAGGATGTCTTAAATCTCTGCACGATACAAGTCACATGGTGCACTGTCATTGGGAATCCCCAGCAGCAGCTGCCTCAGGTCAGGTTACCTTTTGGTTTTTTCCCCCTACTGTTCATGGCGACTGGAAGTATTTGTTAGTGTTTTTCAAGTTTGTGGTACAAAGTACAGGTACCCCATTAATAAAAGCAAACATTTTTATTTCAGAGTGATCATAGCTCTCTGCATCAGCAGTGGTTTGTCCATCTAACTATCAGTTCCCAGATCAGCTTATCTGATTGGTTGATGTGGCGCGTCGAGCTGCAAAAATAAAATTTCAACTCCTGTATCTGTTGCTTATGAAGTGCGTCATGAAGCTCATGAAGCGTTGCTTCGGCTGCTTAGAAGTGTCAAGATACCCCACTCCTTCTGCTCGAAACACGCTGCAGGACCTTTTGATGCGCCTTAATGAGCATCAACCATAGATTTGCATGTAAAACTGCTTCTGCTGCCCAAAGCTCGGAAGGTGTGAATGTAGCATCAGTCACAGGTCATGGGTCTTCAACAGGATAATGACCCAAAGCACACAACTAAAACTAACAGCAAAGAAGAATGGCTAAGAAGAAAACATTGGACTAGTCTGAAGTAGCCTTCTATGAGCCCTGACCTAAACCCTACTGAGCATCTTTTGAAGGAGCTGAAACATGATGTCTGGAAAAGGTGGACCAAAATACCTATTGACAGGAGCAGATGTTTACTGAGAGTTACAGGCATTTTAACAGTGCAAAATTTTGAACTCTTCTCCACCAGATCTACCTCTAAAGCTCCAAACATCCTGCAGTGTCATGATCTTGAGGCTGATGACTGGCTCGATTACTCCAAAAAAAAAAAGAAAGTTAAAAACAAACCACTGGACTTTGCTTCCAAGTTTGAAGACGTTTCGCTTCAAATGCAGGAAGCTTTTTCAATTCAAAATGTCAGGAATAGACCGTTTTGTTTTGAAAACATGCAAATTGGAAGGGACAAAGGGGTCCACTCCTTCCAGCATAGGCTTGATTACTCTTTCCATTCACCTGCCTTGCTCCACCCAATTCTCATTACTGTTCATCTGTTTCTCCTGCTCCAGCCCTTATTTAACCTGCCTTCTTCCAGTCATAAGTGCCTGATTATTCAGCTCTTGATGAGAGTCTTCCAGCAAGTATTAAGGTTTCCGATTGCCTGATCCGTTCTACCATATCTAAACCTGTCTGTTCCCATTCTGATCTGTTTGCCTGTCCTGTCTTCAGACTCCTGCTGCATTCTGCCTGTGTACCGAACCTGGAACTGCATCCTGACACCGACCTGGATTTCCCTTCGGTACCTCTTCAGATCTCTGATCTTCTGGCCCGAACTTCTGCGAACCTCCCTTAGGCTTCGCCCTCTGGATTATCCCGCCTTCCTTCATCTGCTTGGATCTGATATCCTAACTGTTCTTCAGTCTTCGGGGCATCATTGTCTGGGACTCTCTGGGCAGCGTTCACCACGTCTCATTGGCAGCCGACCGGCTGGAATCTACCTCATCCTTTGGGCACCGACCGAACTTTAACACCAGGTTAGTGACTCACACATTCATAATCTTCCTCCCCCAGATTGACGTGTTCACTTACCTGTGTTTTTTTCCCTGCAGAGTTATCTGCCCCAGCTGTTCACTGATGGTGTCTGTCTGTAGATGTCTGTCTGTCTGAATACTGGGTTCTCTGTTGTGAGTTCTGAATCCAGTCTACTGATGTAAAGTTTTTTTTTTCTACTAATGAAAAATCTATAGACTTTGGAATTTATGATGTTTTTCTATTGGCCAAACACTATGTATATAAATGTTATGTCTCTAAAAAAAAAAAAATTTATTCATCCGAAGGAATAGTTAAGTTTGTTTTACAAGTCTATATGTGTAGTTAAATCTAAAATAACATACAAGATGACCTATTTTTCTAAATATACTTTTTAAATTTTTTTTGCACATTTGATATATAAGCTGTGGTACCTACTTTGTAGCCTGTTTGCTTGAATAAAAAACTAAACTAAACAAAAAGCCCCTGCAGTCTACATGTGGTGTGGTTTAACAATGTACAATTTTATACCAATATAGTTTTATTATTACCTTAATCATACTTAAAAAACACTTTGACAAGCTTTCTACCTTCTATCTTGTCTTGGTGAAGACATTTAAACTGAAAATTGATATAAAAATCAATTAATTTACAGACCTTTTATTTACGAAGCCTCTTTCAGCTTTACTCTAATCACTTCTCTGCCATGTTTTGGAGGGAAAATCTCTCCCTTTTGCTGCCATGTGGGCTAAGCTAAACATGCCAAAGAAAACATTTGTTCATCTCAGTGCAAACATCGAGCAACTCCAGCCAGGGCAGCTTTAGATTTACCAGTGTGCATGACTTTCTGTTGAGAAGATACAGGATCAGTTTGGGCAGAGCCATCAGTGGTTTTCCATGATAATTTAATCTGAGCAGAGGAACTGCAGTGCTCTAACTTTTGCAATAATGAACTCTACATTAAAAATGAAACCTGTTCATGGAAGTTGGCAAAATATCAAGACAGGATTGTTAAAGATTTTAGAACCCATCAATTATATTTAGAAAAAATAAAGAGGAAGAAACATCTGGTACTCTCTGGCCATCTCTTTTCCCAGTAAACTCACCCAGTTCATGTTTTCCAGGATTGTCTGAAATCTCCATGACGTAGAGCTTCAGATCCTTGTAGCTCTTCCCAATACTGTAGATGCGAGTGATGTTGGGGCATTCATCATGCACGGACTTCATCAACTAGAAAAGACACAAGATCATTATAAACTTGAATGCAGTAAAGGAAAAAAATGTCAGGAGTCAATGGCTTCCTTCATTCATTACTTTTTCCAGAAGCTCCGTATCAATATTTCATCTGCTCAGACAGGAAAAGCATTTATAATGGAGACCCAGACACCACTTTCCATTGCATTACTCTCCAGCTCATCCTAGAACATCTGGTTAATGTTCCCAGGCCAGAAGGGATGGATAACAACCATTCAATAAAGGTGGCTCTTCATCTCTTCTTCTCATATAAATAGCCTCTCTCCTTACCTCTAATTTGAGCTCAGTTGATGAAGCCCATTTCAGCTGACTGTATATTTGATCTTATTCAGTTATAATCAAACAAAGGTTTAGAATTTTCTTTTTATATCTCAGCTGTTTTAAGTTTTAATCCCCAAATAGTATAAAATCCAAAATAATTTGACAGAAAATGCCATATACAATCTTCAGAAAGATGAAAAACAATACAAAAAAATTCTGATTAGCTTAGAAAAAAAGGCATAAATATACAAACATGAAAAAGGCAGTGAGATTATATAAAATACCTAAATGCTACAAGCATGCTTAGTGTGAGGGATTGTATTCGAGTCAATGAGTCGATGCAATCAACTGGTTTTCCTTAGATAGAAAAATTTGAATCAATTTGACTGGATGATCTGGTGAACTGTAAAGTAGCTTGAGATGACATGTGTTGTGAATTGGTGCTATGTAAATAAACTGAATTGAAATTAATTGAAAAAGAGGTGATCATTGGAAAACATTTCCAGTAATCAAACTTGAGACAGTTTTGCTAGATAAGCTCAAATAAAGAATATAATCTGCTTGATGGGAATTATGTTATAGCAGAATCTTGCTGTGTTTTAAAGCTTTCTTCTGCAAACTTTTTCAGCAGCAAGAAGATTTGTCTTAGAAAGGCCTGGTCAGAATACCAGGAAGAATTTTGCCAATATGTTTAGAAGAGTAAAATGTTATATTTTTCAAAGGTCTTTCAGCTGCTCCCCCCAGGGAGTCACCACAGCAGATGAACCTCTCCTCTTGCCTTGCTGCACCTTCTGTAACTTCCCCTTTTCAATGTATCCTCTGTTTCCCCTCCAAACAAGTCCTATCCAACCCAACCTTGCATCCCAAACAGCCAAACTTTGCTGTTCCTCTGGCCTGTTTTTTTTCTTCTTTATCCTCTCCATCCTGGTGACTCGCAGTAAAATTTACAGCATCGTCTGCTCCTCCACACCCACCTAAGCCTACTGTCTGTTAGACAGTACCAACCTCTCAATCCCACAAGTTAAAGCTAATCTCCCCTTCTTTATAGACTTGTCCTGTCACACATCTCTATGGACATGCATTTCCACCTCCTCCATCACACTTTTCTATTCACCTCCTTTATATACATTTTATTCACTTCTTTTTTTCCCTTTGAGTTTTTTATGTTTGTAACTGAACAAATGATCAGAACATATTTTTTTTAAAGTAAAGTTGTCATTGAACAGTGACAATTAAAAAAACAACCAATATTTTACATACGATACGTTTTTGCTATAATTTGTAATACATCTGGCATTATAAACGTGACATTTATTATGGATTTTTTTTCACTAAATGTGTCTAATTATATAAGTCTGGTTTTTGAGGAAACATACCCCCTGATTATGTGGAGTTCTCAAAAACTTGTGTATCATATTTGATACACTTGCTGTTACAGGATTAAAATCAGCCATTTTGAGAGCAATGAGGATAAGAGCTGCATCGATGATGCACCTCTATGGAACCAAATTGCTAAAGCATCTCTTCAGTCCCCTCTTCCCAGAGCTGTAAAAGTGTGACTCATAACTTTCTCTATCTCCAGTTACTGCAACTCTGTGAATACTCCTTGAAACATTTGGCTCCTCTATGATTTTGCCGAGTTTTCACCTGTTATTTGACAGAAACCCCCCCCCAAAGATAAAAAACCACACATAACGGAGTAAATTAGTGAAATAAAATTTACCAAACAGGAATAAAACAGTTGGACGCAACTTTCTTCATGTCTGACTGTATAAAAGGTTACATGATTTTTGCCACTATTTAGGAGATGTGCCTCCAATCTATTCCTGGTTTCTGAGTATCTCAACCAGCATAGTGTAAACAAGTGAGATGTAGAGAAGTGAAAAAAACATTCCTGCGATATTTGCATTTTGACCAGAGTTTGACAAAATCACATAAGGTTTCTAATGATTTAAATAAACCATGGCTAACAACAACAGATAACAGCAGGGTGGAGTTGGGCAGTGGTCTTTTTACAATATCCAAAATGGACAAGATTTCTGGGCTCTGTTGACCTTTCTCATCTCTTTGTAGTTGTGGTGCCTGAAGTCCAGCCTGTCTTGTGACTCCGTTGGCTCTGTCTGCCATGCATAATTATTACTGGGATCTGTGGAATGGGAAAGAAGACAGTAACTGTTTTTATCAACAGTTTTATTTTTGGTTGAATTACAACCACAAATTTTACCGTGTTAAAGACTTTACATGATAGATTCCTTAAAAACGGGCATATAAACCCTCCATACGGGAGGTTTATATGGCTCTGGCAGCAACTTTATATGGCTCTGTGATGGTTGTTTCTGCTAATATTCTGTTGTTTTCCTTTTAAAATGAAAATGCTACAATATAAAGGTCCTGTCATAGGGCCGAATCTATCAAAGGTTTGTGTGTATTAAAACGTGAGCTATTTCACTGCGCACGCTAAAAAATGTACAAACTGATCTATCAACAGCGTGCTAAAAGGATTTGATCTTTAAAACGTGCTAAATAGCGCCTCTTATCCATTTAGTACTTTTTCTGCAATGAATATGCAATATGGGGCGTTTACACGCAAAAGTGCGTCTTGTGGGAGGAGAACATGTAAATATATTAATTTAGCACTCGCAAAGTGATTTATTAAACCTGAAAGCAATTTTGCTAACGGTATCTGACTCTATATTTAACACGTTTCAAAAGAAGGTGCAAATGGTCTGTATGCGTAATTGCGCACACATGGCAGCGGTTATTGTCGCAAGAAGGAGACATCGAAATGAAGCAAGGAGACGCAGAGAACGCATTTTTTCACTCCGTGTGAATATTTTTGCAATGAAGGAGGAAACGATCATCAAAACATATCGTTTATCCAGCATTGCCATTTTGGAGCTGTTGGGGGAACTCCGAATGGATTTGGAGCCAGCCACAAGGAGTACCCACGCAATACCAGATATCACAAAACTCCTTGCAACATTGCACTTTTTTGCATCTGGGTCATTCCAGCGTACGGTTGCAGCGAGAGCTGGGATCTCCCAATCTCGTTTTTTCAGAAGTGCTGTCCGAAGTGCTGTCCGACGGGGTCGGGGTTCTCCCCCTGCGCCTGTGGAGCAACATGCCAATGCTGCGGGTATGAACCATTTGGTATGTGCATTTTTCTACAGGCCAATACAAAACACCTGTTTTTTTTTTTTTTTTTTTTTTTTTTTTTACTGCAGTGAAGTAGAAATTCAGCCACATACCACCTTAGGGAATAAAGGTTGCCAAAGTTTATATATATATATATATATATATATATATATATATTTATTTTTTTGGAGGGGGTGGGGGTGTCACTGTAAGATTTAAATTTCTTAATGCACTAGTTTGTACAGACTACAAACTACTTTGCCGCAAACCACAAAACGCGCAAAACCATCATTTAAATAGGGCGTCTCCAACAGTTTTGCACCTGCCACCAGTTACGCAATCGCTCTTGTTAAATCACCCGCAAACCATGGTTCAGCCCCTCGCGCAAAATTCCAGTTTGCGAGCGCAAATTACTGCACGCAAAATTGGATCTTGATAAATCCGGCCCATAGTGTTTAATGGCATTATGACGTTTGCTACCCACTAAAAATCTGTTTAATAATATTCTACTTTTGGCATTTCTGATTGGAAAGAGACATCAGGGTCGACCTCAATATAAAACTTTGTTTCACCACACATCTCTGTGTCCTGACAGTGTTGTGTGGTCCACAGACATAAGAACACTGGAGAAGGGGTTAAATCTGCCTCTGAGTGCTTGAAGGCCAACTATCTGAAGTTGGGGGCTGGGTGCAGAAAGGCTGGCTGGCAGACTACCTCCTACCCAGTACAAGTGGGACGTCATGGCTTTGTGGTGAAGTCCATTCTAGCCTGCTGAGGGATGCAGAGGAAACTGGAAGGAGGCTAAAGAACACAGAGAACAGGATAGGGGGAAGAAAAAAGGAGTTCCTGGCTTCGGTGGATGGACAATTTACCCCAAAAACAACTGCAGGCAGTGGCAGGGAGACGTCCCTGACAGTTGGTCACACACGTGTGGCCAACACGAGTGTATATGCCCATATTTTTAGGTAAATGTTTTAAACCCCAAAATTTGGGTCCTCTCTAGCAATGTGTTTATTCAGGTTAATTATTTAAAATACTCTAAAGCAGGCATCCCCAAACTCGGTCCTCGAGGGCCGCTGTCCTGCAGGTTTTAGAGGTTTCCCTGCTTTAGCACAGCTGATTATAATGATTGCAGTAGAGCAAAAGGCTGTTAATCAACTATCAATTAAAATCAGCTGTGCTGGAGCAGAGAAACATCTAAAACCTGCAGGACAGCGGCCCTCCAGGACCGAGTTTGGGGATGCCTGCTCTAAAGCATTCTTCAATGTTCCCCGGTCCTATAGTCACTCTATTACAGATGGAGTAATGTAACAAAAGTAATTTCTCCCTGGGATTATTAAAGTATTTCTGATTCTGATTCCTGGTTGATGGGACAGGTGTTGTGAATGAAACGGTGCCCAGCTTGAAAGAGCTCCTGTGTGTCGCTGAATGTGTGCATTGATGATTGAAAGACATCTTCTGCCTCCATTTAACTGTTTACTAAAGTGATTTTAGTTCATGTCAATGTGTATTTAAAGACATTATAACTATTGGAAAAATTGCAGGGGGAAATATATTTAAAAAAAAGTCTAATCAACCAAAACTTTCGTGACCCCCATTCAGTACCTCCATGGACCCCCTAGGGGTCACGGAACCCCTTTTGAAGACCTCTGCTCTAAGGTTTGAGGCTCCAATGTGAAAATCTCTGACCATTTCCATACTTTTATTACAAAGGATTGCTGTTGCAAGCTATAACTAGAGCTCATTCAAGAAAAAAAGAAGTTTGTTGACGATTATTTTCTCATACCAGGAAGAACACATCCTAGAACCTCAGCCCTGAGGCAGATGTCTCCCTGTGTGCCATTCTGATACCACGTCTGTGGGTTAATTCGAATGTAGCGTGCCACTGTGGGAGTGTCAAAGAGGGCGAGGACGGGAGTTTCTGGGTCTTGGTTTCCTTCAAATATCTGCAGGAAGAGGAATGCTGGATATTGGTCACACTAAAGGCAAGCATGGAAACTAGAAAAGCTTGTAAAAAGACAAAAAAACAACCTAATGTTGACTCACAGCCTCTTTGCTCCCGTTCATGCAAGGCTTCCAGAGCAGTGTGTCATTGCTGAACTGCACTTTGTAGGTATGCACCATATCCCAACTGCATTTAAACCAGTAGTAATATCAATAAAAAAAGGGTTTTCAAGAAAAAAACTTTATGCATTTCAAACATATCACAAAAACATGTAATGACGCCCTGATCTCTACCTATTTCATGTATTTTTCATGTCAACACTGACCTCCAGATGGAGTTGCGTCCCTGAAGGATGACCCCAATAAACCGGGTCAGCCTTTGGGCATCAACCTCCAGCCATTGCTTCTTGTCTTTGTACCGAGCACACCAGGCCCCATCGTAGATATCCCCATCCTCTATTCCAGACTGCGACAAAAGAACAGCAATAATGTTAGACGGGGTTCCAATCTGTAGGTAGAAGATGAACAAATGTGATGTTTACCTGGATGTTGAGTCGGCCTCTGTGAGGTCCCAGGCCTCGTCGCTTGTAGGACGAAGCCCTCAGCTGAGAGTCTTTCACCTTCAGTGACTCCAGACCCAGAGGGGGACATTCTGACACGGTTAATATTATTTCAATGTATGATTTGCCTTCTTAACATGGCATGAGAAGATACAATAGGAAAGCAGGTGCATGCAGAGTTCCAGGTCCAGAAGTCTGATCCACTTCATCATAGGCAGTATTTTTATTACTATGCCATTAATAACTAAAAGCAATAATAATATGTGGAGCTCACAAAATCTAAAGTAGCAGCTTGTCTTTATGGTCTCCCATTAGCTTTAGGGGGTCGTTTTCAAAGAATAGGTCTTTTTTTTAAACATAGATTCTTTTTTTATTGATAGAAGGTATATTATATGTTGCATTAAAATTGTATGGGATATCTTTGTGCCTTAAGATGGTGACACAGAGATTTTGAATGCTGCTTGGAGAATTTGATGGTGTCTGATATTGTTCATAGTTAAAGGTTTCCTTCTTGTATCTATTATAATTTGGAAAACAATGAAAAAAGAAAGTTTTTAAACCTAAATAGGGGGTTTAAAGCAGGTTTACTAGAGATACTTTGCATGATTCAAACATATGTTATAGAACTTATAAACAAAAAGTGTTAATAACTAAGAGTTGAGGGATTCATTCTGTAAAATACAGGTATTTAATATTTATTTTCCCTTTTGGATCAATAAAGTACTTTTAAATTGAATGAATCCTGTAAGTTTCATAATTATATGTGGAATAGTATAAGTAGTATTGAATAAATCACCTTGCCTAAAATTGAGGAAAATTAGATCTAACAGTTACATCTAATATAGGATATTATAACAGAGTGTTATATTTAGTAATAACAAAGAAGCAGACATTAAGTGTTTTTTTGTATTTAAGCACACTTGTAAACTTTTTAACAGAATATCTTCTGTGGCACCATTTGTTGATCCTGGTATGCAGTTTTTGAAGAATGCACATTTTTATTCCTTCTATTGTACATTGTTATTATCTGCTGTCGATACACCTACAGTAAAGTTTCACACTGAAGAGCAATATAGAATTATTCTATACAAGTCTTGGCAGCAACCTGGTACATTTTAGGCCATTTTAATCCATTTTAAAAGCCGTTGTTCTACAGTGTGAATTAAGTTATAAAAACAAATCATAAAAGAGCTGATAATTTTCCCTACAATTTGACCCAAAAGCTTTAGACTGATATATATATACAGTGGTGTGAAAAAGTGTTTGCCCCCTTCCTCATTTCCTGTTTTTTTGCGTGTTTGTCACACTTAAGTGTTTCGGAACATCAAACCAATTTAAACAATAGTCAAGGAAAACACAAGTAAACACAAAATGCAATTTGTAAATGAAGGTGTTTATTATTAAAGGAGAAAAAAAATCCAAACCATCATGGCCCTGTGTGAAAAAGTGATTGCCCCCTTGTTAAAATATACTATAACTGTGGTTTTTAACACCTGAGTTCAATTTCTCTAGCCACACCCAGGCCTGATTATTGCCACACCTATTTTTAATCAAGAAATCACTTAAATAGGAGCTGCCTGACACAGTAAAGTCCACCAAAAGATCCATAAAAGCTACCCATCATGCCGAGATCCAAAGAAATTCAGGAGCAATTGAGGAAGAAAGTAATTAACATCTATCAGTCTGGAAAAGGTTATAAAGCCATTTCCAAAGCTTTGGGAATCCAGCGAACCACAGTGAGAGCCATTATCCAAAAATGGCGACGCCATGGAACAGTGGTGAACCTTCCCAGGAGTGGCCGGCCGCCCAAAATTACCCCAAGAGCGCAGCGACGACTCATCCAAGAGGTCACAAAAGACCCCACAACAACATCCAAAGAACTGCAGGCCTCACTTGCCTCAGTTAAGGTCAGTGTTCATGCTTCCACCATCAGAAAAAGACTGGGCAAAAATGGCCTGCATGGCAGAGTTCCAAGAAGAAAACCACTGCTGAGCAAAAAGAACATTAAAGCTCGTCTCAATTTTTCCAAAACACATCTTGATGATCCCCAAGACTTTTGGGAAAACATTCTGTGGACTGATGAGACAAAAGTGGAACTCTTTGGAAGGTGTGTGTCCCATTACATCTGGCGCAAAAGGAACACTGCATTTCAGAAAAAGAACACTATACCAACAGTAAAATATGGTGGTGGAAGCGTGATGGTCTGGGGCTGTTTTGCTGCGTCAGGACCTGGAAGACTAGCTGTGATAAATGGAACTATGAATTCTGCTGTCTACCAAAAGATCCTGAAGGAGAATGTCCGACCATCTGTTTGTGAACTCAAGCTGAAACGAACTTGGGTTCTGCAGCAGGACAATGATCCTAAACACACCAGCAAGTCCACCACTGAATGGCTGAAGAAAAACAAAATAAAGACTTTGGAGTGGCCTAGCCAAAGTCCTGACTTGAATCCTATTGAGATGTTGTGGTATGACCTTAAAAAGGCCGTTCATGCTCGAAAACCCTCTAATGTAACTGAATTAGAACAATTCTGCAAAGATGAGTGGGCCAAAATTCCTCCAGAACGCTGTAAAAGACTCATTGCAAGTTATCGCAAACGCTTGGTTGCAGTTGTTGCTGCTAAGGGTGGCCCAACCAGTTATTAGGTTTAGGGGGCAATCACTTTTTCACACAGGGCCATGATGGTTTGGATTTTTTTCTCCTTTAATAATAAACACCTTCATTTACAAATTGCATTTTGTGTTTACTTGTGTTGTTCTTGACTATTGTTTAAATTGGTTTGATGTTCCGAAACACTTAAGTGTGACAAACGTGCAAAAAAACAGGAAATGAGGAAGGGGGCAAACATTTTTTCACACCACTGTATATATATATATATATATATATATATATATATATATATATATATATATATATATATATATATATATATATATATATATATATACACTATATTGCCAAAAGTATTTGCTCACCTGCCTTGACTCACATATGAGCTTAAGTGACATCCCGTTCCTAATCCATAGGGTTCAATATGACGTCGGTCCACCCTTTGCAGCTAGAACAGCTTCAACTCTTCTGGGAAGGCTGTCCACAAGGTTTAGGAGTGTGTTTATGGGAATTTTGGACCATTCTTCCAGAAGCGCATTTGTGAGGTCGCACACTGATGTTGGACGAGAAGGCCTGGCTCTCAGTCTCCGCTCTAATTCATCCCAAAGGTGTTCTATCGGGTTGAGGTCAGGACTCTGTGCAGGCCAGTCAAGTTCATCCACACCAGACTCTGTCATCCATGTCTTTATGGACCTTGCTTTGTGCACTGGTGCACAGTCATGTTGGAAGAGGAAGGGGCCAGCTCCAAACTGTTCCCACAAAGTTGGGAGCATGGAATTGTCCAAAATGTCTTGGTATGCTGAAGCATTCAGAGTTCCTTTCACTGGAACTAAGGGGCCAAGCCCAGCTCCTGAAAAACAACCCCACACCATAATCCCCCCTCCACCAAACTTTACACTTGGCACAATGCAGTCAGACAAGTACCGTTCTCCTGGCAACCGCCAAACCCAGACCCGTCCATCAGATTGCCAGATGGAGAAGCGCGATTCGTCACTCCAGAGAACGCGTCTCCACTGCTCTAGAGTCCAGTGGCGGCGTGCTTTACACCACCGCATCCGACGCTTTGCATTGCACTTGGTGATGTATGGCTTGGATGCAGCTGCTCGACCATGGAAACCCATTCCATGAAGCTCTCTGCGCACTGTTCTTGAGCTAATCTGAAGGCCACATGAAGTTTGGAGGTCTGTAGTGATTGACTCTGCAGAAAGTTGGCGACCTCTTCGCACTATGCGCTTCAGCATCCGCTGACCCCGCTCCGTCAGTTTACGTGGCCTACCACTTCGTGGCTGAGTTGCTGTCGTTCCCAAACACTTCCATTTTCTTATAATACAGCTGACAGTTGACTGTGGAATATTTAGGAGCGAGGAAATTTCACGACTGGATTTGTTGCACAGGTGGCATCCTATCACAGTTCCACGCTGGAATTCACTGAGCTCCTGAGAGCGACCCATTCTTTCACAAATGTTTGTAAAAACAGTCTGCATGCCTAGGTGCTTGAATTTATACACCTGTGGCCATGGAAGTGATTGGAACACCTGATTCCAATAATTTGGATGGGTGAGCAAATACTTTTGGCAATATAGTGTATATATATATATATATATATATATATATATATATATATATATATATATATATATATATATATATATATATATATATATATATATATATAAAAAAGTCTTCCACTCAGACTTGACAGACTTCACTTATTTTTTTTTTTAAATCTATTCAAACAATAAAAAAGGATTTTGTGTTTAACTTACCCTGGACCAGAAAACAGTTTTTTTGTTTTTGTTTTTTTTTTTGTTTTTTTTTTTTTAAATAACAAAGCAACCCAAATGGTGTTATGGAATATTTATGTTTTTCTTCTTTTAGATTAAACTTTCTTAACACTCTAAAACATAGCAGTGGAGGTATACTAATGCAGTCTTGGTTTGCAGCCATGGGATAAAGGCTGCAGTAATACACTCAACAATATATTGTAGTGATGTCACCTGTATATGGAGTGAATTTTGTTTCTTTATTGTTGTGAGTAAAGAGCACATGTTATAAATGAAAATAACAAAAATGTAAATCAAACTTTGAAACATACGTAAAAGAAAAAAACTATTTTAAGAGTAATTTTGCTGTTTTTTTTTTTCAGATATTAGTTTACAGATTTTTTTTCAATCTTTTCAATTTGTAGCTTTTACAGATTTCATACATACATTTTTTTTTGTTTGTTTTATCTTTCAAATTTAGTTTTACAAATGTCATTATTTTCAAATTCAGTTTTAGAGATCACATTCTCTCCACTTCTGGGGCTTGACTTTATATATAAGTATATATAAAGTATATATAAGACTGAGCGTTTGTAATGGGCTTGAAGTGAAAAGCAGCAAACTTAGTCTGTAAACCTTTTTTGATAAAGACTTTCTCTAAAATTTAATTTCTGGATAGCATTTTTTAATAATTTTTTTTATTTCCATTTACAAAATCTTACTGTTTTTTTGATTGCAACAATAATGGAACAACATTCACTCCATAACTGTAAGGCTGTATTCCAACAGGTGCAAAATGAGATATGAAACTGGAGAACACTTAACAACATTACACTGTACATCATAAATACTAGAATCCCTGAGGTCAGTGAAAATGTTTAGGAGAGAAATATTTTAAATCTGTTAAGCTTTATTTTATTTTTACACAGTCATGTTTCTAGATTAAACCTAAGAAAGGGAGAAAAAGGGACAATTGTGGAGCTGGTGAAGGGTTTCTGTTGCTGCACTGAGGCTTTAAACAGACTTTTCATTGTCTGCAGTAATCAGCTCTGCTGGAACGGCCCCTTCCTAGATCCCCTAGCTGCTAAAAAGTGTCACACTAAAGTGCAGAAACAGTTTAGATGACTGTTAAAACCCTGTCTCCATTTTGCCCTGTGGTCCTGTTGGGATCTCCTCAGCTTCCTGCAACTAAAGAAGGCTGTTTGGTCCTGCTGACCTCTGGATTCCTGCCAAACAGCAAATACCTACTGGAACCACAACGCTGAGCCAGGGAAACTTGGTTTCACAACTCAGCTGATTAAGTCGAAAAATACAGCAAAATAATGAAAAAAAAAATAATAATAAATATTGTGTTTACATTTGAAGCTTTGTCATAGTAGTAAGCAGAAAAATTAGAACAAAACATTTTTACTCCGTTTCCCTGACATCTTTATAAGCCGATAATGTGGGAAACAGTTTGATTCATTTTCCACTCTCGACCGAATTTTACGTTTTCTCTTTTATCCAGTGACATAAAAACAAATGTGTTGCATCACACCTTCTTCAGACTTTCCAGAAATATTTCTAAAAATAAAGGTTTTTGAGAAATAAACTCATGCTGCATTAAACTGAGTTATAAATAGTTTATTACGCCAAAGGGTGGAAAGACTGGAACCCCAACATGTTTACATGAGCAAACATCAATTGTTAGAACAAGCATTTAACAAGTGGTTTGCTTTTGAGACAGAAAAAACAGAAAGGCAAAGATCCTATATCAGAGAGAGAGAGCTCAGCTGCTATATCTAATTTGTTTTTCTCTTTGAAAATCAGCTTTTAGGTTAATGTTTGTTCAAGAATTATGCTGTTTAATCTTAAATATGCAGGTATGGTCAACAGACTACATGAACAAGTCCAAATATACAGTATGTTTGACATCAGGTCTGGATAAGGGTGAAAGTCACAGCTGTTAACTGATGGGCATATATGATCATTTTTAGGTAAAGAAGACAACAAGTTAAAATGGATGGATAATTTCAAAACACTTTGACACAAAAAACCCTTTTGATTCAACAGGGAGTCACAAAAAATGGATTGTTTTCATGACTAAATATATATTGTTTTAATGGGGAAATGACAGATGGAGGTTAGCTCTCTTTTTATGAAGATTCAACCCTCTGTTTAGTCGGTTAACATCAACTTTTAGATAAGCTAGCTCTTGTGTTCATTGGGAGCTCAGACTTCCGTAAAGTGGCGCTCTGGGTCATATGACTCCATTGGTGATGGAGAGAGAGAGTCGATACGCACCAAGAGCTGGATTTTGACCTGAAAAAAATCATTTAATCTCAAATTAAGCTGATTCTTTAGTCAAAGGTTGCGTAGAGTTTCTTTAAACTCAGTTAAGTTTGTATCCATATAGCATAAATTTAAAGCATATATCATCTCAAAGCATTTCCCCAAGACAAGAGGATTCAATTTATATTCAAAGTTAATCGAATAAATACAAATTTAGAGCAAAGTCATATTCCCTTTTTTTCTAGACAAAAATTGGCTGTAGCTGCATGTTTTTTGTTGTTGTTTTTTTTGTGGTGCCTGCTAAATAATATAGAAAACATTCAGCTACAGATGCTGGTGAAGATTCTCACTCATCCAGGTCAAAATCATTCCAAAAAAGTTTAAAAACAATCCACTGGACTTTGTTTTCCAAGTCTGCAGACGTTTTGCTTCCCATCCAGGAAGCTTTCTCAATTCAAAATGTCTGGATTAGCGTTGAGTTCCAGGCTTATATAGTGGCCCAAACAAAAACCTTGTTATGGCTGAGAAAACCTGCAAATTTAACTGGAAAAAGGCCTGCAATACCCGATACTGGCCCATGCCACTGAAAAAGGAGTCATTAGGGTCATTGGCCTGGCTGACCAGGGCAAGATGTTGTGAGGTTTAAGGGGGGTGGGGCATAAAACTCTGTTTACATGTATGGTTAATACAACTATTCCTTATTTGTCCATATTAATTATGTTTTTGATTTTAAAAAGTCATTTGGCTAAAATGTCGTCAGAATGCTTATAATACTAACTGCGTCTCAGCCCCAAACAGGTAGAACAAATGATGTATCTCTATTCTATAAACATTTCTGTATCTGTATAATGGGTGTGTTTTATGTGTTGTCTTCTCATTCAGAGGGCCCCCTGCGTGTCTTTGCCTAGGGCCCCAAATTTCCAAAATCTGCCCCTGGGTTTGAGATGATAGCAGGAACGAATCAACTCTCTTGCTGTGTTGTAGGTTGTCGAGAGCTTGTCTGGAGGAGTTGGCTCGCCTGTGCTGAGCCATGCGTCTGTGGGGGTTCTTTGGTTTCTCCAATATAAAGATCAGAGCATCATTCCTCACTGCACTGTTCAATGTAGTGAGGAACACACTGAAAACAAAGTCCAGTGGTCTGTTTTTTTGCTTTTTTGGGATTCAGCAACAGATGCTTTCTGACAAGAAGTTTTACAGCCAAACTATACGCTGAGAGAAAACAGACTTTAGACAAGTTTAAGCAATAAGATTGTTTTGGAATATAGTTATGCCTGCACGGACAATCGAGCTCTAAATTTGAAATCTAATGAGTCAAACACAGACTGATTTGCAGAGAAAGGAAAATCTTGCATCGCTCCTGAACAAAACCTTCTTGGAGAAATGGGAGAGCTGGAGGCATCAGAGTAATGATGCTGGTCAGAATTGGAGCAGAAAACAAAATGTCCATCTTTGTACTCCCTCTATAGTGTGCTGGTTTGCTAAGTCTCCATGATACAGCACTGAAAACAGAAGTTCTCCTGACTTTCTACTTCTGACTTAATCACAAACTAAATCTTTAAAATATGCTTTGCTGTTAGTATGTTGGTCCTGAGTGAACATTATTTACATTATTTATTATATTGTATCATTACCATAGCTGATCCAAGGGGCTCTGCCGCTCTTTTCATTTCCCTTTTTACATGTTTCTGAATTTGAACGACAAACTGAATAAATTTAAACATTAATACACAAAAAAAAACAAGAACCAATGAAAATGATGATATATGCCCTGAAAGAACTTAAGTTTTTTTTTACAAATAGCTCATTTCCTGCTCTCTCTTGTTAAGATCACTTATAATTTGAGACCAGGTTAGTTTGTTTTACATCAAACTCAGTGTGAATCAAATTCAGTTGGCATCAAAGTGATACCCACTTGAGAAAAGCAGTATGATCTATTTGTAACTGCTATTTTGTCCTCGTCTGATTGCCATACTGTATATTTCTCTATACATACGTGGGGCAGGTAACTGGTGATGGGAGCCCTTATTGATTTGTGCTTTTGTTGTTTTATTGATCTTTGACTTCCTGGGAATAACTTTCGGTTTCTCCTGGACCCTTTCCAACTTCTTTGCTAACTTAAGGCTCCTTTTGGTTCTTTTTGCTATAAAAACAAACCCAAAACAAACATTATTAAGACTTTAATATTTTAAAGTGCATATTAAAATACATTTATATGAGGCAATGGAGTAGTTTACACAACTGCTTGATATCAACTTGTGCTTTTGTTTTGAAATTTACCAGGTATCATGAGGTTTGGTCAAAAGAGAATAAAATAAAGATTTCTGAAAACAAATGGAGATTTGCATAAAAAAAAAACATTTGAAAAATAAAAATAAATAAATAAACAGAGAAGGAGCTGCCCACTGGTTATGAGTGGGTCCATTTTCTGTTTGTTAGACTGCAAAGTATCATACACTATTTAACATTTTTAAATATTTAGGATTAAGAAGAGGTGCCCTCATTTGGAAGACTAAGAGAGGGTGATTTATTTATTTATTATTTTAACCAGATGATCCAAAACCTTTGGTTCATTAAGATCCTGCTCACTAGACACCAAAACTGGGCTCTTTCATGACCTTAAATAACTGGTACAAAAAGTGGGATTTTCACTGTTTCCTTAACCTCAGTCATTAGAAAAGACCATCTGGGTTTCATTTGCATGAAACTCGTAGCTGCAGAGTCTCCATGCTCACACAGAGGAGACCCCAAAAACGACTACAGAAATGCTTTTTAAACCCTTTTCTGAGTCCAATCAAGTGTTTATAACTCATCTTTTTCCTTAACCTATTTAGTGCTTCTGATTTTTCCCCATTTTTAGATGAAAAGCATATTTAGCTGGAGTATTGAGGCAGAAATACACAATCAGAGTAGTCACATTATAACAGCAGTAAATAATGTTGTTTCTTGAGGTGCATCTTACAGTTATATTGCAAACTAATTACAATACAAACTTTGTAATTTGCAGCCATACTTTGTAATTTACAAATGAAATGCATAAAAAGGGTTTAAAAATACAAAACTGATTAGATTTTACCCAATTCCAGAGGACCTTCATCTTCTTTTGTCGTGGGCTCTTTTCTCACATCTTTCCGACCTTCTTTCCTATTCACGCTCTCTGTAGTGGTTTCAGCTGTTGACTTTCTGTAACTGGTTGTGAAATCTGTGGTGGGAACCTCTTTGGCATTGGATGTCCATGCAGAAGAAAGCCTCTTTGTTGCAGGATCTACACCTGAAACCACAGTGGGTTTGACTGTTGATGTGAAATCAGCCAGGTGGCCACAAACGAGGACAAAGAAGCCAAAACGTGAAAATAACAGCAGAGAGAATGGGAGAAGTCCTGCCATAGTGAGCCTCTCCAGTGGAAACCCTTCGCTCTCTGAACACTCATTCAACCTTCCTGACCTGGAGCTGTCTGGATCTGTCAAGCTGCCATCAGTGGAAACAGTTTCCTTTAACATCCAAGGCAAAGCAACCACCATGAGAGGTACAGTAGTTACAGTTAATCACTTCTAAGCAAATTAAAGATAAAGGAATTTTGTTTGATAAGAAGAAATATAATTAAATAAAATTCTATAGAGCAAAACACTATTTTCATTGTTTCATAAGTAAAGCCCAGCAATTATTTGGACTAAAGAGGTAATATCCATCCATCCAAAGGATTTTCTGTCACGCTTATCCCAAGCGGGGTCACGAGGAGCGCTGGTGCCTATCTCCAGCTGTCTGCGAGTGAGAGGCGGGGTCCACCATGGACAGGTCGCCAGTCCATCGCAGGGCAACACAGAGACAAACAGGACAACCATTTACGCACAAATTCACACCTAAGGAGAATTTACAGAAATCAAGTCGTGTTTTTGGACTATGCGAGGAAGCCAGAGTACCCGGAGAGAACCCATGCATGCTCAGGGAGAACATGCAAACTCCATGCAGAAAGACCCCAGGCTGGGAATCAAACCCGGAACCTTCTTGCTGGCTGATCCAGCAAGAAGGTTCCACTCAGCGGCCGACCTGAAGAGGTAAGATCTCTGGAAAAAAACAAATACTTAAATACACATTTAATTGATTTTAGATGTTTAGTTTTGGGTTCTAATGAAGAGCAAGCTGCATTTAAAACCTTTAAGAACAACATAGCTGCTTATGGAACTCAGGAGGCTTTTATTTTGAAACTTTTCCAGCAAACTGGATGCTCCTCTCTGCAGAGCAGCTGTGTTAGTTATCAGTGGACCAGTTTGTTTTGGGGTTAAATTCCAGCAGGCCTTCTGAATGTGAGCAATTATTTCCATCTAATTGGAGGTAAAGCCTGGCTCAGAAACTTTAGATGTGCTTTACAGTCTCATTCAAGGCTGGCTAACCAGATTGATTTTAATATTGAACAAAAGAAATGCTTTAACACTCCACTTTGCTGCCATATTTGAAAATATAATGAATATCCGATTTTACAGTTCAGCTTCATGGCACAAACAGAAACGAGTTACAGTTTGGCTTCCAGTAGATCATCTTTTGTTAGAAATGTCCTGAGTTCAAAAGAAAACCGTCACGTTTCTCTGCAATGAGTCACTTTTTATGGTCGTCTTTGGAGTTCAGTTTTAAAAAAAAACCTTTTGGGATCCAAACCTTATTTTAATGTGATGAGTTTCTGTCCAGCTGCTGCAAAACATCTGAGACAAAGAAATTGGCTGAACCAGGGTTCTGCAACCGGCAACATCAGAGCCAGAAGTGGCGTTGTTACCTCTGCAATGACTCTTAGTGGCCTAATTTTAGTATCAAATGTAAGTTTCTGCTTTTTTGTTTTTTTTTTTTTTTTGAGAATATTCAATTTTAGCGACAAAATATGTTTTACTTTTCTAGTCATTAGCTTGGAAACTATGCTTTTGTCCTTTTTACACCAAATATCGGATGCAATAAAATCTCTGCTTCATCTTTATGAAATGACTTCATGTTTTCCATATTTTAAAAGCTAAAAATACAAACTGTAGCATATTCGAAATTGAAACAGATTGCAAAGATGATTAAAAAACAACCCTAAAAACCTTTATTAAAAGGTTATAAAATATTTGCGGCTCTAAATGACTTTAATTCAGGAAAAAAAAATGGATCTTTGGATTTTAAAGGTTGCAGACCCCTGGACTTAACAGTTTTACTGAAAAATATTTACAAACATTTGTTTGTTTTTTAGATTTAGGTTAATTTCCCTAACCAGTCAACTTTTCAGTTAACCCAGAAAAGTAATTAAAGATCTTTAAAGCTCAGGCACAGACCAATAGGACTTTATTTTAAAATTGAGAAAAAAACTTTAGTTTCAAAATAGTTTTTTCCATGCAAACTTTCCCTACAACTGAGGAAGTAATTTCTAGTTTATGAAACATCTTGTTACTTTTACTGGCTAATTCACAAACCACACCTGACTGAAGAAAACAGCATGACTGAGCTACATATTGGCGGATGTTTACATGGTGCACCGAGACAAATCCCACAGACGACATTAAGATGCCATGTTTTAATGATACAAAACAACTTAAAAAAACTGTACACTTTTCTTTTAACCGATGGCTCTCTTACACATCTAAGCATTTAAAGTCCATTTGAAGATGGGAATGATTCACCATAGCAAACTGACCAAGAAAAAAAAAAACATGGGAAGATAAAGTCCAGGTGTTTCTTGAATATGCTTCAAGGTCTCCAGAGTTTCAGCAGGCCATCCTCGCTGTACGTGGCGATAAGGTTCTGGTGAGGGTGGTGAGCGATGCCGATCACATCCTTCTCATGGACCTGAGGAGGAGAGAAACGACATTCTGAGCCTTTTCTATTAGAGCAGGACTTTATGATAAAAAGGCAGAAATGGGCTCCATTTCAATCTAGCAGGGGTTAGGATTAACTGGAACCTGAAAATAACCAAAGACAAACAAGGAGAGAAGGGAAAACTGATGGATGGATAGCAGAAAAAAAAACGGGTTGTCTTTTTTGTTGGTTTTTGTGTTTTCAGGTCTGAATGTTCACTTTAAAGGACGTCTGAGTCCATGGTGGATCCATCTGACTTGCATGTCCTTTAGTGGCAGCTCATTCTCTCATTTCTGAATACTGGAAGCTGCAAATGTGCTAAGATAAGGTAAGCAGTTAGCCACACTGCAGCTTAGAAACAGACCAATATTTTCGGTAAATATTAGCGTGTTTTTTCTTCTTGTGTCAGTGAAATTTTCTTTCACTGATTCATTAGTGCATCCAGCAGCCATGCCTGTATAACATTTTAAATCCATGCATTGCTGCCTCTTCTATTTGCTATCCATTGTTAATATTTTTGTTTGATTTTATAATAAATGTTTCTATTTTGTTTAAGTTGAAAATTGTGTAACATTTGTGTTCATTTCTATCATTTAAATGAAAAAAGAAAGTCAAGATCGGCTTCAAAAATTCATGGCAGTGATTTTGGGGACCGGTCTGCACCATCTGCTTTAAACACAGTTAGCTTTAGCTAGCCTGGCCTTAGCACAGATGGAAAGACAACCTGATGGTCCATCAAAAGCATGGACACAGGATATTTAAAAAAAAAAAATATATATATATATATATATATATATATATATACTGATCAGGTACATTTGGGATTAACTGGTTAAGAGAGAAAACCCAATTATCTCTTCACTGTGGCACCTAGAAGCTGATGATCAACAGTTAACAGTAACTGATTTTCTTCTTCAGAACAAAGTGAAAAGATTTTAGCCAGGTTGTAGAAGCCCTAAATTGCTAAATAACTAGTTCAGATCATCCTAAACTGCAGAGATAAGGAGAGTTTCATGGTTTGGACTGGTTCCATCTGCGGAACAAGGACAAAACAACCAGCGGCTGAATCATTGGAGGACAGGACTAACTGAAGGCTTTGGGGAGCAAAGTAGTAAACGCTGGTCCTGTTACCCCTTTCTCCTACTTTAATAGTAGGAGAAGTAATAGAGAGCAAAAAAACATTTTGAGGTGTTTCAGAGTCCCTGGAACAGTTAGCTTAAATCATGAATCTCTGACTATTTAGTAATTATTATGAGCTCTGTTGTCTAAGCAGCAGTCCTTCCATGTCCAGTGAAAAGAGAATCAACTACACAAGAGAATTAATCTCCAGGACAATCATTTAAAAACCAAATAAAAATGTTTAAGCTAAAATCAAGAACTGATGTTATGGATGACAAAAGCCGACACTAAAGCAGCAACATGCACCTTTCTGATCAGAATAATCTAATTTTAAATTAACAGATTTTAAAAACAGAATAATGTGAGGGTTCCTTTGCACGACGGACTGTTCTGCTAAAATCTGAAATATTTACTTACAAAATTAGTTTGTTAAAACTTTTAGTTACAATTACTAATGAAGATGCAGCCCTGGATCTTATTCAGTCTGTTTGCATCCTGCAGGATATCCTCTCACCATCAGTACCTGTGTGAATATCTCCCTGACAGATGCTGCACCATAAACCGTGTTGTGATATTTTTGGACTCTTTGATCTGTGTCAGCGAGCAGCGTCGTACCGTCAGCGTTCTCTCCAGTTTGCCCGTGACGGTGCTGAAGCAGTAGAGCACAAAGTCCTCGCCTACGCAGTAGATCCACTCGCCGCGGGGCGACAGAGTGCAGCACACAAAGTCACCGCCTTCCCTCTTACCGGAGCTGAAACTCCTCACAATCTGCACTCAACCAAAACAGCAAAGGATGCTCACATGTAAAAACACAAATATTTTAAAATTTTACATATATATATATATATATATATATATAAATTTTTTTTTCAAAGTGAAACTGACCTGTCCCTGCATGTTCATGATGACCACTGTATTGGAGCGGTTACACACAACAAAATGCTCGGGGTTCTTGGGCAGCAGGAGGACGTTGTTCACTGTGATGTCTGTTCCAGCTGATGTACCAAGAGGCTTAAAAGTGCTGGTGCACTCTGTGGTCTTCACGTTCCACACCTTAAAAAACAGGAAAAAAACAGAACAGAGAAGAATGTCAGGTGAAGGAAGAACTAACTGTTTTCTAGCACTGCTGCCTTGCAACAAGAAGGTGGGTTCGATTCCAGCCTAGGATCGTTCTGCATGTGCTCCCTATGCATATGGGGGTTCTCTTCAGGTAATCTGGTTTCCTCTAAAAGAAAAACCCTAAAAAGTGACTATTAGGTTATCTGGTGTTTCTAGATTGGTGTGGCTGCGTGTCTCTTTGTTGCCTTTTGTGACCCCAGTAGAAAAGCAGCAGAGGATAAAAACCTGGATAGAGGGTAAAAAAAAATATGAACAATTTCAAATCCATTTATCAATACTTCATAGACTTGAAGAGAAATAAAAAGTCATGATTTTTGTCATCACTGTTGTGGTAAATGTTAATAGATAGAGGCAGGAAGGATCCCCTATATTGGCCTGACGATCGGCTTTCATGTTCGCCTCAT